GAACGAGCATACATTTTGCCCAGGGGGTTCACCCGCGCCTCGACACAGAAACCTTTCTCTCCTCTCCTTTCTCTTCTCTCATCCTCCTCTTCTCTTCTGTTATCCGCGTATATACATATATATATATATATGTACGTGCGCGTACGGAGCCGCGGGAGAAGCACGAATGCAGTTAATTGATGCACCGGCCGCGTAATGGCCGCCGTTAAATGATCGACGAGGTGCACCGGCAGTCGCGAGATAATGACGCCACGGCAAGAAATTTCAGCCAAATTAGGCGCCTTTGTGCGCCTGCACAAGCGTCAAACGAGCGTTCTTTCTTGCCGTCGCATTGAAACATCGCGTTCGCGTTTACGGCATGACATTGAATTATTAATTAAGTCGTAGCCGAGGATGATAAATGCAACGATAAACGGCCGTGCATGCAGCGGGCTTCGCGGGAGGTGAGACGGCGCGAAGGATGCCGAATGGTGTGCCGGGGTGACCCTCGCTATTTATGCGGATTAGCAGAATCACGAGCCCGATTAATCGATACCGTCATTACGCGCGCATAAATGATACAAAAGACGCTGCACCGCGGCGTTAATTATGCAGCGCGGCAGGGCTCTCATTCGCACGCTTCATTTGTGCTGCTCGCATTAACGAGAACGAAACGCGAAATGTCATATTAATGCGATCACCGCATTTCGCGGCGGCGCCACGATTGAAATTAATTTCGACAAATGAACCTTGTTAATAAATAATCTAATTTTCTCATATTCCTGTTTTGTGTCGCGCAAAGACGCAATACTCTCATATTTCGAGGATAATTTTTTCAGCACCAAAGTTCCTCGCTGGTTAATTATAAGTTAATTATAAGTCATATGGCAAGAGAATACAAGAGACGCAGCGCGAGCGGTAACATGTGTGTTCATTGAAACTGGTAGAAAATAAGAGTGCTCTTTCCGAGCGAAAGTTTTCGACGTGTAATAAAAAAGGAGCGTATAATTGTAACCGAGTCTATGCTAATGCACGGTTTGATTCCTGCATTTACGGTCCATGGGAACCGCCGGCATTGTTCCGCGGTTACACGTTGCTCGGAGAAATTTCTCCGAGACTTTTAACGCGTATTATATTTATAAAGCAAATTGTTACAACGTAATTGCTGGCGACGCAGCCGCCATTGTTATATCATTGTTATTTTGTTGAAATAATCTCAGTTAATAGTTACTTTTTATTATTCTCGTATTAAAACAAGACTTGATTTATCACGTTTTGTGCGTACACACGCGTATTTTTTCACATTTCTTGAAACGATTTTATCTCATTGCTGCAAAATAATACAGATTCTCTGTTAATTATGCTAAATTTTTCATATGTAGTCGAGATACAAACGGCTGGACTTTTCTGGACTGTTCAAAAGCGAGCAATGTAAATCAAGCAGCGGAAATCGTCGCGTTGCACAGTGCAACGTGCCACTTTTACGCTCCCTGAACCGGCGCATGGCCTTAACGAAGTTTTTGTTGCTTGTACATTTTCATGCGCGGGCGCGATCGGCATTGTCGGATCGTTGATTTGTCAATCGTCAACGCGCTTGAAATCGACGTGTAAAACCGATTCGTTCCACGTGTAGGACGTTTCTTGTGCAAGCCGAGCGGTTCGCCGTATTTCTAGCCCTTGAAGAACCGTGGGTGTTGATATTGCGCATGCGATGATAATTATCCGGATTCGAATCTGGTTAATTTTTCGGAACAGTAGCGAGCAGTGAAGAGTTCGGTGCAATATTGATAAAAATTAATTGCAAATTTAATGGAGAAAAGAAGCAGTTAATTAATTTAATTGATTCTCACGAATTAATAGACGAGATAATAGAATGAGCGTTAATTAAGACCAACAATTTTAACTTCCGAGACGATTACTATCATATTTTGACTGGCTGTTTTATGCAACGAAAAAGAAACGTTTTTGCGCTAATTTATTTTGGACTCTTACGAGCCGCGCGTCGGACGCGCGTGTTAATTCCGGAGCGCTCGGGGCTTTATCTGCCGGTTGACATCTGCGGAGAATTTTTTGTAATTTTCGGTGAAAATGTAAAGAAAAGGAGAACAAGAAATTCCTGCTTACACCGTGACGACACGGGCCGAGCTTGTGGGGATCTTCGTTATTATTTCAGCGAAACGAAGCGTATACCCCGTACACGCTCGAGTTGGCTCGTGTGCGAGTTGTTAACTTCTTCATGCCGTCCAATTTGTTGCATGCAGCGTCTTCATTCGCTTTTCACAGTAAATATCATTGCAACAAAAAGACAGGGCGCACGGTATGTCGTTACGTAAATTTTTACGTGATAATTAAAAAAAAAAAAAAAAAAAACGGTCATTGAACTCTTGCTGTACGCCGACAGCGAACATATCGTTTCCACTTTTCACATTCTTACTTTATCCACAATATGCTAATCGCTATAATGTGTGCATTGGTCGCGATGCAAAACTTGTAAAGTTTGCAAATATCTATTATTTGATGTACCAATTTTTTGGAGAATTTTCAATAAAATTTTATTCGTGAATCAACTCAAGATGAACGGAAGATTTCTTTTCCCGGAACTTTGAGAAAAGTTTCGTGCAAATTTTATATCAGCCGTTATAAAGATTCTATTTCGATTCATTCAGTGTGTCCTTAATGGGAATTACAGGACAGTAGATGCACTACCGAGTAACGTTATCCCTGAGATACCTGGCTGCTTCTGTCGTCACGATGCGTGACGGACGCCGGTATATGTCCATTCTGTAAAACCCGTGCGGGCAAGTCGTTATTTGTTTGAGTCGGCTCGAAAACCTCAAGTGGATTTCTCTTTATCGTAAGAAATCGACATCCATAGCTAAAACAATGTTCGGTCTGATGTAATGGCGAAATATGAGATTATAGATTACCGTAACACTCTCTTGTAAGAATTGGATGAATGAAAATCAATTCGAAGCAACTAATCGCTGTTAAAATATCTTATCTCTTGTTTTCTTTTTATTTTAATAGAATCTTTATAACGGCTAGTGTAATGTTTGTGATTGTTAATAATTGTATAACCAATTACATCTTTTTGGGAGTGTCGCGCAATCGAAATATTTAAAGACATTTATGAAAAATATTTTCAAGGCAAAAGCAAGCGAAGTTTTGTCTTTTATATATTTATAAAGAAAGTAGATTCAGCAATAATCAGGATTGTATGAATCTAGCACGCTGCAACATTGCTATTTCTGATTGCTAATCGATCGGGTATAGAAAAATACGTGAGAAGCGAGGCGAACGTTGCGTGGGTCTTTTTTACGTTACGAGACGTGCTGCGTAAGCATCTTCCTTCTTTTTGTAGTGTCGCGCAATAAATGCCTAACATAAACCCGTTCTAAGCTCCGACTCGCGCGTCCGTGAACGCGTGACTTTGAGATATACGAGAGACTTAAGTCGAGACACGACGGCGACGTGCAACTGCATCGCGAATGCGGCGATCGGGTCGGTTATCAAAACGTGCTCTTTTTGCAAAGTCTGCTACAACCCTCTAGATTAGAAAAGTTCGTTCTTCGGAAATATTCCGACGTATTGCCTTTTTCTTCTTAAGGACGTGACCACAAACAAGAGATTGCCTTTTCTTGCGCTTTTCTATCGATACGAGAAATCATTTCCAACTTTATGTATTTCTAAAATTGCGCGATGAAAGTTTTTTTAATTTATTAAATTTGTTACATAATATATGTATGTAAGAAATTGTTGTATTATTCATTATATGGAAAAAAATATTAATTGCCCCAATTATACACAAAATTATTGCGTATCTCCCTCAGTCGATTTCAACGACTCGCTTTCTCGATCATCGAAATGCATAACGTCGCCGATTATTTCTGTAGAACGTAAATCGATAACGCAATTATAAACGTAATATCGCTAATAGAACGGCGCACACAATTCCGTTCCGTTAGAGTACTGTTATCGAGTATGTCTTCTCCAGGAAATATTTTTCTCTAAAACTTGAACGTTCGAATTATTACGTAAAATAATGATAAAATGCGGCGCAGCGTTCCGTATGATGGTTAGTGTAATAATATTCATGGAGAGTCTAAGCGGCTGGATGAATGGCTGTTCCATATTACAATGTACCGTTCATGAATTTCTCGAGTCAGATCGGTCTTCTTTTATCGTTGCGCAAAATTTAATTTGAAGGTGAAATAATCTTTTCGCTGTTACTTTATTATTCACGCGTTACGTTATTTTACGCTGTTCGTTCAAGAGCTGTTTAATCTTGAACATTGCGGATAAAATATTTATTTGATATGACAAAAATCATTTTATGAATTCTCTAAAAAAATATATTTTATCAAAATTATAATTGTATTATTTGTATATAAAAATATTTGTATAATTATATATAAATTAAAGAGCTATTTTGGAAAACTAGCAATCTGCTTTATGGATAGTAGAATATATATGAAAGTAAGATTGCTAACATATCGACTGTTGAATAAAAATACTGTATCTTTTTACTTTATCGATACACGATAAAAACTGAAGAAACTGTTTTATTCATCTCTGTTTTAAATGTGAGATAATAAAACTTGGGAAATACGTATTATAAATTCTTCATAATTTTAATCTATTTCTTTACAAAATGTGATACAGTTTTCTTCAAAAAGATTATTTTTATTTGTAAGTGTGTATAATACATAAAACATTAATATATATAATAAACTATCCAGATAATTTATGCACACGCAGTTCCAGAATGAATATTTAACAAAAGAATTTTGAACAAATATCTCATTTATAAATGTTTACAAAACTTTCTTTCTCAGCGTCTTAGCCCTGTGCCTGCTAATGCCCAGCTGTCGGACAATATATACATAATAATATTTGCATATAATAATACATGCATAATAATAGTTAAATATAAATAGTTAATATTTCACTTTTTACGTTATAAAAATGTAATTTAGACCTCAATTATAATATTGGATTGTGTAATAAGTGATTTCAGATTTTTAAATAAATCTATCTATTTTTTTGTCAAGCAAAACGTGAAAACGCATAAATTAAATATTTATTTGTCAAAATTTTGTCCGTATTACAATTTCTTAATCATGCTGCTACGTTTTTGTGAGAAAATTCTACATTACTTATTATACAATCTAATATTTTATAAAAAACAAGCATAATAAAAAATCTTATAATAAAAAATAATTTTAGGCTTATTTTAGTGAATTTTAATTGACGGTCTGAATTAAATTGTTAAATTTAATTTTTACGATTTTATTTAACTCGCAGATTCAATTAGTTGCCATTCTCGTTGTATTACAACGGAAATAAGTGTTATCTTATACGCACACACCCGCTTTTTCACTTGCAACATACATACACGCATACATATCTTAAAAATACTACGTAATAGAGTGATTAACGTTAAAAACTCACAAAACAACAGAACTTTTTTTCTCTCTCAGTATTGTAAGCTATTAAACTTAAATGATCGTCGTTACTTATCTAATTGATAAATTCAAATAGCTGCAATGTATTAAGATAAAAATAGAAATTGACCTATATACACATACATTAATGACCCACCTGCATACATACACTGCATACACACGCATAAAAATGATAGCAGAAAAATTGGCGTTATAAAATAGTAAATAACGAAATCTAATCTAAGTGTTCACGTGTCCAGCACGTTCGGCGATACAAAATTAACACAGCCGTCTCGTAAACACGTATGATAGAATAGCCTCTAAGGAAGACGCACACCAGCAGCGAGATCACATTCTCGAAAGAATTTGCAGCTGACCGCTTTTTAAATTTAGACCATCGTCGTTGATATATCGACTGCGATAAAGCAGCACATTCGCGTTCTCACGCGCTTTGCCAACATGCTATTCTCGTTGTATTAAAATGAAAGAACAATTCTTGTGTGTATATGCACACGTCACGTGAATGAAACGTGAGTATAACATGCACATCATGCACGTTTATATTCACTAAAATGCATCAAATGCTTCCTCTGCTCTTCGTTTCTATACTCTTTCCTTTTCTTCGAGCAACAATTATCATTTGATCTACGAGATTTAATAATAAGATTTCGGAAACAAAGACGATCAAGAAATCGAAAATGTTGCCTGTGTGATCTTGTTAAAAATATGACAAACGTTTATCTTTCTAAATCAACATTTTATCGCAAAGCTCTGGAAAGATTTTAAATCACGCGTATGCATCTCGAAATCGCGTCGTCGTCGATTCTGTACAATACTCTTGCGCACTTCGCTGTAAAAATTTTTTTTTTTCTAAAAATATAATGACATTGAGCCACCCTCCTCCGTCGTCAGCCTGGTCTCTCACCACGCGACTTCATTTTTTCGAGAGCGCAATTTTGCTACCAGTTTACGTATTTGTCGGAACAATTTTGTACTCAACGCGTATTTAGCTTCAGATTTTCATCTCGATCGCGCTTACATTGTACATGTGACAACGTGCACAATCTTCGATCTAATGCTCAAAAATTTCAGCTGACGCCAATCAATTCGGATAGTTCGACTCTCGTTCGGACGCTCCCGGCCGAAGATACGTTCGAACAGATCGAACTGTGCGAATCTCCAAAAAAAATATTCGAATCCCTCGTAAACTCCACTCTGATCTACATATATGCATCTGTGTACGGATTCCCCCAGAAACGAGAGTTGACTGGCCGCATGAAGGATGACTTATTTTCCCGTTAATTGAAATTCCGTGGTCGCGTTCAGTGCGCAAACGGCGTAAGAAAATAAGCCGGCACTTCTTCCATTCGCTATCGCATACATACGGATCTCCGATCGGAATTGTTGATTGAATTCGGCTACATCTTCACGCAGCGCAGAGTTTTTGACGGAATACGCGCGCTGAATTGGAAGGAGCCTTCCCGATGTCGCTCGACGTTGCCCTCCGCGCGATTTTCCGCGGACGACTCCGCGTCCCCGTCGAGATCGATAACGAACTCGCGATTGCCCATCAGCGTCTCGAGGCACATGCTTTTCTCCTTTATTCGCGAGCGCACCAGCATTTCTAGCGCGAAGAGATGCTCGTCGTGCACCTCCGGCAAATAACGGTGCATAAACTCAGCCAACCTGTAATCATTCGGGTAAACGCGCCGTCTTGTATTATTTGCGACGTTATTAACTAAGCGAAGTGTCAGATATTAAAATAACAATGACAGTGAATTTATGTGTATGTTCACGTCGAGAATATACAGTGAGCTCCTCGCGTGTCTCTTACCGTAAGAGGTACTCGACATTGTGTCCGCTCGGACCGGAACACTCGGTGATTTGCTGCGCTATGGCCTGCAACGGCGCCTCGCCGAGCCAGTGCTCGTTCTTGCTGGTGGCGATGTAAATCGACACGAGAAATTGCCGGCTCCCGTCACGGCTATGAAATGTTCCTACAGTCGTTAGATAGCCGCCCAAAGCGCACTCGCGATTTTCCAAATAGGGCACCGCCGCGCTGTCCTTAATTTGGAACGCTCGTCCGTAAACCATGTCCTGTCATCGACAAAACAGATTTAGCAAAGCTATTTTCAACATCGATTAACTTTAATTGATGGTCCAAACGACAAACTCTTGTTATGCAGAACCGCTATGAAGAATGAAATATCGTCATCGAAGGAGAAAAAAGTGTTGCACTCAATTCGCATGATATAATGTTAACTTAGTTTCTCCTTTGATGAGGATATCTCGTCCCTGTTCACAATTCTTTCGACAAATTCGAACCGTCGATTAAAGTTAATCGATGTTAAGAGTAATCATCCTTACATTGATTTTTATATTTTTCAGAAAATGTCGAAATTTATGGTATTAAAATTACTGTAATCACCTCTTTGTCTTCGATCAGCGTGGCGACCCGTCCAGGCTGTAACATAAAAAAAATGGTAACATTGTAGTATTCGATCTTATGAAAAAATTATAATTAACAAATACAGCCCGACAACTAAAAGAATAATAATAATAATAATCAATAATTAAAAAATCTTAGACGCTAAGAAACTCATCCCAAATCAAACGAACCAATTAACTCTCAGATCTGATCAAACTTATTAAGGGGCTACATACACTTAGGTTAGTCGAGAAAAATCGATTTTTCAAAAATAATTTTTATTCGATAGTATAACCTTTGAACTATATTTCCTGAAATTTTCATCAAAAAATTTACAAAATTAACGCTTACAGCCTGCAATAGGCAGCTGATCGAAAGGTTAAGGGCCGATCCTTGCGCGCAGGTATAATACGTGATGTGTTAACAATGAACCTTCATTCTCGAGAATTCCAAGATTTTTTGACCTGCTCAAGTAGTAGAAGCAAAACTATTTTTAATAGTGCAATAATCAGCTTTAATAGTGCAATAATCAGTGCAACATTCTGCTTGAGCTGAAGTTCGATTCGTTCTCTGCGGAATTGTGCTGCTATTATTTTAATTTTGACAAAAATATATAGAAGAAAGGTTCAAGGGAATTACTTCGCTCTGGAGAATGGAAAGAAGAAGATACCTCTTAAAAATAGGTGTCAAGTAAAAAAAAAAGTGCGAATGAAGTGTTTGTACCCGAAAAGAAAACTATTGACCACCAAATCCTAAATTTTTGTACTGTTTTTACAACCATTTCGCAATACGTGAAATGCAGAAATTGTGACAGTGATATAAAATTTGGGTTATAAAATTGTGCTTTTTAAATAAAATTCAAAAAACTCCATTTTGCTAAACTCCGACTTTCCGCGCAGAAAAACCGTGGTTTTCGTGATAAATAAATAAAAAATTTAATTGTGTTAAAAATCCTTTTGATGAAGCATAATTTAGAACGAATTTATTGGAAAATATATTGCTAGATAAACTTAATTAATTAATTTTTAATAAAAGATTGTATTGCTACGCGTCGGTCTATTTATTACATTACGTAATACAAGTTTGTAAGCAAAAAGTACATATCGCTCTCTTGCGAAAGTATACACATCTTATGTTAAACAAAAAGTAATGTATGACAACTAATCTCTCTTTGAAGATATCAATTACTACTGGTCTGTAACTGGCTTCCATTACATGTAATTTATACGTAAATGTAATATAAAACGCATTACCACAGCATTCATTTCAAAAAAAAAGAAAAGTGGGGTGTATGATGAAAAAATATAAAGTAACTTTTCATGTGACTATCTTATAAGTCGTTTTATGAATATGCGATTAGAATTCTTAGAAATCAGCTGCAATATTTTTTAATAATTTCAAGCATTTTCTGAAGATTTTAAAAACAACATTAACTTTTTAAAATAATGCATTAAAACAACTTTTTTTTTTAAACAACATTAACTTTTTTAAATAATAAAGATAACGTTCTCTTTATTTTTCTTTCTTGTTCAAGGAAGCAAAAGAAAGGAAAAATAAAGAGAACAAAGAAGAGAGAAACAAAACACACAGCTTTCTTCGTGCGTTCGTTTTAAAATAAAATAAAACTTCACGGATACGCTATTTTTATTCCGCGTTCATTACGTCCGCACAATGTCCTTCAAATAACGATTCACATGTATTTTTATCAAACTCATGTCGATGGACTCTTATCAAGACAAGTGCGTAATAATGATCAATGTCACAATGAAACGTGTCTTTTCACGTGGAATGCAGTCAAGTCAGGAAAACACATATGCAAGCATTCTTCAACAACAAAATATTTGTCGTACTGATTTAAAAAAAATATGAATAAATAACACAAATAAGCATAAAATCAAGTTTTCCATTAAAGTATTATAAACGTGATTTATATCGGATTTCGTTCCTTGGTGCTACAAAAATTGTGATAAAGTGAAGAAATTTTAAATTTTTAATGCAGCCATGAATGTAACTTTAAATTTTCTTGTATATAATTTACATTTATATAACTCATTAAATATTGATAGACTTAATGTTCAACATGCAAATTTCGTTATATAATGATAAACGGTTTTTAAAGAAATATTTACAGTTGTAGATAATTTTTAATGTTTAACTAAGAATGCGCGAGCATTTTCAAGTTGGTAATAAAATTGAAATATTAATAGAATTTTTATAATCATTTTTAAGGGGATCCTAGAGAGTCGTCTGTTAAAAACACTATACTTTTTTTGACTGTGTAGAATGAAAAATCCTTTTCTGTACTTAAAGCACATATGCTAATACAGTCTGGACGGTCGATTTGAAAAGATTTTTCATTCCACGCAGCCAAAAAAAAGAATTTTACAAAAAAATAGAAGGTAAAACAAGTATCAATCTGTTCTATTTTTTTACCTTAAACTAAAGATTAACTGCATAAACGAGAAACAAAAGAATACATAAATGTGTCGTTTACATCTTCTAATAGAAAAAAAAGTTATATTTTTGCTTTTGAATATGCTACAAAAATCTTGATAAGTAAACACAATTTTAATTTCTAATCAACAAATATAAATTTCGTTTTGTATATAATTTACATTTATATAGCTTATCACATTCGAAATCAATTAGTATTCAACATGTAAATTTAGTCACATGATAAATATAAAATGCATTTGTTAGGTAAATATTTATTTATAATTGTAAATCATTTTTTATTATTTTACTAAGAAAATGCATGCACACACATTTTTCAACTGAGATAATAGAATTGATATAATTATTGAAGTTTATAATGACTTTTAAAACAAAAATCACACACACGTACATAAACGAACTAAAGCAAATGTGAGATAAATATGTTGTAAATATAGTTTACCTTTCGGTTATAACAAACAATTTTACTGTAATTAATCATGAAAGATATTTGATTACACGGTTACACGATTATTTACAACATGTGTGTGTGCAGATACATTTGTAATTATAACATTTTGCTTGCTATTTTATTTTAGTAGGGTTTATCACTCGGATATTCTTCCTAAAGTGCATAATTGTTCAATCTCTACTATCATGCGGATTATGTTATGTGCGCGGCAAGTATCATTATCAATAAACCAAATTGTTACATGAGATCACGTTGATAACATTAATATTACGAGCAATCGTTTAAAAATTTGAATAACTTCTTTTTTAGATTTGTTACAAAAAATACAGTAATGAGCTTTCATAAATTTGTGAAACATAAATGTATAATAAATCTATAAATGTATAAAATGTTCTAATAAATATATAATTATATATTAATTAAGACTTAACAACCATATTTCTAAAGTACAAATATTCCTTTCATCGAAAGATTTTTTATAAAATTTTCCCCAAAAATCTATTTTTGTAGATATAATTTTATGTTTATAATCATTACAAAAGTATAAAATTACAATGTTAATTTATTGAGAATCGCTTCAATTAGAAGTTTGAGAGTAAGATTAATTTTTGTTTGTTAATTTTCCCATTTTGGTTCCCATTGTAATCATATGGCTACGTATTTAAAATTATGAAAAATAAAATATTATTTCCAGATATACATGTATATTTATATATGTTATTTCTATATCTGTGAATATGTAGCTCTGTGAATATCTGTCCCTATCTGTGAATATTTTTAGTCTTGTATATGTCTCTAACATGTATTTCTAAATGTATTTATAAATTTCGCGATAAAATAATAGAATATTATCATTTTCATTTTTCATCGTCAAAATTCGATGATAATAAAAGTTTAAAAATTATATTTTCTTGAAATATTTTAAATAAATTTACTAACCCAAAATTAAAAGAAAGGTTTTTATTAAGTTACTTTACAATGCAAATTATTGTACACGATTGCAATAAAAATAAAATTTGTTGCTAAATAGTAACAAATAAAAAAAGTCCTTCAACATTTTTAAAATGGCAAAAATTTTTTATGAATAATTTATTAATGTAATATGCACAAAAATATGAAAAAAAAATTTTGTAGCTGTTGAATAACTTAGAAATGAAAGGATTAAATAAAAAGTGTGCACGCGTTTCTCTAAAATGGGTCCAGAATTAATATTAACATTTAAACGCCGCGTAGGTTTCGATTAGCGTCGGAAAAATTTACATGTAATTTCGCCTTGCTACTGGCAAATTATACAATTTAAATGCAATTTTGCTTTATTGCCTAATTCAATTCACATTCTACTTTTTGCATGTTGTCCATCGTTAAGATCGTAATACTTTAGCGATAATTAAAGAAAAAAGATTGAAGATTTACCTTTTCAGTCGTCCCGCGATGTGTAATGCTACCTTGCCAGAAGCGTCTGCCGAAGCCCTTCACATAGCCCATCATGCTTTTAGTGTACAAGAAGCCAGGATCCCAGCAGAGCGATCCATATCCGAACACCCACGGCTTGTTGTCGGTATCTTGCCTATTTTCCATTTTTGTGTCAGTTGTGAAAAATGAAATCAAGCAACAAGTAATTCACGTTTCTCTATTTGTACGTGTTTCTTCTTTACTTCTTTAACTTTATTGTGTTCAATGCTACTTTAATTGTTCAATTCTTTAATTATATTCTATTGTCGTCTCTTCTGTATTTTTCTCACAATGCCCATATTGTCAGCAATATATAGAGCGCTCAATGTCACAGTGCCTTTTATAAAGTCCGCAGCTTCAAGCGTCAGATAATAATAATTAAATTCAAATTAAATTCCAATTCTTTGACGCTCTATGATATACTTTTCCACTTGTCATTAATAATTCGTTGTCAGTTTTTCGCAATGAATGATTTGGAACATGATTTCTACATGTATTCTTCTATTCGAAAAATCACAAGATAATCACAGATTTCGCTTTCCTCGCACTTGGAAAGCAAATTAACAAATTACTATACAATTTCCTATTATGCAGTTGATTCGAACGGCAGATTATGCTCGAGTAAAAAAGTTTTACTAAAAATTCGGCTTTCTCGAATGATTACTTTTCGCTTCTGCCAGGTGGAGAAAACCAGTTTCAGATAATTTTTTATCTTCTCGCGAATATGGTAGATGTGAAAAATTTTTTTATCAAAACGAAGATTATCTTTTTCTCGCCTCACGTCATCAGATCTTCATCGATCAGCAACAACTCACGTGGTCGAGCGTAGGTCTCGGGCTTTTGGCAGCTCGGCTTGCGCCAGTTCTTGATCATCTGGCTAGTAACGGATGTCGCGCTCGTTCTCGCTTGTATCTCTGAATCCCCCGCGGGCTAACTCGCCGTGACTCCAATTTGCCAATTCGCGATGTGGCTCGATGACGCTAGTCGGCGATTTCTATAGCGTTGTAAGCGATGACGTCCCTGCTTCGTGATCATCGTTGTTGTTAATTTCCTTGCTCCATAACGATTCACTGTCTCGTTAAACAAAATCGATCTTCGATCAGTTAGTGGGTCGGCGAGACATCTGTTTCGAAAAGATTAATCTTCTGGAATTTTTGGCAGGAATTTGTGCGAACGAATTGAATTTTCGATACATTTGAAGGACCGCGGCAGAAGGAGTCATGTGACAAGATTCGACGCGGACTGTCGACAGACTGTTAGGTCTCTGCCGACTGACGTTCGGTGACCGCGCGCCAAAAGAAGGAAGAAAGAGACGCAGAGAGCGCGACGATCAGAAAGGACGGAGAAAATCGGTATAGTACACGGTGTACACGCCAACGGAGCTCGTGTGGTGGGGATGGATGATGAAACACGCCGCTCGATTGACGCATCGTTCCGGATGTGCGTGAGCATTCATTTATCGAATCAAGCCGGAGGTAACACGCCGGCACATGCCATCCGAGTGTACATACGCGTTTTGGAATATTTATATTTTTCTTATATTTAAAACAAAAATTACGCACACGTAGAATTCGGTTAAATAAAATGTTCCGATCCGATTTATTTGGTGTATTCAGTAAGACACTTTCATCGGGTTTTATGATGTATTACATTACAATGTATCGTGTATTTCTTTTAATTACAAATATCCAAAACTACAGTTAAAACTGTCAAGATGTTAGATTTACAAAACAAGCTAGTGACTTATGATATACAAAACAGATTATTATGATTATTTGAAGGACAGACTATAATACAGGTTGGTTATCTCTCTTGATGCGTGTCGGGTTCGAAAAATACTTTGTCCAGTAGTTCGGAACACATATCTATCTCGTCTTGATTCTCTTCTGGCTTCAATTCTGTCAATAATTGTTCCAAGGTGGATCTTAAACACAACTGCGGCCGGCGGCATTCCTTCAATGCCGGCAAGAAGTTATCGTTCACCATACCACTCAATACTCTTAACAACTGTTCCCTGCAATAAAAAATGATATATCCGTTTTATATTGGAACAATAATACGTGGAACCTAATATTACTAATAATGTCACAATTTAATATTAGAGAACAAAACACTGTCTCAAAATGTTGCATTACCTGACTGCAGGCTGCAAATTCATTCTACCCAAGAGTCCCGCTGCTTGCTCTATGAATCCCATTTTCACTAAAGTATATTTTACATCGCTCGAATCATCCTTATTGCACAAGCTGGAAAGTAGGAACGCAGATTTTATCTGTAGTTTCTCCACTGGACTCTGCATCGCGCGTAAAAGCACCGAATAACCGTCGTTTGTGTTCATATGCTGTAACGATGCTGGATGTCCTCTGACGATACCTGTGTTTGAAACATTATCAATGCGATAAAAATCAAACATTTAAGTAGAAAATTTAGAAACTAAGTTGTAAGTTGTTCCGTTACTTACATGACACTGCGTACAAAGCTTTTATTCTTGCCTGTTCCGATGGATCTGTATCAATCATAGCCAACAATATTGGAAATACACCAATTTCTAGCAACTTTTCTTGACAAAACGGATTATTTTGTGCTAATTCGGCGATTATATCAGCTATCCGCCATCTGATGTTACTGTGCGAGGAATTCAGGCATGGTTGGAATATCAAGAAACCTCCGATCTTATAAAAATCATTGGCTACGTCAATGTTATCCACAAAATCTGCCATTTTCTCCAATGTGTTTTCGTATTCTGACGCGTCATCATCAGATCGTAGATTAATAACATTAGACAAGATTTTTACAGATTTTTGTAATTCGTCTATAACATTTACTGTTAATGACGATAATGCATTGTCCAAGAACGTTTTTTTCTACAACATACAGATACAAATATTAGTATATATAAGCAATAAAGAATTTAAAAATACGTGTAATCTTAATTAAATTAATAATACGTTAAGTATAAAACCTTATTTGTTATCAAATATCAAATTCAATAAGAAAAGTAGGCTGTTAATAATAATTATATGTACCAAAAAAGATCACATTGATAATCGAAACATGTCAAAGAATGATCACACGATAACCTACATTTGGCAATGACCTAATAGCCTACTTTCCTTATTAATTTTAATTAGTCTAATTAATTAAACTGCATACTTCTTGATCCAAAGGATAAACTGGTGGTTTATTCTCCGTGTCCTCAGACTGTGCCGCGTCCATAGCATATTTGAGTAATCCTTGCAAGTTAGTCGGCTGTCTCGGCTGATTTGGTAATGGTTGTGGCGAACTTGTTTCGGCATTATTTGAGGTGGACGGGCCTTCGATAGACAGCGGCCTTGCGCTGCTATTCGAATGACTCTGATCATCCTTTTTCGGTGCTTCACTGTTAGAACTGAGAGACAAAAGATTATTATGTTGCAAAAAATATATATCAAATTTAGGTTAGTCACGCTATCAAATACAACATTAATACATACTTGCTCATGTTGATATCACGCTGTTTTGCGAATGATGCACCCATCAAATGAACAAACACTCCGAATGAATCTTATCGTGATCGAGCTTCAACTACTTATCATGATTCTATGGATTCCTTTTTATAGGTTTCGTATTTACAGCGCTCAGTAAACCAACACATGTCTAACCAGTATAGCCAACTAATTGATTATCGAAGTTTACAGAATCTTCGAGACTCTTCTAGAAATTAAGGGTATATCCATATACTCTCGCATAAGGAAACGAAAGGAAATCAACCAATCATGTGTCAATATAAAGAATACTGTTTTTTACATTATACACATAATTTGTGACAATTTTGTATAAAATGAATAATCGAGCAAATGTATGTCTTGCAAAAATAAATATAGTTACATTAAATTTTTTAAACATTTAATTATTTTGACAAGTTATGTTTACAATATATTATCTGTGAAAATGTTCCGTTTAAACTTGAATTTTTAATAAATAACGTATCAATACTCTAAAGGCTCTAAAGTATTACAAACGTATAAGAGATTGTATCATTTTATTATTTTAATGTTACACTTATTTAAAAAAAAAAAAACTAAGCACAATTATTCAAATATTACAATGTAATTGATAATATATATCATTTTTATTCTATTAAATATATTTTCTAGCCTTAAAAATATTAAAATAATGAATATATAACATCACTAATAAAAAAAATATTACAATGTGATGAATATATCCAATTGTACAGATAATTTCTTATCAATGGATCAGACAAAGTAATGTGGTTTCTTGACTATTATGCCATATTCCGCAACTGCTGGTGTCAGATCTTCCATAGTCAACGTGTAACGCCGGTCCTTTCCCTTCGTTTTTGTATTCTGATTAGCACCACGTGTTTTACAGTGCTGCAGAGCATCATTGGCAATCTCTGAGATAAATTTTTGTGCTGCTAGAGATACTAAACGTACTCTAAAATAAGACCATCAATGTATCATGACATTAAAATCACTGAATAGATATCAAGTTTTTAATTAAAAAATAAAATATATAATAAAATAGTATATTGTCATATTCTTACATCCTCGGGTCAGTGGTGTTGAAACCAGCAGTGTGCAAGTAATGTTCGCTGATGGCATCAGGTACCTGATATACAACATAAAAATTGAACATATAGAATACACAATGCATTTGTAGAACACATTTTTCACAGTGTATTTTATAAAATGTGTAAAACGGTTTCTTTAGGAAATATTTCATCAAGAAGAAAGCTTATTAATACCGTGGGTGTATAATCCTCTAATTGCAAAAGAAAGTCTGACAACGGTTGTCCGGCAGTCTTGTTATCCTCATTGTAAATCGGTGGCGTTTCCCGTGCAGGATTTTCTGCCATTTTTTTATGCAATACGAAAGAGTAAACAATTGTACTATAAACGCTTTTTAACCTATTACTAAACACAGAGAATAACAGAACTATTTATAACGCCACAAACTTGTGGCAAGCCTGTTACCAGCAAGAGACTTTTATCATTGCTACCAACTTCATTTCTTTTAAAATAACTAATTTCATTTACTTATTAAATTGATAAAATTTTCCATGACAATGTTATTATGTCATTAACACAATCTTTCATTTATCAATTAATCTTGATTTCTTTGAACTGTAAATGTTTTTTCATATATCATTAAATGTTTATATTTATTGTAAAAAGTCTAGTTATTTAATAAACAAAATCTCTACAAGCTCACTCAAAGCAGTGTCATCTTTTGGTTAACTAAAACAACATAACAATTGTACATTGATGATGAGTGTACCGACTGCAAAAGATGGCACTGCTTCGATAATACATCTCTAAATTTTTGGAAAGTTTTTTGTTGCAAAATTCAAAATCATTAAAAAAATTTTAAAACAACGTCTTTTTTCGGACGTTTTTAGAACATCCTAAAAAAGATGTCTTATTTGAGACCTTTTTCGATATATTCTTTCCCTCATGCTGCTTGCTGCTGCGTCTCAAATCTGGCGTCACTGATGTAGTTCGAGTTCAATCAGTGACGCATAATGCACGCAGGCGCGGTGTGCTCTCGTGGAATTCGATGTTTTTTTTTTGTTCCAAACAAACGCTGCAACAAATATATATGTTTTCGTGGGTATGCTGTGGAGTACGTGAATACGTGCGGCCTTTTATTTGCCGTTCGAGAGAACGGAGAAAATAATCATCGAGCGATCGGACCACATTTGATCGATTGTGTCTGTCGTAGAGCGAGAGCAACAAGTCGTCTCGCGCTATAGCACTCTTGGTTGCGAATTCTCACAACGAGCGAGGACAACATGTCCGCTGTGATCCGGGCTAGCGTTAGCCGTGACAATTTACTGTGTACGAACGGCGCGATACGATGATACACACGCAATTGCGGTTCTAGGAACGCGATGCGTCTTTGCGCGTCGATGGTGGTCGCGGCGTACGACGATTTCCCACGTGCATTGAATAAGGATGACGGAGCCGGAACTTTGCCGGCTATGCGCCGAAACTAAGGAGAATCTCATCGGTATATATGATGTCGAGGGCGAGAAACTCGGGATCGAAAACAAAATCGCAAAGTGCCTGCGGATAGAGGTAACGCTGTTGCAGCAAATTGGCAGCTTTGCCGTTCTCATGTAATTTTTCTCATCTAAAAAGAAATATTTTCTTTTGCTTATATAAATGTAAATATTTGATGCTGCACATTAATTTCATAATTTGTTTCTTCAAAAGAATATGAAAGTTTAAAATAATTATATGCTTACTATTAGCTGTGTTTCTTTTTACACTATGTTAGATCTGTAAAAAAATATCCTGATGATTCAAATTCTAATACTTATATATTTATTTAGTACTATTCAAAACCATTTATTTTTCCTAAAAATTAAAAGATAGAGGTATAAAATTGAGAATAAGATTTTAACAGGCAACATTTGTATTAAGAACTTGATATAAACTGTAAATATTTTAAAGATAGATAATTGATTTGAATTAAAATAAAATTTGAATTAAGGTGAATTTGAATAAGGTGAAATTATTAATTTAGAAACATTAAAAATTTATATACAGAAAAATAGGTTACTTGTAACAATGCAACTACTTATTTATGAATCAATTTTTTTGTTATGTAAATGTATTCATGATATTCTGGTTTACTATCTCTAATAATGACTTATGATTGTGCAGATTCTAATAACAGACAGTTTGCCACTCTCCGTTTGCATGGACTGCTGTGCTTTGTTGAACCAATGTAGTGAGTTCTTTGAGAAAACCAATCAAGCACAAGTATCATTGAGGCAATTGTTAACGGATCCAAAGTCTGAACCGCAACCAATAGAATCAAATATAGATTATATAGACGAGCTGAAAGTGGAGTATGAAAAAAGTGAGGCCAGCAATAGGGAAGAAGTAGTAGAGTGTCACTTGCCTAATAATTATATTAATGAAACGGTGAATATCTTAAATACTTCTTATTTCATCGAGGGATGTAATAAAGATGAAAATTCCGAAACCTCGGAAATGCAAGATAACGTGAAGCAAAAGAAGTGTAAGATACAGATAAAGAAAGGCTCCCCTAAATTAACTAAGAAGAAATTAAAAAGAAAAAATCAAATACTAAAGATAGAGGAAGAGTCTGAGCTCCACATATCTTCCGAAATGGACAAAGTACAGAATGATGCAGTTGTGAAAAATAATATGAAGATTGCAGATAATTATATGCCTGGTAAGAAATTAATATGCAAAATAATTTTTATTATATATTTGCTTTGTATAGCTTGCTTTGTTTGCTCATGTCTTTAAAATTGTTACATGTAGATTTTTAATTCTAATAGAGTATTTTTAACACAGAAATAGAATCAAATTTAGAAATGAGGGAAACGCGAGCAGTGGAGGCAGCAAAGCACGGAAGGAAAAAGGCAGACGGTTTGGAAAAATATGACTGGCTATGCACAGATTGCAATGACAAATTGCCGAGTCTCGAAGCGTTAGAGGAGCATCATGAAACAGTGCATAGTCAACAGGCCAAATACATGTGTGTGCAATGCTGTAAAGTCTACGATAAGTATTATGGGTTTCTTATTCATGTCAAAAGGCACAAAACTAAGACAAAGTTTAGGTACATATTATTTACTCTTTCATTGCACGAAATTTTTATATGTAATCGTGTTCGTTAATACCGTTCGATTTATTTTCAGCTGTGAAGACTGTGGGAAGTCGTTTGTACATAAAAAAGTATTAGACTCTCACAAGACGATTCACAGTGAAGAGCGACCATTTATATGTCAAACATGTGGTAAAGCTTTCAGACAGCAGAGTGCTTTATATATCCACAATCGATGCCACTTGCCGGATACAGTAAAAAACAAATTCCCGTGCGATCAGTGTAATAAGAGGTAAAATCAATGTGCACATATTTATATTCTTATATTTTCAAAATAATTGCACCTTGAGGAATTATGAAGAATGGTAAAGAAAATCTTTATGTTGACTGTAAAATTCATTTTTAGGTTTTCGACGAAACCGAATCTTGTAACGCACAAACGTATTCATTCTGGTGTCAGAAACTTCACGTGCGATCAGTGCGGCAAGAGTTTCATACAGAAAGGAAATTTGGAAGCCCATTTCTTAACCCATTCTGTAGATAAGCCATATAGTTGCTCCCAGTGTACGAAAGCGTAAGTCAAAACGTCGCGAGCATATACGTTATCGCGTATTTACTAATTCTAATAAAGATATAATGAAATTGCAGATTTAAAACGCCCTTGCAATTAAAGAAACACGAGACAGTACATACCGGCGCCAAGCCGCATCAGTGCGCTGTGTGTGGTAGAACTTTCAGAGAGAAAGGAACCTTAAGGGAACATCACAGAATTCATACCGGCGCGATGCCGTTTACCTGTGAATTCTGCGGAAAATGCTTCCGTTTCAAAGGCATATTAACTGTAAGCAACAATTGTCGGCTTGATCGCATAATATTTCGATAAATTTCATGCAATTTACCTCGCAATTGCAGACACACAGACGGCAACACACCGGGGAGCGTCCGTACAGTTGTTTAGAATGTCAGCATCATTTCACGAATTGGCCAAATTATAATAAGCATATGAAGCGTCGACATGGGATTAATACTTCTCACACCAAGCATCTAACCAACAATCAACAATTGCAACAGCAACAGCCGGTGGAACCAACGCAATCACCTCAGATACAGCAGCAGTCTTCCGCAGAGGATTCTCTTGTCGTACCTCAAACAGAATCCACGACAGTACAAGTATAAAATATTTATATATTTCATTACATTTCGATAATGACAAAGCGAGACATTTTAACAGATTAAAGCACACTGATTCCAAAAGAATTCAGGCTAAGTGAAATATTATTTGCAAAAATGTGAATTTAAATTGTTTCAAACAATAATTCTTTATGCTTTTGATTAACGCAAAATGAAATGAGGATTATTTTTGCAGGTGATACAAGCAGTTCCTCACGCTTCAGCATCGCAACCGATAGTTATACAAGCTATTCCAACGACATCCATTCAGACTTTCCAAACGGATGTCACTAATAGTGTTCAGGAAACGGTATTCAGAGAACGAAATGCAACATATTTTAACGCAGTGCCAGCCGCCCTCCAAAACTTTTTGCCGACGAACTTGCCGTATAATTTTTACAGCATTTCAAATGTTGCTGAAAATGATTTAATTCAACATAGATAAGAATGTTTATTAAGAAGAAGCCTAAGTAGAGACGGCTATGTTTTTGTGCCGATTGGTTGGAATTGAAAAAAAAATGCGATAGTAATTTTATTAACACATGTTGACTGCCAATGATGTTAAAGCTTTTCATGTTTTTTTAACATCAAGCCATACGATCGAACGATTTGATTGCATTGTGTGACTATGCACAGGCGCCGCGGAACCGGGGAAGCAGAGCGGGCGACCGCCCACCCAGAGATAATTCAGGCTGCGCCCCTCCCCCCTGAAATTTTTCTCTTCAAGTATTTTATGACCAAAAATATTGAGCATCAAATATTTACATCAAAAGTGGAAAAATGGGCTATCTTCCTTTTTTTTTTTCGTTTTTTCTTTCTTTTTTTAACTACTCGGTCAATTAAAGTACAGTATATAACGAAGAAAATTAAACGCATTAAGTTAATTAGAACAAAAAATCTGTACATATTTTTCGTACATTTATACTCACTGAGTGGCCTATTATATGGTGTTTGAATGGAGTTACATACGTGTATATATTATGAATGTATTATATATCCCTTTTATAAATTTTGCCCCCTCAGATGAAAAATACTTCCGCGGCGCCTGACTATGCATTAAGATAAATATAACAATACAGTCTAAAAGCAAAATAATAAGTTAAGTTTAATTAATCAATCATATTTCGCAAAATTAATATTTCTTAAAACATCGAATTTCATAGATATTTCACTGCTATGAATTTCTAATGTACAAAACACCAAATTGGCACAGAAACATAGGAATTCGTGAAATGTGTCATACAAATCGTATAATATCAATCTTTTGTAAAGAAAAACCAGATAAATTAATTATATTTTATTTACCATTATTAGTATTAATAATATTATTAGTATGTCTTATTAGTATTATTAGTATTAATAATAATATATACAAAATTGCGCGTGTATATATATATATTATAATGTATATATATGTATATATACACACATACCAATTGCATTATATTACATATAAACATACTTATTTAGTTACATTTATTATCAAATACATTTTGCAAACATATTTCTTAACAATTTCTGTAATAAACATGTATATTATAGCTCTCTAATTTATGTATTAGATGAATGCTCGCATTCACATTGTGATTGTAACTCGAAAATTTATCATTTGTGTTATCTGAAATTTGTTCATTATAAGTTGTATACAAGTTTCCCATGTGCATTATATAATACAAACATAAATATTTTATATAATTATTCAAATTATTGCTAAGCAAAGAATGTAAAAAGTAAGGACAAGCTTCTTGTTTGATTGAATTAAAAAGAGAGAATTTTACCCTGAAAGGATTCAAGAGCTCACGTGTATGATTAATTAGTTAGGTCTCTCAAGGTCACAGAGAGACATCTAGCTTATGCCGTTCGATATCGTATCTGTTTGTCGATTACACAAGATTAGCACCAATTGCCTTATCACGAAGTGGAAACGTGTCGTGCGTGTCCGTGCTTTCTCATTTCAGATAATCCTTTTTCTCGATAATATAACATATTTTTCAAAATACACTTACGAAAATTTCGGTTGATATCGTAGATAACCTAAGAGAGATTAATCGGTGACTGCTAGCATGAGTTTTCAGAATGTCACTCATTGCATCTTCGATATGGATGGTTTGCTATTGGGTAAGACACTTCCGACTCTCGTAGATAAGATAGACGCTTTATTTGATTTTACAATTTGAACAATTTTTATGCCGGCTGAAAGTTCATTCTGTCATCTGCAATACGTTACAATTTTTCTATGTTGATTTCTTAATAATGACTTTTTATGTTATTAATTTCTACAAAAATCAGATGCACTTTTCCTTGAAAGAGGCAAGTAATTGATATACTGATATTTTGTTGTGCCACACAGATACAGAATCGCTGTACACAATGGCATACAATCGTGTCACTCAAGAGCATGGAAAAGCGTATACCTGGGAACACAAGGTGCAAATTATGGGTTACAAGAGCGCTGAAGCTCTGCAAAAAATAATAAACATGTTAGAACTACCAATTACAGTGAAAATGTTCGAGGACAAACTTGCTCCCATATATCAAGAAGTGTTTCCTAAATGTAATCTCATGCCAGGTGAGAACGACATATAATAATAATTTAGCATGTCTTGACTGATTTTAATTGACAGCAATTATTGTATGTAGGTGCGGAGAAGCTGCTGCAACATCTTAAAAAAAATAATGTGCCTATCGCACTAGCTACGAGTTCAAGTCAAGATAGTAGCGACTTGAAGACCCAGAAATGGCAGCACATATTCGATTTGTTCAATCATAAGGTATATGGTGGCTCAGATCCAGAGGTCCTTCATGGAAAACCGAGTCCGGATATATTCTTGATTGCTGCGCAACGTTTCCCTGATAATCCGGAACCTTCAAAGGTTTGTTATAGATTTTCTTAAAGCATTTGAAATGTTCTTTAAATCAATTCTATTTATTTACGTCACAGTGCCTAGTCTTTGAAGATTCGCCGAATGGAGTGCAAGCTGGTATCTCCGCTAAGATGCAAGTGGTGATGGTGCCGGATCCTGAGATTCCTGAACATGAAAAGAAAGCCGCTACACTGGTCTTGAAAAGTTTGGAAGATTTCAAGCCGGAGGATTTTGGTCTGCCGCCATTTGTAGCATGAAGTTATTTATCTTAGCTCGTAAAAAAAAATATTAGACAAATTAGATTCAATTCTATATAACTAAAGATTACAAGATATCATTATTGGTGACAAATGCAAAAGCCTGCAGGCAGGTTTTCCTTAGTATTGATAAAATCTGACTGATGTACATAGATTTTGTTTGGAAAAAAGTGACACATTCTGAAGATGGATATTTTCATATAACAGAGAAGTCATCACTGCCTGAGATAAAAATCCTAATTAAAGCCATACTTACACGAGATCTCTATGCGATATATTTATTATAATATTAAGTTGTAGGAATCACATGAAGTTCCTAGTTTGAAGATCTGTTTTAATATTTTTGTTCTATGTCATAATCATCGATTAAACTTACAAAGTACTGTAAACATTACAAAGATACACCGTTGCTTAATATAAAAGTTGTATAAATATTTTTTCGCAAAAAAAGTGGTAAGTCTCTGTACAACCCTTTTTCTTAGTTTTATGTGTATGTTTTATATGATAAATGTTAATTTTCACTATACACATATGTATAGTAAAGTATCATATGTAAAGTATTGTATCGTTAATTTGTTGCATAAAATCTGTGTTCTCTGAGAATAACTTTGATCTTCTGCCATTTAACTGATATAACTATTTTATTAAAACACTATACATATTATGATACATATTTTTAACATAAACATATTTATTTTTGAGATGCTAACTCTCGAATTCTCCCAAGTATCTCTTCAGATTTCAGATTTGACAAAGGCACACAACGTTCTACACCATATTCTGCAAAATTAACAATTTACAAAATGATAAGGGAGAATTAAACAAGTAAATAGAGACGTGTTCTGGAAACAAGTACAGTTTGTAAAGTCACTCTGATATTGTAAGATGATAAAGCTGTGACGTTCGCTTTTACGTACCATAACGTGCGTACAGTTTCGGTTCGATCGACGAACACTCCCTAACCAAAACGGGAAATCTTGGATTGTTTTTCTTCAACGGCACATACTGTTGCTCGATGAAATCTCTGCAATGTGCACACACAAAAGTTGACGAAACTGAAATTAATTCACACAGATAGTACACTTCTGTCGTCAATTTTTACCTAACGCCTTGACTAGATTTGGACGTTTGGCATAGGAGAATTCTCAACTCTTTCAAATGTTTTCCAAATTTTACAGCAGCCATGTTTTAATTGTTAAAGTTTTGAAAAAAACATAGATTGGTTTTGTCAAAATTCCTAACCCATGCAATTTCGTGTTTGTCAGTTAAAGTTAGGTTGAATTAGGTTAGACTCAGGTAGTGTGTGTTTTCAATGAAATGGAGAATTTTCACGATATATTGTACTGGCAAGTGAATGCAGCCGGAGAGTAAATTATACGATATTGATCACAGGATATCAAAAAACCCGAAAAAAAAAAATTATATTTGAAAATATCAATAAATCGATAGTTTTGATAATCGATCGAGTTAGAGAATAAATCAAAATGAACGAAAATCGAATCGAATGAATCTTTAATTTGAAATCTGATTCACTCTTCAATCCCATTCACTCGTTGCGCTAGTTTTTTAGATATAATTAATTTCTTAGCGATTACATTTGGAATATTTTCACACGGATGTTTCCTGAAACGCGCATGGTCGCCATTGATATATCCACCTTTGATCATTTTTTCGACACATAATCTGCCGCCATTGATTTGATATAAAATAAATTATTATATAAGAAAAAAAAATTTTTACATTTTCTTACGGAGTTAATTATATAAATAATACATTTTTCTTTTAAAAAAATATAATAAATTAATTATCATTGATGTGATATTAACGATATAAGTCGATCGAGTGCTATACTTATCAATTAAATTTACATGAAATTTGCAATGTTTAGTTATCGATTCTAATAAAAAAGAATAATAAATACTACAAATAAAAAATGTAAATCGGGAATTGTAACAAATCATAAACATATCATTTTTATCTCCTAAAGTTTTGGCTCTAATCAAAATTCTCAGTACATTTATACATTAATTAATTTCTTATTTTTATTCTGTTAAATCAGCGTTATGTCTACAACGCAACAAATTGATCAGACAAATATCATTTGTGGATTAAAAGCTGCAGTGACTGCGTTGGAATGGTTAGTTTAATATATTACATTTATCATCCACTCTGTACTTGAGAAAGTTTTGTTAAGTGATCTTAAGGAAATCAGCGTGCATTATCTTGAAATACATATATAAAACATTTCACTTATTATAAGTCATTTTCTCAATACGATTCTTGCGTCACAAATTTCTGAATTTTATATAATATTTTCAGTCATCACGATGCGCAAAGACTGAAAGAACAGAAAAAAAAGATCAAATGTAAGGCAAAGCCGGCTTATATATACACACATATAATAGTGCCTGACAAAAGTTGTGCTGAAAAGAAGAAATTACGAAGTAAGCCATCAGATACGTGTACTACTGCCTTAAAGGACGCCCCTCGTCATTTAACGGAAATTCAAAGTAAAGATAAAAAACGGATTGATAAATGTGAGGTTAGTAAGAAATAAATATAATATATAAACCAACTTTCGGAAAAATCAAATTTTTTAAGGCAACAAAAGGCACTTTAAATAGCATATGTTTAAAACGTGAAATTATTTATGATGTTGCCCTTCCGAATTGGATTATCAGATTGTTTTATATTAATAACGTGCTCTTTTTTGCATTTTCAATACAGAAAACGTCTCGTCGCTTGATCTTCCCAGAAATGCGAGCAGGCATTTTACATACTAGATGTTACTGCTTACACAGAAACGGCCTCCAAGATGATTGTCCATTGTCGCAATGTCAAGGGCGATTAGAATGTTTAATTAAGCCATGGCCCATTTGCCCGCCGGCAAAATTCATAAGACAACGTTATCCAGAGTTATTTCCAAAAACATCTAATATAAATTGTGTTATATGACACTTGTGTTATACCAAGTGTCTAATAAAAAAAAAAAAAGAAAAAATGAAAAAGTATAAATCTATGACTTCTCAAACATATCTTCTGTAATTATTTTCATGAATAAAGATGGTCTTTTTGCAATTAAATATGAAGTAATTTACAATAAAATACAAAGATATGTAAGCATGTTTTGTATTTAATTATATGTTCAAATGTTTAAAAAGCACTTCAATCGAAAATAACGGTCCAGTATATTACAAACATAAAATGTTACAACTTTTTATTCAACTCATTCTTGTTGCTGATTGTTTTTGCAGCAATATCATTCATATTACATATAACAAATTTTTATTATTTTACGATATATAAAAGTCAACAGATATAATTGATACAAAAAAGAGCAATACAATTTTAACGAATTTCAAAGAAAATATAAAGCTATTTAGGTAAGTATCTTGAGATCAAAATACCGAACATGGTATGCGAGTTGGGCAAGCTGGTGGATAAGAAGGTAAATATATTACTGGAGGTAGATTGTGTGAAAAAGAAGGTTCTTCTAACTTGAGAAATGGACAACATATATCGGAAGATTGTAATGCATAATTAGGATTGGCCTGTGATGATGCGCGAGTTTGATAGGAAAGATCGCCGCAAGGTGCTGATTTATACGCCAAGTTATTATTGTCTACGTTACAATCGCTATTATTCGGTATGTTAATCCTTACAGTCATGACATTTGGATTATTACTTCCGCCACATGGCAGAGTTTGCTTTTGACGAGCTTTGTCGCAAACTAGTTTACAATATGCAGCCAGAGCAGCCTCTCTAACTTGCTCCGCTTGATAAAACTTCTTAAGAGCGACCTCCACATCGCCCAAGTCGGTTAATTTTAATAAAGCACCGCGACCTGGCTCGCAGACTGGATACAGTTTGGTCATACATTCCGGTTTACCCATGCAATCCCACATCATGCATCTATCTTGCAGACCATTTCTCTTAATGCATTCGCACTTGTATATTATGCTTGCACGGAAATCGAAACTTTTACATGGTTTCACAAGTCTCTGCAATAGGTTTCATCAATCAATTTACTGCGCGAGTTTAGCGAGTGTAACGCGGTTCGAAATAGTTAATCAAACGATTGTTAGCAAGTGATTATTAGGTAGAATTAGATAGAATTTGTAACTTTTTAAAGAAAATGCAAACACTCACGCATTCGGGTGGAAGGCATAATGGAGGGGCACAGAAAATGTCTGCAGGACAATATACTGTTGGTGAACGAGACGGTTCATCCCACTCGCATGGTTTCCTGTGCAAACACACATTTTTTTATAAATCATACTTATTCATATTCGTCATTAAATTAAATAGGATTCTCATCCATACTTACTTCTTATCCATTGAGCTGATTAAACATTTTAATTGCGCTAATAGCTCGCGCCTTCTATCGCAATTCGGGTTTTTACCATCGCAAGGCATGTTGCTTCTTGCTTCCAAATTTTATAGCACAATATCGAAGGAAATTTTCTTCTAATTAAGTCTTTCCTTTTTTTCTTTCCCCTTTTTTTACTATGTTGTATTTTTTACATTCTCATTTTGCAATATTAATATATATGAAATACATAAAATTTAGCAATTGTATATAAATTTAGCGATGATTATATTGGACAGATATTACAGAGAATTTTTTCTAAACCATAAGTGTCAATTGATCAAAACATCGAGTTTCCTAGCAACTGCGTCATGATTTGTCAATAAAAAAGTTTCGGTATACATTCTGTACAATATATACACATTTATAGAGAAGAACATATGTTTAAAAGAAGGATAGAAGATAATATATATATATATAAATATAATTATATATATTTTTTTTTATACATATAATTATATATTATTAATATATATTTTCAATAGATTTAGAAGTCATGTAAAGATCAAGTAATTTTTTACAACAGGAACCATAAATCTCTTTATTGCATCATTCTTTTTCTTTAAATTAAAAAATTTTTATCTACGACATTACGCAGATATGCTTCATTACATTATAAAAAATATTATATTTTTATGTATTATTATAAATAAGTTTATATGTATCTTTTTTAATTTTTAATAAAATACCTGCTTCATTCAGTTTCGAAATTAGAGTAGTAAAATCATCTATCAAGATACCTTTCGACATTGCAAGCGTTTTCAATTCTTTTACCGAAAATGTTTGTTCTTTATCCGTATTTTTTTCCAGTACCTTTATAAAGGTTTTTATCTAGAAAAAAAGAGAAGAGAATCACAATTAAGAAGTGTAAAGTATTGTAGAATTTTGAATAATTTTAATATAAATATAAAAATAAAACGTAAATACACATATACACATACATACGCGCACAACTTACTTTTTTGTTAGTCAATTTACCATCGGAACTTAATTTTGGTGTTGTATCGTCTAATAAGTTTGTCATTGCATATCGCATTAGATCTATTACATCCAATGCATCTGATTCAGTTGCTTCGACGCGCAATTCCAACTTTGCTCTAGCCTGTAATAAAACAATATAAAATATATTTTACTATTTTACTATTTTACTATTTTACTATTTTACTATTTTATTATTTTACTATTTTACACAACGTGTATGTGAATAAGGAAAGACATCAAACCTCGGTTAATCGAATCATAGCTTCCAATTGTCTGTTGAATATAGGAATGCTACCAAGTTGTTTATTTTTTGATCGAAGTTCTAAGTAATAATTCTGTAATGCTGTTGTGGCTTTCGTTGATAACTTTGGCTTAACATATTGTCGTGCGTAGGAAATATACGTTCTTAAAACAGACTGCAGTATAATCTTTGTAGACAATGGTAACATTAGTTTTTTCCTGAAATGTTTGTCGCATAGTCAGGCTTGCTGCTTTTTCTTGACAAAAACAATTTGAAGAAACAAATACAACAAAACTAAGTACGGTATAAAAATATCATCAACTGATTTGCATTCTTCACAATCCAAAACACATCTGCAAAATGGAAAGAAAATTACCTCAAAGAAGATTCATCATTGGAAAATGATTCCATAGCTTCTGCATTATATTCCGCAGGCGAACTGGTATGGACAGTCATAATATGTTTGCATAATAAATTGTCAAAATGCTATCACAAATAAAAAGATAATATCTAAACATCTTTCTCCAAATATAAACTTATTCATCATCTATACAATATGTGCTAATATTTGTTTAAATGTAACTATTAATGCTTCTACAAATATTTCCTTACCTCGTCTGGTTTATCCAATAATAGAAAAATTAAATCAAATCGCGAGAGAATAGGCTGACTAATATTTAGGTTCTCGGTTATTGTTTTGCTCTTGTCATATTGCCCTCCAATAGGATTAGCCGCTGCAAGGATTGACGTCCGCGCAGGAAGAGAACATATTACACCTGACTTTGCTACAGTAACTCTTTGCTGCTCCATTGATTCTAATAACGCCTAAAGGACATATCAAGATAACTGAGATTATTAACTTCACCCTTTCTTTGTATCAATATAATTATTAAATCTGCAGCATCTTATGTTTCTTACATTTATGACATTCATTTATCATATAAATGCATATTTTAACATATTTATGTTGCAAACAATATTTATAATATTATTTTACCTGATGCTGCGAACACATCTTATCGAATTCATCGATGCAACAACAACCTTGATCCGCTAAAACTAAAGCACCAGGTTCTAAAGCAAAATCATTTGATCCCGTTTCTTTTGAAAGTGTTATTGTTAATCCGGAAGATGTACTTGCATTACCGCAAATGTATACACCTTTTAACAAATATATACAAATTTTCATACATAAAATATTTATGTATTACACAAAGAAATTTTGCAAATTATTAATTTTTTTTTAATTCTTACCTTTAGTGCATACTCGAGCGCATGCTTGTAGCATCTGCGATTTGCCAAGACCAGGATCTCCAACTAATAGGATATGTATGTCATCTCGGAATTGCACGCGTTTGGCGTTGCCTCCAAATAAACTCAATAACAGTCCAGCCTTGACCATCTCATGACCATATATATTAGGACATAATGAATGCACTAATAATGCAAAAATATTCGGTTCTTTATATATATCCTGTATGACAAAAATAAAAGCATTACTGAGAAAGAACATGATTATCTCAAAATGATTAAACATATCGTTTAAGAAATAATACCTGTATCGTTACATAATTTTTAAAAGAAATTTCATTATTCATAGAACTATTATTTTGATATCGATGTTTGTTATTGATAACCGTTATTGCTTTCATATACAATGAAAAAGGGGTCCCGACTTGTGTCTTTGCTACACTATCGTCGACGTCTTGTACCTGAAAAATTATAAGGATTATATGGATAATTTTTCTACCCTTTTTGTTTTGGCTTTTAAATATTTACATCTTTTTTATATTATATAGTAAGATATTAATGTCGTGCAGCCCACATAAAATGTTACAAGTTTATACCTCCAAAACTTAATAAAATTAAACAATTTTTATATTACTTACATATCTTGTGGAAAATTTTATAATAGTAAAAAAATTGAAGACAACTTCTTAAATTCAAATAAAACTTCATAAAAGCTAACATTTTTTAATTCTACGATAAAAAACAAAAAAATTTCAAATTAATGAGTAAGATTTTCTATGATAACCTATCAAATATAAAGTATACATTTTTTAAAATAAAATGTATCTATCAAAAGTTATGAGCATTTAAAGTTCTAAATTGATCAAGTGATTTTTGAAGTAACAAACTTGTAACATTTTATATGGACTACTCTATATATGCAATACAAATATATAAAAAAATTTTTTCATAACACATAAAAAGAATATTTCTATACAACTTTTCTTTGAAAAGTACCTTCATAATGCCTGTAAGTGTTATGTCATCCCCAGGCATACAAATATTAACTAAATGGTCCATAAGTTCTACATCAAGTACTTTAGGCACTCTACCTTTATTATCCTGCAAAACATTAATTAAAGTTATGTACAATAAATATTTTAAATAATAGCAAAACATTTTTAATATTAGAACGCATTTAAAGTATTGTAAGTAAAATATATTAAACAAATTATACTAATTGCTTTTTAAATTATAAATTTATTAATTATAGAAAGATAGAACTATTGTTAATTTTTTTCATAGAGATAAACAATATCTGCTAAACACTGAGATAAATAGTATTTATAAAATTTTATTATTTAATAATATTTTAAATAAAAATACTACCTGTTCATCATTTAATGGCTCTTGTATTCTGATCACTTGGAACAAAATACTTTTAACACAAGGTGAATCTAAAACCGGATAAAATTTTGAAACACCACACACATCACACTTTTTTGGCAACGTATATAATTCCTCTGAATGTTTGACTAATTTTTGTAAGTGACATTTGGAACACGCAAATACCATCCACTGTGAAAGATATTTTACTCTGCCAACTCTTGTTACACAGCCTCTAGTAGATACCAATTTTTCTGCAAAGATTTCCATAAAATAACAGTTATTACTTAATGCTAGAATAAAAAATATGACTAATAAATATTACAACATATATCTTAATAAAAAAAAAAGATTATAAGTCTATACAAAAATCTATATACATACCATAACAGTTTAACTTAACATCTCTTAAGCATGTAATTGGCTGATAATTCAATATATTTAATTTTATTGTTGGCAAACTACTAACGGATTTCAGAACATACTGTAAGTTTTCTTCAGGTATTGTCTCAAAAATTTTCTAAAAGCAACAAAAATTTATAACAAGATCAAAATTGCAACAGAGCAAAAGTAATAAAAAACTCTATTAATAATAAAGTTTTTCAAGCAAGCAATATATAACAAACAATAAGATTAAAACTAGTCATAATAGTTAAGAATAATAGCATAAGAAAAAAAATATACCTGATGAATAGCAAGTTTTATACAATTTAATGTATCTGTTGGATTTTCATATATTTCATCTTTAAACATTGACCACTTCTTCATAAATTCATCATCATTGTAAAATTCATATATGTCAATGTCAAAAGACATCCCTATCTCCAAATTTTTCATTGTAAACAACGAAGATAATGCTTGATGTCTTTCTATAAATGCCTCAACAGCTTTAATTTGTTTTACAATGCTACAATCAGCTTTATACTCTGTACAAATAATTTATTAGTATGTAAAATATATTGTGTATTGATATATCTTAAATATACAAATTATACGATACCTTTGTCAGAGAAAAACAAGTTCCAACCATAATACGGAACATCTTTATCTCTATCAATGCAGAGCTTATCAGGACTATGATTTGTTTGGTTTTGATCTGAAATAATTTTAGAGGGTTTATGTTCATTAAAACAAACTTGCAATACAATTTATTTTCTTATTTTTTTTTTTAATCAAAATATATTTTTAACATTTAATAAGATTTTTTCGTAAAGTTTCTTTCCATATAATTTAATTTCATCTATTTTATTATTTTATTAGCACATTCACATAAAATATAAAGATAACAATAAATAAAATATAAAAGATAAAATAAAATAATAACACTTACGTGGTTCGTTGTTACACTGTTTGCTAGCTTTTTTTCTTTTCCAGCTTTTCGTACGAACATTTGATTTATCACCCATAATAACCTATATTTTTAAATGAAAAAAGGGAATAGCAATGAGCATATATTATTATTGTATTTTTTGTTTTAAGTTTTAATGGCACATATAAATAGACCAAAGTTTCCATCTATATCTTTTCTTTTTATATTTTTCTTATAGTAACATAACTTGCTCACAACACAAGAGTTTATAAATCGCAGACATATCTATATTTTCCAGTGTAACCACAATAGCGCTTCTCGCCTTTGGCTACGTTTACAAGATCGGCGTTCAGTAAGCGATCAAATTTGATTGGTGGACACTTTGAAACGCACCTATCAGATTCAATTGTTACTAAGTGCTGCAATCCGCTGGTTTACTATCTATTTACAATAAATGTCTATAGCCAGACTCTCGGTTCTAGGAACTTCGACTCGGCTGTCACTTCTGTCAATTTTTAAAAAACTTAACATCTTCAATTGTTATTCGTAAAATAATAAAAATTCAAATTCTAAACTAGGTAATTGTGCACATTTTTAGATGACAGTGAAGTTAATTGAAGATATTTATTTATTTCTTACATTTTCAGCTACGCGTACATTTAATGCTTGGCGTGCGCGTCTCAGTTGAAAACAACCCTAAAGATAAGTTCACGTGTGTGCAATTGATGATTTTAAGCCATTGTTAAATCAAGTAATGGAAAACAGTACTTCCGGCATCCGGCAAACGCCCCAGTACGCCGATTAGTATCGTTAGATTTTAATTTCTACGTGCGATAAATCATCTGTTGCCGCATTCATCGTTTCTGTTCAAAAAAGCGATTGTGTTGGTGACGAGTTGCGTGGAAATTCACTCACGGTAAGCGGATAAAGGATTCGTATAGTGTCGCACAACAAGTCGTAAGATGGTACAGCTGGCTTCTTGATGACTTTCTTTTGTTTATTTTTGATAAGAGACCATGTTAAGCATTGGTAATGGCGCGAAACGAAATCCGCAGTTCATACGAGTAAAAGCGCATTGCGCAACTTTATTTCTGTAATGAAAATCGTAGAGAAAACGTTTTGACGGAAAAAGTTTGGTTATCTCCAACTGCGTTCCGGCTAGCATTGCGTGAGTCATGCATTCCACTTGACATTTCGATATCGCTGACGTATATTCTTGGAAATTGCACCATGCTGTTTACTGAAGAGTTGTAATTTTCATGAAAATTTTCTCGATTTTGCTAGCTTTGTTCATTTATATTTATAATAAGCAATTTCAAGTCGATTTATCTACAGAATTTGATGCGTTAACATATTTTGCAATTAAATCTCAATTAGTTATCTGTACTATTTCACTCGGCGATTTTTAATGTATGGTATTCATATATAACTTGAAAAGTGAAAATTTCTAAGGGTTATTTCAAAGAAAGAGTATCAAAACAGGAACGTACAGACATTAAACAGAGTGGAGTTGACAGAGTTGGAAGCGTTCAAAGATTCACAAGCAGAATTGTTCTCGATAACTTGTTAGCCGGAATTGCTGACTCAGAAATAAGTGGCTTTTAGTTATTGTTCGCATATCTTCATCCGTGTATGGCTTCTGTCACACGTATTACAACAGATGTTCAAAAGTTCTTCTGCACAAATGCAGGCTTCTATTCACCGAATTAATGACTGTCGAATTCTTTTGAAAGTCTATGCCTGTCGTGTTGAATATTGTGGTAAATGCATTTTGAATAACTTGTCCAAAGCTTGTCCTCTGTTTCTATCAATTTCTCATAAACCAGCTGTTTTGCGTGCCCCATGAAAAGAAATCAGGTGGCGTTGAACAATTCTGCTTGTAAATTATATTAATGACATATATTAAATTATAGAATATAAAGTATATTAATTAAAAAATGAGTTTGCTTTTATGCAAACTTTCCAATTTGCTACATGACGCTATAAAAATTTGATACATCATTAATTATTATAAATTTTTAAATATTGAATTTTTGTTGTTACTATCTTTGTTAATTATTTCTACTATCTAGCTAATTTAGCTTTGTTAATTATTTAACGATTTACATTGCGTACGTCAAAAGTGGAGAAGTGGCGCGATTGAGAAGTTTACAACCAACGCTATTTTAGCACTTCCGAAATTGTACACCGTTTTCGACTCTCATCCGAAGAGGGGCAGCACAGGAAATGGTGTTTTGGGCGAGACGAAGTGAGGTGTGATGAAAGAGAAACGGAGACGACGCACCGAGCCGGTCGAAACTGCGAACATCGAACCGGGTTGGCCGTTCTCTAGCCATCACCTCTGCCTTCGTTGTCGTTACCGCCTTTCCTGCCGCTTTATTATTTCATAGACTCTGCTGTCATTCCGCAACATTTGTCAGTAGAAATTGAAAATCTACACATTCAGGTTTTATTCAATTAATCGAATTGCGAGTGCGGGTTGCATCTTGTTATTCAGAGAGCATTTGCATTGGGAGTATATCGTTCTCTTGGAATGAATTCAGCTTCCCAGATGCTCGCCAAGACTGATTTACAGACTCTTGTATTTGTATCCCAATATTATAAACAATGTGAGAGTGCTCGATATGCTAATTCGATAATTAAATTCGATTTTCTTATTTTTGATTAAATTCTTTTCAAGTGGAAATTATGTGTTTTAAATATACATATTTTAAATATATTTGAAAATTTTGCGATGGTCAAAGAGATGAGATTAGATATCGATCTATAATTTATGATTCATAAATTCATATTTTCGGAAGTGTGTCACATTTTGACAAATGTTTGTGCAGTTTTTTTGATTCATTAATTATCTCGCTGTTTGCTTTAAAAAGTTTGTTTGGAACACGATTGTGTGATTCGCGTTAAAGAAGACCGGCAAACCCATTTTCTTTAAAAAATTGTGCGTTTTATCGACTCTATTTGTTATTGATTATCAATCGCTTATACCTGACGAATTATTATTGACGCTGTTTTAGTGAAGATAATTTTTACAATTGCGATAACGATAATGAAGAAATGGTGTGCTGAAACATTGTGCGATTAAATGATCGTTCCACGTCGACAAGGAAGTCTGCGGTTTTTACTATTTTACAAGACGACGGATTCTAAGAAAAATACGATAGAAATAAAACATAGAATCCACACGAGGCGTTTACAAAGCAGAGAAACGAAATACATTTTAAATCGTACATTTATTATCGGCTGTGAAACTGTTGATTTTATCAAGTTTCATGTTAAACGTATTTGTTAACATTTCTTACGAGTTTATTAAGAAGCTACAGTTTTCTCGTTCAACTAGATAAAATTTTGCGATGTTCATTTATAAGTGTTTACGAATGGCGGAGGAATTGTAATTGTTAAAAACTATACTACCACTCGTTAACTTTATAATCAGTATTAAAGACGGAAGGGTGACAGCAATAGCGATTGAGTGACAGTTGAAGCACATGATATAAAATGTTCAAGTGCTGTATGTGTAATAGTACGCCGAAGAAAGCGAACGAAGAGACAAAATTGAAAGCGAACGAAGAGACAAAATTGAAAGCGGACGATATGTCGATCGGATCGCCCAAACTAACTGCGGTCTCCGAGAAAGTGGACGATGATAATCAGTCCTTGACGAAAGCGAATAAGCTGAACGGCAATGTGCAAAGAGTGGAAAAGACGCCTTCAGTCGCGTCGGACTCCACCCCGGTTCGCGCTAATTCCATAATAAAGAATTCGTGCGAGATTCCGCAGAATGGAAATGCCGACGTCGAGGAAAATTTAGATGAGAATTCGATGGAAAAAGCGCCCGATAACTCGATCGCTGACGATCCAACGAAAGTGCGGACGAATTCAGACGAAAATAGTATTAATTTTAGTGGCCTTGATAAAAATGAGGAGGGGGACAATGTCAATTCTGGCGTGATAAGCGTCACCAAAACGAATCTTTCCGACACGTCGGGATACGTAGAAAAGATAACCGACGGACCGGAAGATGAAGGTGACGACTCGGTTTTCGAAGCCTGCTTGAGTGAAAATGAGACGGTTAAAGCACCACCAGGTACAACTTGTTTACGATCCATGTCCTACGCAGGCTTTTTTAATCTCTGTTAATTACAGATTGCCAAAGCAAGTACTCTACACTTGTTGCACTACATATTGGTCTGTAGAGTATCTGCTTTTTTTATAATTTTACATTTAAAAAAATTTTATTGTCAATTATTATATTATCGGAGAACATTTCATGATCAGAACTAACTTTCTGTTTCAATTTTAAAAGCTATATTATTTTTGCAAATGTTGACACTTTACAAGTCTGAGGCGAATTTTGACAATAAGGAATTGGCACAAAAATCTCATTTCTTATATATCTTGCATCAAAAGCAGAACACATTTTGAGGAAATATTCAGAAGATGAAGCTAGCACCCTCACTTTTAATCGTAAATTTCTCGAGTAGATTGGAAATAAAGCACGAAATTGGCACCTAAATTTTAGTATAAATCTTATTTAAATTTTTTGTGATGCTAGCTTGACAAACGTTGATGTTTACGAGTGATTCAATACTCATTAGTTCATAAAAAAAAAGCATTGAGCAAGAGATTAATTTTAAACTCAATGAGCGGGACAAAGTGGGATGCGCATTTTAGACTAAAAAAAAAAAAAAAGAGAAAACGAGTCTCTTGAAGAAAAGCCGACGTTACATGTCGTTTCCGCAGCTGCCTCGATTCCAAGTTTGCAATTGGAAGAAGATGACGGCGAGTATGCCTCAGAAGGATGCAGCGGCATGCAAGAGCCGCCTGCGACGCCGGTTGCTCGAGACGAGCTAGCTTTGCGGCGACACAGATTTTTCTCCGATTTGTTACAAGCAGCCCAGAATTCGACGGAGCACAAAGTGAGATTCGACCCGCTGGGACCGATGGTGCACTCTGGTTAGATTTCAACTCGTCTGAATTTTCCTCCATTTATATTTTACGTAGCCCAACAGCCAAAGAAGTCTGCGATCTCACGCTATCTTTATGCACTGCGTGCTTGAAATTTCACATATCTGAATAATAATAATTAATATTGAATATTATTTGTAAAATATGCAATAATCGACTACAGCTGTATGATGTGATTTTTCCGGAAACGTAATCTCGAAATGTAATGACTCAAATTTTCACGCATCTGTGCAGAAAACAATATTGTGATTACGTTACGTTGTGAATCATTTGCCGCGCCTATTTATATGTGTATGTATATACTCGCGCGATGTTGGAAGATTCTCTAATAATAGTCTGGAGTATTCTTGCGTCGGATCATCCTTTGAGGTGTCTTTCAGTTTCTTGCCAATTTTCGGAAAGTTTAGCCGTAACGCTGCCTGCAATAAAACAATTGCGGTATTTTTCTAAGCATAAGCAACATTCTGATTCCAACAAATGAGGTCAATATAATTAAATACATATGCCAATCTTTTAACGCGCGACTACTTGTAAGTCACGTTATAATTAACGTGGCTATTTATAATTCGCATTTTGTGTATATTTAGTGTTCTACGTATTCCAAGTGTCTGTGATTTCCAGAATTTCTGATCTTTCTTCAACAAGTTTTATTCCATTTCGTAAACCTTGTTAATTTTCACCTTTTTTTCAACGCGAATGAATAATTTTGTGCTTTGCCAAAGTGCAAATATTTATATTAACATTTGCTTGTCGACTTACAGGTGGCGAAAATAGCGATAGAGAAGAACATTTAGAAGAGCTGGTGAACCGGTTGGAAAACGTGACGAAACGACTGGAAAACATATCGGTACACTCTGCAATTCAAACTCAAGACATCGCTATACAGACTTCTTCACCTATTTTAAAGGAACCTACGTCAGCAGCAAGTACTCTGTCGGAAGAAGACATTTCCATATCATCGACCATCCATTTGAACGAACAGGCAGTTCCGAATCAGCCTACAAACATGTCTATAGCTGGATATGAAAATCTCTTGTCTGGGTCGGTTAGAGAATACGTGGAAATAAGTCAGAAGATCGGCAGTGATGTGGCTGAACATAGCAAACTTGTCGAAAAACTTTTTCAGTTAGTAGTATCTCCATTTTTATGATAAAGCTGCAAATGCAGGCGCGCGTCGAATAAATTATGAAATATGCTTTGCTTAATTTTAGAATGCAATTCGAATTCATACAAATGGCGCAAAAACGTCCACAGCCGACAACTCAGCCCGAATACATAAAGCTGCTAGGGCCTATGTCGGTGGTGATCTCGAAAATCCAACACTTTCGCGAGGAGAAGCGTTGTCTGACTAATTTCTTCAATCATTTATCAGCGGTTAGCGAAAGTATCCCAGCTCTGGGATGGGTCGCCATGAGTCCCGCGCCAGCCCCGTTTGTAAAGGAAATGAACGACGCCGGTCAGTTTTATACGAATCGCGTATTGAAGGATTGGAAGGAGAAGTAAGCCTTTTTTTTAGAGAGAGTTCTTTCGCGACTAATCATTGTTTCGTAATTTTATAGCTAAAATGCTTATCTGTTTACAGGGACAAAATACACGTGGACTGGTGTAAAGCGTGGGTGCAAACATTGACCGATTTACAACAGTACATTCGCCAGTATCACACAACGGGTTTAGTGTGGGGAAAACCTGGTGCTGCGCCTACAAATGTACCACCTCCTCCACCCCCCTCGATGCCAGCTGCAGACGTTGCACCGTTAGCGGTGAATGACGACAGAAGCGCCCTTTTTGCTCAAATTAATCAGGGAGAAGATATCACGAAAAGTTCGTATATCTCGGTATACTTGTGTGAACTATAATAAGTACACTTCACGTCTGCGCGTAGATAATATAAATGCTATCCAACGTGTCGTCTAATTCGTAGAATTGCATCTTATATTTTTGTCGAATCGCTTTGTGTGTGTCGCTTTTCTTCTACAATCTATGGATACATTACACGATATCTAATACATTGTAGATTTGAAGAAAGTTACTTCGGATATGCAAACACATAAAAATCCTGGTCTGAGATCCGGTCCTGCGCCATTCAAAGCGCCGGCTACTAACACGGCAGCATTAAAAAGTGTGCCACCGGCGAACGTGCCTATCGACAAACCATCTGTATTCACTAGGGATGGCAAAAAATGGCTTGTGGTATGTAAATAATGTTTTACAACAAATGAGTAAGTATTTATGGATTCGTCTGATGTATATGTTATATTTTTTTTTATAGGAGTATCATAAAGGCGAGAATTTGACAATCGATAGCGCAGAGATGAATAATGTGGTTTATATGTTTCGATGCCAAGATAGTACACTTACTATCAAAGGCAAGATTAACTCCGTCGTTATGGATTCCTGTCGTAAATCATCCGTTGTATTTGATTCCCTTGTGTCCAGTATTGAATTTGTTAATTGCCAAAGTGTACAAATGCAGGTATGTATTAATGCAATCGTTTTCTTTTATTGCTGTCATGGTTTTAAACAAAACTGTGTTTATATTGAATAAACAACTTGATTACGCTTAAAAGATAGATAACATTTGCAAATGTCGATAAAAAAGTTTTGAAACCAGTTTACACAATTCTCTTCTTAATAAATAAATGAGAAATCACTCTTTTCTGAGCAATCTTTGATTTTAGAATATCTTTCAGACAGTTTTAAGTCAAGTGTAAACATATTTATTTAGAAAAATATATTCTTCTAAAAGAATTTAACAGATAAAAATCTTAAAAATATATACATAGGTAAAATAGGTTATATACGTTTATTTAATATTGATCAAAAATTGATGTATCTGTAATGGAAGGTTTCGCGATTCTGCTGTTTTAAATAATTTTTAATAGTGATAATTCGTTGTTCTTGCATCCATCGAATAATTCTGTTATTAAAAAAAAATAGACTGCAGTCAATAAATGTCGTCGAGAATATTCGAAATTCCTTAGTAATTTGTTCGGTTTCACTATGTTTACTGTATTTCCATATTCAATTATAGAAATTGTTTTTTAATAATATTTTGTTTTACTTCTTTTTTCGTCGAATTGGTTGATTTCTTTTCACATTCATCTTCACGTGTGAATTTTCCGTGTTTGATAGATTTAGAGGATGCGTTATCTATTTTTGCAGCACTTATTATTTTTTCCTCGCTAAAGTATGGATTATTATGCGAAATGGAATTGCATTTAGATTTCGGCTTGCATTCTGCATGTGTCACACCAGTAATCTTTTTCATCAAATTCTGCAATTCCAAGTGGGAATATTGCTGAAAATCCATTTTCAATGGTTTGTGTTTGTTTACCGTGTTTTCGAAAGTTTACATCAACTGTTGTTTGCTTATTCTCTGTATTTGGAGTGATGCACTCTTTAGAACAAAGTGTTTCGCTTTTCGCCACTTTGGGTGTGGATTTAGAATCTATTGGAAGAGATCGGTCAGTTCCTTTCCTTTTTAATTGCGCGTCATTCTTATCAGATAACGTGTTCTGAATAGGAGTAATAAGCGCTAACATTTCTGGGTTTTTTCTCAAGCGCGTATCGGGACTGCGTTCTAAAATGTCATTTTTCAACCATGCATTTATTGAAAGATCCGGTAAATCCTTTGAAAAACTAGCGACTCGATTGATATTGTTGCAACTGGGTGAGGCGATCGGTCGATTATACAATACTATATGATTTTGTTCATTTGAACATAAAAAAGTATCGCTTTCGTTTTGACATCGAAGCTCTCTACATGTTTCGGATATTGTTCTATTTTGGTTTTGAAGAAAAGTGCCCATGTGATCCCTGATATTTTGAACTTGTTCTAATACGAGATCTTCAAGCTTTAATATCGATAAATATTTATCGATTATATTGTTGTGGATGTCGTCGACACCTGTGTTTTCTCCCAAACTATCCGAATTCACATGATCCGGAATATTTTTCAACACAGCTTTTCTTTGTACTGATTTGTTTGTATCATTTTTATCTTGGTTTTCCACGCTATTTGGCATTGCGATTGAGATTATTTTTTCATAAGTCGGAGTTGATGGCAATGATACATTATTTTTAATATTATCATTTTTATAAATCGCCAGATCGGTAATGCTGAAGTATTCGGATGGCGTTTTAGAAATACGATTCTGCTCTTCTGTATCTCTTCTATGATTCTGACGATGCGGAAGTGTATTTACTTTCTGCAGAGATTGAGAAAACAGGTCGCGCCGTTGTTTCATTTCTAAAGAAATGTAACATTGATTAATTCTGTTGTGAGAATAATCGGCAACTGGTTCTTCCGCTTTGATATCCAATATCATAGAAGGAAAATTATTTTTTATTCGCGTCTCACATTCCGGCAATTCGTCTGCTACGTCGACTTGTTTCATGCTATTTACTGGGCACTTTTTTCTTGATTGTGTCAGTAAAATTTTCTTGAAATGCAAAGCTTCCTGAAGCAATAAGCCTGTTGATTTTTCTTTCGCATCACTATTATTTAGTATCTTGCTACGACTGCTGTTTTGAGATATATTTTCTTCGGATTGTTTTGCGTCAAATGTATCGCTAAGTTGATCAGTATCGAATTTTTTCGTCAAAAACGTTTTGTTTTGAGTTTTTGTGTTTTTATCTTTCAACGATTCCGATGATAAGACGTAACATATTTTTTTCGACGTTACTTCCGGTGCCTTTTCTTCAAAATTGAATAAAATGTTTGTTTTTATTGTATCTTTATTGACTTTGGGACGTGATTCTAACTCGTGATTATTATTGCGATTCGAAATATATTTGCGTGTGTTTGCTTCGCGTTCAGTTTTATCTTTCGGTATTTGAGACATCGCTCTGTAGAAACGCGAATACCGATTATAATCGTACGGTTCTGCAATCAACACTGGAAGATCACTTGTGTCAACTGACTTCTGTCTAGTGTTGCGTTGACTAAATCTTTTAGAATAAGTATTTTGCGATGTAACATCGCTAGAATATCGACACGTTTTCGATGTATTCGATGAATATTCAAAGGAAGATAAACTTCCTTCCAAACGATCAAATTCAAAATCTTCGCAACTGTTCGCGATCGAGCGGCATGATTGTACTTGCTGCAAACTTTCTTTCGAATCGCTATTACGATTCGTATTAGTTTTGTCTTCGTCCACTTCTTTGATCCCATATATTTTAGGTCCGACAGATGTAGACGCATCACTGATTTCACTGATTTGATTTATCGATTCCTCTCTTTTCACAGACTGGGTCATATGTTGATATGTTTCCAATATATCATGCAAACTATGAAGTCTCTTTCTGACTTTGTACAAAGTTTCCCGAGAAGAACGTACGATGTGTGCTGCTTGGATTATCGGAAAAATGGGGACGAGTTTCCTCGGAAACGCGCCCTCGTTGCTCGTTACAACATCGGCAGATGTGTCTTTATTATATTTGTCTATTATTTTTGTTACATATTTTCTATCGTTCGTCTTTTTCTTTTTTACTATTGCACGTCCATTAGAAGATTTGTTTCTTCTTTCCGTCGTAAGTGAAGCCAGCTAGAAAGATCATAATTGTTAAGTCATAATTAATGATTCTAATCTTAATGTGACGAATAATAAAATTTACCTCTTTTGCACGCGTAGTTTTCAAGGAAGGAGCCTCGCTTGCTTTTCGCGAATTATTTTTGTATTTCAAGTTCTTAAAAAACGATTTACATTTGTAGACATTGTCCGTTAGCTTTTGACACGAACTATATTTAGCGCTCGTCGAATGCATCGCACATTTGCCACTCTGTCTTGAAGGTATTTTTAAGGATTGATGATTAATCTCGTCTGGCACCAAAGGTAGAACCTTCATATCTTGGTGTTGTAATGTGAAATCTTCGCTGTTGGCGAGCGAATCACTTCCTTTTGTATTTACATTTTGCGGACGCGGATCTCGTGGTCTCCGTGAACACATTCTGACAAAATAAGTTAAATTTATTATACAGGTTGTCTCAAAGCTTGTGAACTTTCTTTGAATTCTGATCCGTAGCATTACAAGCCAAAGTAAAATATATGATAATTAGTATATTATTGCTTTTTAATTTTAGATAAAAAATTTCTAATTTTCTACGTTTTTTACTAAAGAAAATATGCAAGACGAGAAAAATATCAAGAGAAAGTGCAAAATATTTTCGAAGCACTCTATGCATATTATTTTGCTTATTCGCGTATAAAGCATCTAAAAGACATGCTAGCACTTGCAAGGAGCATTAAAGTTAATAAAAGATCGAATAATGTATTCCTAATGTTTGTACTTTACAGATTGATCACTGATAGATTTTGAGATTTCAATGCTACTGCAATCCGTTGATAATTTATTACATTGAAGCCGATGTGGAATATGCTGTTGTTTTATGTCAAAAAATTTCGGCAGTTTTGCCTTCGGAGTAAACGTGTTCGAATAAAGAGTACACATATTGCTCTCTGCAGGACTGAAACATACATAGCACATCGCGAATATTAAAATCTATTTTCGATTTTATAGTTAACTTATCGTAAGTTCGATAATTAATGTTTTCAACAATTTTATGCACCTTAGCAACACGTGCTTTATCCAGTTTTTTCGATCACCAGGATTGGATAAAGTCATTCTGATTTTTTGCAACTTTTTCGGATGTAAATTATAAATTTGATGTGGCAACGGCCACGTTCCATATTGCACTTTATACGTTAGTACGTTGACTTTCAATTCCAAATCCCGAATTTTATACTCAATTTTATTTAATATTCGTTTATTGAGCACGATATTCTCCACATGCATGTTTCTGTGGTACTTTATACGAATAAGTATCGTAAGAACGATGACTATTGCCAAAACCTTCAAGTGTTATAAAAATATGAAGTGAAACTTATTTTCAAGCTATTCATACTGTGAAACCAATTTTAACTTTGCAAAATTTAACGCAAATAATTAATATGTTTTAAATATTTACGAGACATAAAATTTAATATCAACTGCCAATAGCGGGCAGAATAATCGCGTTTGCTTCTCGTACCCATATTATTCCATCTTTCGCAAAATACTCAACAACATCGGATACCATCTCGCACCACAAATAATTTGCCACTGTGGTCACACATTCTTGCCAGTTTGTCGTCTCACACATTACTGCTGCAGCTTCAAAATTTCCACCTGAAAAATTTCTGTTCATTGAATTCTTCGGAAAATAGGTGTTTACAAACTATTATGTTTAATATATATTAGCGTGTGAAGATAAAAGCAATCCTCTTTACCAATTTTCCACGGCATTTCTTTACGTTTTTATTTGAGTAATATATAATAATACAAATAAATTGTATATAGAAAATTCGAGGAACTGTCGAGTTTCGTATCTTCCACTACCGATACATGTTTAACACGTTTTATGTCAAAACTGAGAACTCACGCGCAGGCAATTGTTATTGCCGCACACTCTGAATATATTTCCAATTTCCTTTTAAGAGAATTGTGTACTCGGTCGCAGAAAGATTGCAACAATTACTTATTATAACCTTTTTGTGTCAAATGTATCGATATAATTGTAGCCTCTGACAATCATGTGCTTGCAGGTTCTTGGAAAGGTGCCGACAATTTCCATTGACAAAACGGATGGCTGCCAAATGTATTTAAGTACGGAATCCCTGAATGTTGAACTCATTACGAGCAAATCTAGTGAAATGAATGTTATGGTTCCCAAAGCTAATGGAGATTACGTAAGTGTTTCTTCCGTTGATGAGCAGACGCTCTTTCGCGATTCTTGCGACTATGTAGATATTTCACTTTACAGAGCGAATATCCGGTACCGGAGCAGTTTAAGACCACCATTAGCAAGAACGGAAGTCTTCATACTATGGCTGTCGATTCGCTCGGTTAAAGGCATGAAGAGTTTATTTACGCATAGCCTACACATCTTAACAATATAACTCATTAGAGGTATGATATCAACTTAATATTCTTATGATTATTTATTGTCTTCTTCGGGTAATGGAACTAAAGAGAAAAACAGTTCCAACATTGTATGTCCCGCTTATGTGTAATGAATTCACTTTAATCATATATATTGCTACGTTCATAACGGAGTGTAGCGTAGTAAATTATACGCATCAACGAGATGTATTTGGTAATAAACAGTATTTGGTAATAACGTATTTATTAAAATTGCTGAAGAAATTTCATTCGGTCTAAATAGCTGTTTGAGTCAAAATTGTTAAATGATTTGGCTGATATAAATTATATTGATTCGCCGAATGGAGAATCTTCTATTAAATTATATTCTGTGAGATGCTGAACTCTTAATTATTGTAATATGTCTAGTAAGATTTGGATTATTGTTGAATTCTGTTTACGAAGGTATTTGCGTGTTCAGATTGAAAGCAAGAAAATATAGAGGTGATGTTAGATGTAATATGGACCAAAATTTAATCGTGTTTCAGTTGCTTTTGTATATTTACACCATTTTCTATCACAATCATCAAAAGATTTTGCTCAAATCTGTCATTGCACTTCTGGATAGAATGAATGAATTGTATACTTACATTTAACAGGAACCAGAATTACTAGGCCTCTGAACATTACTCGTGAATGGCGTCAAATGCCATTGTCAATAGTTCGATATTCTTTGCCTCTAAACTTTTGCTCTGTCGAGAGTTCAGTACTATATTTACTATATTTATAAACGAGATACTAATAATCGGGGTTTTGAATAGAAATCTAACAGCATGCTGTTTAACGAGAGTACACTAGTACTAGTATTACTTAAACTATGATATTGAATAACAAAATGTTCATTACGTTTGTAATAAATATCCATAGTGACATCATACAAGCAAATTGTTTACCCGTTTTATCGCACAATTCATTTTAATAAAAATACATTTTTATCTACTATTTTATCTTACTATTATATCTAGATTATTATCTAGATTTTCACCTAGCAATAACAAATAGTATTGTGAAAGTATTATCATTTACAGACTTACGTTTAAAGCATTATCATTTATAGACTTTTGTTTAAATGTCAGTACACAATTATATTGCTTTTCATATAATCTAATAAAGTAAAATTATACATATATGACATTTATCGCTTCGTACTTTAATTACTTTAATTATATTACGTGCAGTAAGATAATAATTTAATGGTGTGAATAAAAGTTGATGCGTTAAAAAAGATTTTTTAAAGAATATATTTATCATCACATCATTTTTTCTTATTAATTTTACATCAATTATGATTTAAGTTCAGTATATACAGCTTGTCGAGGACAAGTCGTCTCTTCTTATAGACTAGGCTCCTTTCGTTTAATCAATTTTTTTGCCGATAACTTGAAACGCTTTGTTTAAAAATAGAGTCAAAATCAGTTTCAAATCAAATCGTGTAAAGATTGAAATAATTAATTAATGCAATACTGAAATTTGCGAGATTCAATATTTTCTATTTTTTCTTTGCATGTAAATAGTTAATTAAATAATTAGTTAAAAGAATATTGTTAATCTTTCGGACCCTGAGATTCCATATCGGAATCACTAGCAGCTTCCAATGCATTCTGTCCTTGCTATAAACTCCACGAATCTATATAACGTATATCGTAATTTAGTTCAGATTTTGTTCAACATATTGCAACTTTCAATATTTGCTAATTGAATTACCGCTTTAGCATATAGTAAAAATAGATTGTATAATGGGTGGAAAGAGTTTTGCCTTGATAGAAACAACGCAGGCCGAAAAGAGTTGAACTTTAACTCGAACCTGTATGTGCTTCTCTATTGAATGATATCATTTTTATATATGGGAGGATAATTAGTCTTATAATGTGTACGCGTAATGTGATTAATGGAAATAAATTGCCCGTGAGATGTTTAACGAGAGAGCAATGTGATATATTTTTACGTATATTTATATATATATATAATCTCGCCACTTATCGTCGCTTATCGATAACATTATACGTATTTATCGAATTGCTAGTATTGTCTAAATAAATCGCATTCACATTTTTGATGTATCAGTCTTATATTATTGCGAAGTCATGGGACAATCTCGCTCGTCGCTACCATCGGAGCATTCTAGAAATCCGTTACAGATGTGAGACTTGGGCAAACATTCGCCGAGAGGGCATCTGTAGCCTTTGCAGACTTTTGCTGCGGAAGGTTGGATGTCTTTTTGCGTGACGACACGATCGATGTAATTGAGAAAGTGATGGATCTTCGTGTACACGCCCGGCCGTTCTCGTCTACCGCACCCGTAGCCGTTAGATGTAATTCCTACATAAAAAGAAATTAACATAAGTTTTCCACTTAATTAAACGGACAAAAGAATTTATTAATTACAAGTAGTATCGCTAAGTTAGTTTACTAAGATAGTTATTTAATCTCTTAACTTAAGAAGAAAGAAAACGCGTCACTGTGAAAAACAGTAGAAATATTACAGGAACATCCTGTATATTGCATTTGCTGTTATGTTGAATTGGAAAATTTTAATCAAAGATTCAAATTTGGTGTCTCAAAAAATCCTACGAATGTCGCATTTTGCGAGAATTCTATAGAAACGCTTATTTTTTTACTTAGACGATAAAAATAATGCATCTACTCACCTTGCAATACATAACGACTTTCGAATGAAGATGCCAAACATACTAAAGGACCACCACTATCACCTAAAAATTATTTAATCGCATGAATTTTGCACATTTATTTCAACTTGGTTCTATAAAACTTGGTTCCATTCTAAAAATACGTGATAGCTGAACATTTATCAACACACGCACGCACACATCTCACTCACTCTTTTTCCATCCAAAAAAAGACTTATTAAAATTAAACCTTATTGTACCAACCTAAGCAAGCATCTTTCCCACCGTTTTCAAATCCCGCGCAAAGCATGCCTGACGTAATTCTATAAAGTGGCAAGAACAAAGTCTTTCGTCGACAATCTTCTGTCGATATCACTGGCAATTGTACTTCTTGCAAAGTATCAGCTGTTAAATAATTAACGTTAATGAGACGTAATTTCTGCGGGATCACGTTAAGACGATACATCTCTCTCAACTTTTACTTACGAAACACTCGATTGAACTCGTTGGTTTGACCCCAGCCGGTCACGAAGCATATTGTACCCGAATTGACGGGTGCCGTAGGAAGACAAACTGGTCTAATATGATCGCTAAAGATGACTGCTCTTTCGAGTCTCACCACAGCTATGTCGTTCACAAAGCCATTATCGACGTAATCCGGATGTAACGATATGTAATCCACTCGCAACAACTGCTCGTGCGGACTGCGAAAACTTCCTTTACGAGTCGCACCGATTCTCGCGACCCAGTAGCCATCCTCCGCGCTACGCGATAGCAATATTTTCGATTTGAGTCAAGATATGTAAAAAATTATCATCCGAGAAACGACTTACCGGTAAAAGCAGTGGGCGGCTGAAATGACCCAGCGTTCGTTGATCAGCGCTCCGCCGCATTGGTACTTTCCTTGCTTGTACAAGGCAATTTGCCACGGCCAGTTGCCTATAGAGCTACTAGCGCCGCCAACAATCCTGAAACAATGAGAAGAAAACTCGATTTGCTTCAATGCGAACGATATTTAAATCTAGTTTCTATATAGATTCGAGAGACACTCAATAAAGCATCCATTTTTTTTTTTCGGCTTTGTAATACCTTGCCGTCGAAGTTGCCTGAGTCCTTATTCCGCACTCAAAATTTTTACACTGTACTTTCAGAATCTCGCCACTCGGACAGGAATCGGACTCTTTAAAGGACAGAGCTGTTCTATCCGATGACTTGTCATTGTATAACAAAGTATAATAAAAATTATTCGGTGACTTGTGGTCCAGCACTTTTTCCGCCGTTTCGTAATCTCTGCAAACGAATGTGCTTTTAGTTTGGCTCTAATAAGCTTGTTTACTTTTGAATTGAAAAGCAATAAATGCCTTGTGAATTGCATGAACGATGACTACTTACTGATACGTGATAGCTTTGCAAGCGGATCGCGCTAAATCCTCGATAGACAATGTAGGTCGTTTCTCCTCAGAAAAATTATTTATGCCACTTAAACAAACCTTTCCCCACTTTCCGTTCTTTCGTATTGTTAGAAATCCTTTATCATTGTAACTATTGATTTCTTCACGAGAGACAACATTTGCAATTGGAAAAGTTCGGTTGCTTTTGGCGTGCAAATTATTCTCAGGAATCAAGTCGTTTCTCAAGATGCTCGAAGAAGTTTCTCTGCTGGAGACAACTGCGACTTTGTTGACATCTCCATTCCGAGTGAATTCTTGATCGGTTAACGTTGAGGAAAAGTTGCCTCTTTCATGCATTAATCTTTCAGATTTATCGTCGGGAACGATGTACATTGTAGTTGTATTTATAGGAGATGATTCAGTTGTTTCTTCCTCAGAATGAAGTTCCGCGGCCGCCCTTCCGGAGTAATTTTTCGGAAAAATTTTCGCAAAGACACGCTCAGTCTCCGGTAGTTCGGTAGTGTCTTCTTCGGGCTCGTCGTCTATCAGAGCAGTGCATTTTTTTTCATCTTCCCCGTCGACACAATCATTGACACCGTTGCAAATTTTATCCGGGTCAATGCACGATTTGCTATTGCCGCATACGAATTGACCTTCTTTGCACCAATCTGTTGTAAAATTAGATGGGGTACGAAATAATTGAAAGGAGTTTTAGGTAACCGTTTCTTGTAAATGTTAGTTAGGAAACTGGCTAAAATTTAATTAAGCTTTACGAAATGACTCTCGTGTACACGTGATAATTGGCGAGTGTTTTTGCAACAATCCGAATGTTAAATGATATTACCACAATCGTTTTCATCCGAAAAATCATAGCAGTCCGCGACACCGTCGCAAATCTTCTGATACAACTGCTGTGCTCTGAGAAAGTCGGCGCACGTGCAATTGGCCTCGTCTTCCGCGCCAGAGCATTCCATCAACATGTTACAAATCGCGCTAGAGTCTAAGCATTTTCCGTCTCCGCATAGGAAACCGACGCAATTATCTACAAAAATATGATGCATCATGTTTGATCAGTACTCTGCTTCGAGATTTCAAATAATCAAATTAATAATTACGCTTATATGGAGATTTATCGTCAACATTATGGAAAATATCTGTAGTAACGTATACAAAGTAATATATGACAAGTCTTAATTTTTTAATTCGGATTTTTGCTCTGAAACGTACCGTCGGAGGAAGTCTTGCTGATTTTTCGGATTGTTGACATTGCGTGTGTCTCGTCTGTCCGATTTTCCATCTTATTAAGGACCTTGGTGAATATTTCCACACCATCGCGACTCATTGTATATCCTGAACTCGTGTTCCTTAAGGTCTCGTTTCCAGTTACGACGTCGGCTATCTTCTTTAACTCATTGATATTCAACGGCGCATTAGGATTCTGAGGTAGTAACGTCGCGCTAGCATTTAAATTGTTCCTCGTGATTTGTGCGTCACTATCCGTCCTAATTTCAGCGAATTGCATGAGCTTCTCCAAGAGAGCTCTGTTCTCCTCGAGTGTCAATATTTTTCTATCCGACATCTGCATTGTTCTCACATTTGACGGCCGTTTCGAAGTCGACGGCAACACTTTTTCCGTTGTTTCAATGGCCGCCCCGAAGGATCTACTCGCCTCGTGCACGCCGCTGCTCGATGTCAAAGTTCTCTCGCTAATTGGATGAGGAAGAGTAGAATTGGCGATGATGAATTTTAAAATGACCGGATCGCCCTTGATGCTGGACGATACTTTGGTACTGATGGAAGTCACGACCTCAACTATCTGTTCGACTATAGTACTGTTGAGATTTGATGATTTCTTTTCGTTGGATCTCGCGGGATCCAACTGAATCTCATGCGAGGAGAAATGTTTGGGGATGGTAGATTCGATATTTGTTATATCCTCCTTTTCTGTATTATTGCGCATGCTGAATAAAAAAAGAGGTGACAGTTCTTCCCTTTCCAAAAGAGTCGTTTCATCAGCGGGGGAGTCAATCTTTGGTCTCGATCGTATTAGTCTTTCAACTCCCGTGTTACTCTTGATAGGTGTTAGCGTCACGAAATTTTCCACCACGTACGCTTTTAAGGTGTCATTGTAAACTTTCTTCCGCGGCGCGGCATTGTGCTGCGTATCGTTGGCCGTCACTTCATCCGCGTATGATTCCGAATTCTTTTCTAATTGACCAGGCGTGTGCTTGACAATGTCGATTTCGACAAACGTCGAATTTCTCGACATACTTTTTTTACCGTCCTCTTTGGTGACCAATTTTGGCTCCAAGTAACTCTCTGTAACGTTAAAGCGCGAGGGTTCATCATCGTTTGTGATTTGCATGACGTTCGGCTCTGTTGATGCGATCAGTTCGTAACTTGGGAGTTGAACATTGTCGTGCTCTGTAACAGTAGTTTCCATTTCGACGATTCTCCCGGAATCTAGTAACGGCGTTATGATTTTATTTTCCAACGCGTTTGATTTCACTTTGCTACTTACATCATCCGAACCAGGCAAATCAGCAAAATTACGAACGGGAGCGTTGTCGTTATAATTTAAGACGGACGTAATTTTGTCAACGGGTATTGTGTGTCGAAAAGGTTTCATAGTCGCAGAATTTTCGATTAGGCTTGACATATGAATACCTCCATTCAAGTCAGGAGTATTGTAGCTGGTATAAATCGGTTGCTGCGGATTAACTTTTCTGTCCTGCAAGGTGTCCTTTTCTTCACTCTCGCTCAATATCACAATGTCGCTGCGTCGATTCTTTGCTTCCAATTCAATTTCCGTATCCGGCACAGGCTCCGCTACGCCAATACCGCTTGTAGGCGATTCACTTGCAATTTCTTCATCGCGACGTAATCCGACATTGTCAATTATCATCGTTGACAATTGATCAAGTTTTTCCTCGGTTTTATGTGCGTGCGTGTGAGTAGCATTTGAGACTCGATGCTTTTCCTGAAACAATGCATTGTCATTCACTGAAATATTTTCGGAAATTCTGGTTGTCGAAGTTTCCAAGCTAGAGGTTACTTTATCGTTGCCATCGTGTTTTGTTGACGAGGCTTTTAACTTGACAGTATACGTTTCTGAAGGCAATTGTCCAGCTATTTCGATATCCGGCTTCTCGTTATTCTCTAGTTTAGATATTGCTACATCTTTCTCTGGAACGATTCTATCACGTGGAAAACCTGTATTGTCCGCGTCAAAAGTATTCATTCCAGGCACATCGCGAAAGTTGATGGATTCCAAAAATGATGCCGATACCGCGGATGTTGAGCTGATTTCAACATCGGGCAGCACGTTATCGCTCGTCGAGGAGACGATTTTCTGCGTGCTCGACTCCGTCTGAGAGGTTTTTGTGACATCATGATTAGGCAGCAACTTGAATTCTGTGTTAATATATCCCGGTATAATTGGTTTCCATGGTGAAGTTTCGAAATCAGAATTATGGACATCTTGAAAAGTGTTCAAATCACTTTGAACAATTGTGGTTCTTGGTGACGTAGTTTTTATTTCATCCTTTCGCTTTTCGTTCAATTTATCCTCATTGAGCATAGCTATCGTTGATTTTACAAAAGACGTCGAAGGTTTGCTCGTCGATGTTCGAAGTTTGTTCGATGTAGCGGTTTCTTCATGCAAAGACACTCTTTTAACAGCACTTTTGGTATCTGCCATTAATTCAGTTGTTGCTTTCGTCATATTTTCCGCAGTAATGTTAACTTTCGTTGCTCTGTAGGTTCCCTGAATGGTCGGGATGTTGTTAAAATCTATATCTACTTCATTGGAATCGGTTCTGATTGGTTTTGTTTTCGGCTTCGAATTTGTGATCAAGCTGCTATTTCTGTTCGGCCGTAATAGACCGTTTTTTGTGATCATAGCATGTTTTTGTTCCTGCTTCTGACTTACGACATTTTCTTGATTTATTCCTGTAATTTTTATGGAGAAGTAAGCATTTAAACGTATAAAATTAACAACAATTTGTATAAGAAAGAAACAAGTGCTTGAAAAAATATTCAAGTTACGTCTTATTATTTCGAATTTTTAGTTTAGATTAAATTTTTATTATAAGTGAGCGAAAAGAAGAATGGAAGATGCTGTGTAAGTGCAGGAAAAAGGTGAGCAAAAATTAAATGAAAGGATGAAGGAGGATGAAAAATTTGTATAACGAGAAAAATGAGAAGAGTTTAAAATTAAAAGTGAGATTAAGGATTGAAAAGAAGATGTCACGCATTGAAACAGCGCAAACAATATCGACATCTTATTTAATATCAAGTTATTTAGTTAATTTCTCTCGCTACTCACTTTTCACTGACACAGACGTGAGATCCAATTCCATATCTTTGAACAAAGATGAAATTGAGTATGTCTCTTTGACAATAATATCTTGGATAATGTCTTCGACATTTGTGATCGAGCGAGGTATCTTCCTTCGATCGAGATACAATCTGAAGAAAATTTTCAAGACACCGTTCTCAAACTTATCTATCGCTGTTCGCTTGTAAGATGAACCGAGTACACTTCTCCTAAATAGAAGCTCGAACTGAAACGAACAAAAGATTGAATTTTTAACAGACTTAATTTATTCTTCGGTTTTTACAGTGAAACGATTTTGAAATATTTCACTTACGATATTTCTAAATTTTTGTTCTTTCTCTCGGAAAACCATGCTCGTGTTTAGCTTTAACATAGGATTATATCTTTCGCCTTTAACTATTCTAAAGCTGCAAGTGAATCCAATCATTGCTGAAATCGAGAAACATGAAGACATGAATATTGTGTGATTTATTATATTATTATATATATTTACACAATACAAGTACTCACCGTTTCTAGAATCTGTTCGAAAAGCTGAAATATTATATAACATTAATAATTATTTGCATATAATTTATTGTTATATAATTAAAAATTGCAAAAGAAGGCAGAGTAAGAACTTGACAGATTCTAACATCCCAATTTAAATTTTGCTCCTTTTTTCGATCTTTTAACTGTGTAATATTTACAAATTCTCGAGATTTGCAATAGATTAAATTTATTTGAAAATTAAACTTCCCTACTTTGAAATATACAAAAAATGTTTCACGCAAAAAAGTTTTCCGAGGTTGGAAAAGTTCTAAGGATATCAAAATAAAAATAAAATTCGAACGCAAGTAGAATTTAAGATTTAGATAAAAGTTGTAGATTGAGCAAATCATCGAAAAGAAGTTGTTTTAAATATTTAAGGTATTAAAATAGTGGTTAAAGTATAAAATATTTGAAAATTTCGATCGAAATGAGAAAAAAATTTCGGGTAACTCAAATATCTATTTTTTATATGTGTAAAAATTGTTTGATAAAGCTGATTAATTAATTTTACAGTATAAAAATTTAACGTCCAACACATACCACCCATCCACAGAGCTAATCCGGCGATGGCCAAAACCGCGACCAACACCAGCATAGCAGTTATAATTAACATGGCACTGCCAAATTTCCATGTAGCGTTATCGTTCATCCGTGCTACCGATACTCTGGAACATGTGGATCTCGGCGCCAGATAATAGTCGCTCTGCAATGATAATCATTATTCGCAAGATGCAGTATTTTACTTCCGCTTGACATATGCGTTCGTTAGTGTGGTGAAGCGAGTCAGGTGGCGCAAATCGTTGAATAGTATGAGGGCGATAGCGAGCGTGTACAGTAATCCCGTTAACGGTACTATTGGCGGCACGGAATGCGTGAACAAAAAGAGATTTCCAAAGTGTTAAGATGAGAATAACGTTTGGTGCTGTTCAATTCGCTGCATGCGTAGAAAATTCATAATCTTTCCGCTAACAGTACCACGCGTTTACTATTGTTACCTATATTTTCAAGTACAATTGAGTTTGCATTCAACTCGAGGGGAACCTATCTCAATGTAGCAGCTGTAAATGATTTTTTTTTTTCAACAATACTTCTGATATTTAGTGATAAATATTGAAGTAGTTTGTAAGAAATAAAAGTAGCTGTTGAATAAAAGGCGCAATAAAGTCATTGCTAGACAAATCGTGAATGTAAGTTCGAAGATTTGTTTTCGAGTACGTCGACCTCCAAGAGTCTCAGTTTCGGCGCATTGTGGAATATAACGGAACGATACGTCTTCTCTCGGTCACATATTACCGAGGGTAGAGGTAGGTCTAGAGATATCCAATTTTAAGTGCAGCATAATCCATAGGCGGAAGACGCGGAGTTGAGGTTTAGGATCCAGACGACTCGAATGTTAATAATTCGAAGCATCAGCGGGGATGGCCAGCGTGATACCTGTAAATTCTTCTAACTTGTTTAGGGAACTTCCGGACCCTTTACCACGTATAAGCGAAAAATTCGAAGCATTAGCGGGGATGGCCAGCGTGATACCTGTAAATTCTTCTAACTTGTTTAGGGAACTTCTGGACCCTTTACCACGTATAAGCGAAAAATTCGAAGCATTAGCGGGGATGGCCAGTGTGATACCTGTAAATTCTTCTAACTTGTTTAAGGAACTTCTGGACCTTTTACCACGTATAAGCGAAATCAACCATAACCGAATATAACTTCTAGATATGAAGCAGAACCGTTAGAAACTTATAGATTATGGTGATTATGTGAAACGCAATCTTTGCTTTTTATTCATTTTTATGCGAGTAAATAAATTATAATTTTATTCCAATGAAATAATATATAATTTATAATTTATAATATGTATTCACACAGATGCGGATAAATCAAAATTTCCGATCAGAATAAAAAATTACATAATTATTGACCCGGCTTTATTGTATCCTGATATTAATATTCTTCTTACAATGTTGTAACTATTAAATAATAGCGAAAAATAATTTTTTACGTATGTCTTGAGTTCTTTTAAACGTTACAAAAGTCAAGTAATTACAGATTTTTGAATAATTTTCTCTATTTTGTATCAGAGGGCTCTTTATCATTTTTTTTCCAATTCTTTTCACGGAGATTTAAGCCATAAGAATAATCCTCGGCGGAGAGCACTTAAATAGCGTTGCCGAGCATATCCAACTATATGGATTACAAAGCGTGGTAACAGCTATGCGGTTTGTGTAAAGGCTGTTAGCTTCGCCATCTCATGATAGTTTTATAACTATGACGACATTTCAAAGTGACACATGGGCTGCCAACTATCATTTGTTCGCTAGTAGAATTCTAATTTCTAATCTTATGTGCCGTAATACGGAAAACTTCCTTGTAAGGAAAATTTTATTCCGAATTTTATCGCTAATTATAGATGATCCAAAGTGAACTTTACTGTAGGAAATGAGATGAAAGAAACCTGCTGCAAAAATATCGCCACACGTAAAATAGATTATCGTTATAAGAAAATATTTACATAGGTTAATGGCATAGCGCAATTGAAAGGCGCTCATTATGAAATACAAGCTATGTATTTGTGGACAATATGTAGTTTGAAGCAGGCACCCGCATACGCAATTATCTGTATGTATAACGTAATCCGAACCGGAGTTCATGTGCGACCAACGAGGAGCGGTATGAAGAAAATGCGAGAAGAAGATACGAGTACGACCAACTTTGCCGGGTGCAAAGATCCTTCAAGGACGCTATCGCTACTCTTGTCCTTGTCTGGCTTAATGAGGAGAGTTCCTGGAGACGCATCGTACTTGAAACTTGTACGTTGCGGTGAGGCTTATTCAGAGGGGATCGAACGTATTATATTATATTATTTATGTGAAATATCATAATTTTTCGAAACGTGATTTTATTCGCAAACTATCATAATTATTATGGTTGATATATTTGAAATTTGCCAACCTAAATTTATATATATATATATAGTCTTAAAAAGTGTATTAAAATTAATCTTTAATACACTTTCATAAAGACATATGGATTTTTTGTTTTGTTATTTTATACTTTTTTTATGTAAGCTTTTCAATCTGTATGTCATATTTTTCTTTGATTTTCTCTAAATGTAATACGCATTTTTTTGCGACTGAGTTTGGATTTAGCGTACAAAAAAAAACTACGGAACACTATTCTATTATTTTATCAAATAATAAAAGAAATATTTATTTTTACACAGGCCAATGTTATCACGCAAAGCGAAAACGCGATCCTGGAAAAATGTTTATAATCGAATCGGTGAGATTCTCAACAGTTAATCGAATATACGGGTTTTTGGCTATGTTGGCGAATCATATTATCGATATCATCTTGCCATTGTGTTCTTACACCTTTCCGGATATGCAAATAAGATAAATGTGATTTATATCATGTTTTTTAATCTTTAATAGTATCTCGCGCAAAAATTTCCCAGTATTGAAAGTGTTCAATGTTACGCTTCGTGATATTTTGCTACAAAGTACGTATAATGGTATCTAAAGTAAGAATAAAAACATATTACAACAAGTATGGGAACTTCCTTCGTTTATTACGGATACATATGATGAATTATTTTACAACTTCCCATTCTATTTTATAAACGTTACGAATATATGTGTGTGGTGCGTGTTCTCGGTACAATTATCAAGTCAAATTCTCAACTGCGGGCAGAAAGTTGTGAATACAGTTATAATTTATTCCACTATACATATAAACATTTCTTAGTGTTCGTGATTGTAAATTATATTTCCGTAAAATTTCAATGTACTGACATCCGCAATATCAATTACTTGCTTACATAATTCTATTATAAGAATGACAGATGAATCAACGCTCGTTTGTATTATCTTAATTATGTTTTCAAGGTTCCTATTACACAGAAAATTACAACGCCGCATAAGATAAAAATTCCTTTTTCATCTGTGAAAATTGGTTAAAAATTAATTTAAATTTTATCTGTTGAAGATCTGTTGAACTTCTGTAATATTATTTCAGTTTTTCTAAGATTTCGACGTTTAAATTGCAATTAACTCACCAGTATTTTATTTGTTAAAAACTGTTATTATTTTGTACACGTCCTATTCACGATTGTATATTCATACTTCGGGTACATCGTACTTAACTACGATAGTGATCGTGATTAAAAAAAAAAGATATCTATCAACTGGGTATTCGTTTTTCATCGTAAATTATCTCGTGGCTCATTAAGGAAAAAATTTAATTTACTGGTCGATGAGAGAGATTCGAACGTGCACAATTAACAATTCTAATATCTTGGAATGGTTGGTGTGAAAGATGTTATATGCTCACGTATACATTGATATGTAAAATCTATTCTTCCTGATAGTGCGAACCACGTTGTACGACTCTCTAGTTCAGACTTCTTGGTTGTAAAGGGGCATCTCATCAGGAATGATTATCGCGCGTAATATAATTTGCCGTGAGTAAATGCATCGCTATCGTCGCAATTATCTTTCATAGTTGACTCGATAACGGTACCATTGTGCGCTAGTTGCAGGCATGTGTCGAAGATTGAATTTAACAATTCAATTAAATGCATGGCACTGCACCGGCATGAGAAAAACATTGATTTTATCATAAAAAGAAACTTAAAAACGGAGAATTTTAATGCCGAATAATTTGAAAGATTGCAAAATAAACAAAGAGCAAAATAAACAAGGAGCTCGCACTTCACAACTGAATAATAATGGTTAAATATTATACTTTTCTCGAATATCTGGAAAAATTTCATACAAAAAGAGAAAACTTTTTAATTATTATATTTGTTAAATATTCATTGATTTAATTTCATTTTTTAGACTAGTAATCTCTCAGAAACATTGCAACAGACAAAATAAAATACGATACAATCTTTTGAAATTTAGGATTTAGAAAACGAAATATGAAATAATTTAATCCCAATTATACTGTTTATTAAAACAGAATAACAATAATAACAATACAACAAATTGAAATGTATAACTATATTATTGTAATGTATAACTATGAGTATTGCTCTTGTCGCGCATATTTATTTCAGTATATTTTTCTATAACATAGAAAAAACATGCGAGGGACAAAAAGTTAAATACATTAAGTAAATGGCGAAAAGATGAAAAAAGCGACATAGGTTGGAAAGAAAAAGAATAACCGTTTTTTCATAGAAGAAGAATGGAGAGCGGAGAGAAATGGAAGATGAACGCCTCTTCTCACACGATGCGAATTTATATAATGCTTTCATACGAGACAAGGTCAAGATTTTTACGATGTAAGATCGCAGATATATTCATTTTAATTTATATTTGTATAAATAAACGCGTTTTAATAAGTGCAAAAAATATGTCCCGCTCATTGTCAGATTACTATTTTATTTAATATTTAATATATTTATTTGCGAAACAAACGACAACGGAACAGATTAGTTATATCTGATTTGACTTGATGAAATTATAGACTACGTGATTAAAATCTTTGTTATACAATTTTCTTTTTAATGAGAGAAGAACAGTAAATTTTTAAACTTACTTGGTAAGCGTAAGGACCAGGTCTGTAATAACCGCCGGAGTTCATCATAGCATGAGTTTTGCCTTTGCCGCACGTAGAAGTCATTTTTTTCGTATTCTTGAGCTGTTACTTGCAATTTAATTTTTTCCCACGATACTCGGATTCGATCTTCTACGATGCTCCTCGACGATGGTCGAGCATCATGACGCTATTGTGCAGAGATTGACCGTGTCAGAGCATTCTTCGTATTGCTATTTTCGCGAGAGACGCTACCGTGTCTTTAAAATTACATTCGTCGATAAGTTCAGGCGTCGAAGCGTTTCCATTCAAGATGTTCCCTTGATTAGACAAATTTATTTCGCGAGCAGAATAAAATATCGCACACACATTAACACTCGAAAGTCACAAGTTTCGATATTTACGGGAATACCGTTAAGCGAACGTGGATATTTGTCAAGTTGGAAAACTACTCGCGCGCAGTCAACTTTGTTCTTTCTATCTGCCGTTATTCAACTTTGTATCGAGATGACCAATAACAAATTGTTATTAATTGTTGTAAACGCACGATACATTTCGTTTTGTCTATTGCTAGAGAAGCAAGCTAGTCCGACCGACAGTACTGATTTAACTAATGTAAGTATAATTTTATCTTGTGTTTGTTCGCTGATTCTCGAACGCAAATCTCGAAGCGTCTGTATACGCGAAGCTTCTTCCGACCGAGACGATCCGAGGGAGACGAAGTGTAGCGCGGCGAGACGAGGTAGAAGCAAGCGCAGCAACTACCACGTCCTTTCTCCGTGACGGCTGACCACCAACTGACAGTCTAAGATCCTGAGGTATCGCCGTTCTTCATCTTCGTTTTTCCCATTCGGTTAAGTCGTGCCGTTTTACCTGCATATTCGGCTTACCTGCCGTTCCGATGAACTCCCCACGCCGACTTTTTGCACTTCCATAATCACCGTGCTTTTTATACTTTAGACTCGCTCTTTTTCGTGAAAAATTACTATATTCAGCTGCATGTGTGACGCAGAGAGAAGCATTAAACAGAACTGGTAGTGTAAATTATATATTCTTGAGGGAAATATAAAAGAGTTATAATCTATAAAATTTAGATACATTCAGCTACTAGCAATGTTAAAAATTCTTTTGATTTTTTGAACCATTCAACATCTTGGTCGTCGTACTAGTTTTTTTTTTTTTTTTTTAATACCAGACTCTATGCGATCGAGAACAGTTTATATTAATATAAAAAATATATATCCATGATATTGTGGTACAAAAAGTATCAATGAAGAACAATATATGACGGCCGACGTATGTGGCAGCCAACGTGTAATAATTTATCTATTTTTATTCGCAATTATTTATGTCACAATTTTTTGTTATCGTTAGAGAAATTGGAATGTGTGAAATTAATACGTTTGTTCAGTGTTGATGGCGGCTTCGATTATCCTTTGAAACGTGATGGCGTCGAATCCGGCGAAGGGCTTGTCGCGTGCTGCGGGTGGAAATGAGCGGCGTTTTCGCCGACGAAATATATCGTCGAAATAATCATCCGTGGTTGGCGGATTCACTTTGGCATAATATAGTGCCGCGAAGCCGCTGTAGATTAGCAGAGCCGCAGTTGCGAGCTGATGGAGGCGATATCACATGTTCAAATCGAAGTCAGCGGGAGAAAATACACAGAAAAATTACATATGTTTCAGTTTTCTATTACCTGGAAAACAGCCCAGAATTTGTAGCTTCCTTCGTTTATTAGAAAGTCGTAATAGCCGGCCCAATAATCAACCTTAGGTTGACTTATCGCCTTCATGTGGCTGTGATCGTTCTCGTCATCGTTCATATCGTCATTGTTGTAATCGTGCTGATCGTCTTGGTAGTCGGTATTACCTCTTCTATTACTTTGTCTATACGTCCTGCTTTGTCTGTGAACAAAAGCACCATGCTAAAATGGAATATTCCTCAGATTATTTTCAGAGAAAAATCCCAATATCAAAACGTCGAAGCTATAAAGTTGGCCAATCGAAAAGTAAAAGCAGATTTAGACACAACGATTGCTTAACGATGGGTGACTGTAATCATTATTGATAGCAAAAAAAAAATTAAAAATGATTGGATTGAACATTATAAAAATGATAAAAATTTCATTTTTTACTTACCTAGCTAACGGCGTGATTGTAGCTATTCCGAGGTTTTCTCTAGACGTCTCTATTTCCAAAATTGATTGATTTCTAATATTCGACTCGGCGGAGACGTGATAGATGCAAAATGAAAATAGAATAAACTTGCAAACTGATCGGTTCATCGAGTCTAAAAAATTAGAATATTATTTATATCTACTAGAATGAAAAATGCGTGTAGAGATATGTATGTATAATTCGCAACGAACACTGGAGATATAATTTTGTAAACTGATGTTTCTGCTTATCGCACAATACTAACCCATATTAATCTTTTAAATATATTGTACGTTTTGTTTTTGACATCATCCCACTTTAACGATTGTCATAGCACATTCTGCCACACACGGCTTGGCACTCGAAAACAGCACGGCGGAAAACTTTGGAGTTGAAACCTTTAGTCGTAAACTCTGACGAGGAACTGAACGATTCTTGGACCTAGTTTCGATAACTGCTTGGTCCGGTACTCATGGACCGATAACTGTATCGACGGTAACGTTAAGCAAATTCTTACGCGCTAATAGCTCTAATTGTTACAGATCTTGTGCATCACAGGTAGACGTCGCCAAAACATAAGATAGTACAAAGTTTCATTGATAATTGCCTTCAAATAGATCATATTATCATTGATCAGATCATTGATCATATTAAGCTGTGACAATTTCAAAATTGTCTTTATAATCTGAAATCTTTATATTAGATTCTTTATACGGCAGAAAGAGATATCAGAAACTGTTATTGATAACGGATGGCGACTAAACGACTTCCTGATGCAGTTTTATTTGTAGTATGTGTGTCATTTATGTGTGTAATTTTTTGAGATTTATTGAAATGCCTATATTTGATTTTAAAAAATGCCACATTCCTTTTAGACATCCTGTAAATTACGTAACTCTGCGTATGTAATAACTCGGGGATTTTATTAGTAGCATATGAGTAATGTGCTCTTAACGTTCCCCTCATTATTCCCACACAGAACGAGTGCTTTTCAACTTGACGTTGTCGTAGTGAAAGGATTAAATAAGTAGCTGAGCAAAAGGATGCTTTTATTATAACTGGTTAAAGCATCATTAGCACAATCTTACAATTAGACTAGGTCCGTTGAAATGATATTCTAAACCGGTGATAGTTGCATCTTGTCTTTTTATTAACAATCTTTCGCTTAATCTGCACATTTATATTTGTTTACATGAATTATTTCAGCGACATATTGAAAATTTCAACATAGCGTGCAATGAAAGGTTAAACAAGCGGAAATTTGGAAATCTAAGAATCAAATTCCAAAAGTCAAGTTTCCAGCTTACGTAAACGTTCTCCACTATAAAAATCTTCAAAGCAGAAAGTTTAAAAAATACATCAGTAATAAAAAAAATTAATTGACAACACATAAATGTTTATTATGTTTATTTGTAAATAGTTGATTAATACAAATAAAAATAAATGGTAATTGCAAAATATATAACAGCAGGTACAAAATAATGAAGAATAATAAAAATTGTATGTAAAACATGGGTTTCTTTTTTTCATTTATCTCGGAAATATATATATATATATATATATATATATATTTACAAAAATATATAGTTACATAATTATCTCATTTAAGATGCCATAAGTTATAAAATTGAGAGTTGATATTTTGATTAGTTATACGTTACACATTTATATCATAAAAATAATAAACATTGCAATAAAAAACATTGCCTTAACAATGTTTCACGCCTTAATTAATTTTTGTATTTAATTGGTTCTATTTTTCTACTTAAAAATACTCCAATGTTTGAATTTGAGGACAGGAGGATAGTTATTTACATGTTTCCTTTGAATTTTTTCAGCATCAGTTTATCGAATGTTTATTGGAGATCCTTTATTGTATATTTTGGAAAATCGTTCCGCTCCTTCGAGTATTCTCCCGGCAAAGTTCCGCCATCCTTCGCTCGGCTCGCTTCTTTTTTGTTGAGCCGCAGCTTCCGCTAGATGAGCCGGAAAGTTGATCTTGTGCCTGGCGATACTTTTCAACACAAGCGCTGCTATGTATATGACGAAGTAGATACTGAAATACAGCGGTATGTACCACAGCTTCTTTCCTATGAAATAATACGAGTAGGGCCTCTTGTCGAGTCGTTGGTCGTTCATTTCCGGCTCCTCCGTCGTGGTTTTCGGATGATGCACATAATATTCGGGTATGTGATCGTAGACTATATCGTGATGCAGATCGTGATGATCGTATGGAATCTCTTCGGATGGCGGCGAATGATCATGATTAGAGTATCTGATGGGTTTCGGTTCACGTCCGTCATTCCCGTACGAAGAAGCGAAATCAAAATTGGGATAGTTCGCTTCGTGTTCATCGCTATCGTGGTACTTGTTCGGTGATGGTTTATAGGTATCCGGAATCTAAACAACGCGAAACTTAAATGAGAGATCTAACGAATGTTATTACGAATTGATGGTCTTTTATATGAAATTTTTACATACCTTATCGCGTGTATCCGTAGGCATAGGTGAATATTTGGTAATTACACTGGCCTGTAAAATTAGACTTTTTTTTTGTTGTCTAAAAAAAGAAGAGTAGTTTTCCGTCTTTTTTGGAAAGGGAAAAGAAATGAAAAGTATATATTTAATTATTCCTTTTAATAAATCGGTTTAGAAATATTGCGAGAAAACGAAATAATATCCGTTTAGAAAAAAAAATGATTTTAAAATATTGCAAACAATAGAAATGTTTTTTGTAATGGAATAAATATCGCTATTGCAAAATTTGTTATTTGTGATATATTCTTTTTTTTTTTAATTCTCATGTGATACGCACTTTTCATGAAGGTGCATTTGGAATTCGGCGTATAAAAAAATGCGGAAAACTACTTTTCTTTTGCAAATAACAGACCCATGCAAGATAATGTTGGCTTAAATACCGGTGGCTCGTCATCGATAAAGTCTGACGGATTGTATTCATACATGCCGGAGAATATTGGACCGGGATAAGTGGATGAATTCATGCTCGGGGAATTTTCCATATTTAATACACTCGCTCCTTTTTGCGGCCTTTCGTGCGCAACGCTGTGCTCGAAAATTGCGGGTGGATGAAATCGTTGTTGAATTTGTTTTTTGCTTGCAGTGTCCAGTTTGGTAATCATTTCGTGATCCAGCGTTGAATATCTACATATGGACATAATTGATCCTTATTAAAAGTCATCGATTTATTACCGTTTATGCTAGTATATGTTAACATTTGAATTTATACTTCGGGACGATAATCGGCATTGAATGATCGACCGATTCGCCTTTCTTCAGTCTGGGAGTTTTGGGTGAGACATACACTGGTGATACCGTGATAACAATGTCATTTATACTTCTATTTTCATTCTCCACACTCATATTATTTCTCCCTGATAACCTAAGATCCATAAGTTTGCCTTATATTCGCATATGTTTATATAGAAAAATCTCTCAAGAGCATCGATCACCGGCAATCACAGTAGCATTGATTTAAATTAGTTTCCACGTACGCACCTGTTGATCCACGCGTAAGAATTGTAAGAGTTTTCCACTTGCTGTCCGTTTTTCGATACTCTTGCGTATGACATTGTTTCCGACGACACTGTAGCGGAAAATAGGCGTAGAAAGAGAACCAAAGTTAAAATACGTAACATACTCGCTGATAGTTGAAGATGAATGGCTGTAATGATGAAGCGAGTGTCCTTTATATGTACTTGTAACTGTAACTATCACTTGAGCGATTGGAAATGTATTGTCTGTATGCGTTTATCGTTGTCATATCCTTTTTATGTTCACAGGACAAATATTGAGCGCAATATTTCGACTTTTTCAGTTATGTCGATAATGCGTGTGTCACTGTACACCTTGTCTGCAATTAGGATGACGCGATACTACGAATAGATGATACTTACGGCATTAAAAGTGCTATTTCGCGACGACTTCGACACGTTCGCAGACAAAATATATCCAGTGCAACTGTGCTAACGAGAAGGAATAACGCTTGACAAAATCGCGCTAATTCACTTTACAAACTATAACGTTCCGTTATGAGAGTGCGGGTGATTTAACATTTACAAGTAAATAGATCGTCTCCTGTTATCGATATTAAGGGGAAGAGTGCAATCTTAATATATTGTCATGATCGATAAGATTTGTATGTAGCTTAAAATAACAAGTAATTTTTTCATTTTCTTAATATAAATATATCGAAGAGTATTCTAGATTTAAAAGAAATTTTAAGGCAAGTACCAAAAAGCGTACAGGAGCGAAAAAGCTTACAGGATCAATTTAATTCTGAGTAAAAAAATATTCTGATATATCATTAATTGCTTTTAAGGTATTTTTAATCTTCTCTTTATGCGGGTTTATATGATTAAAGAAATCAAAAGAGCCTTTATTCAATTATTTTATTATTTTAACACGTTACAAATTTATTTAAAACAAACCACGTTTACTGTTTACTGACATATAAAAAATCTTTCCCTTTGTTCCAAGTTAATATTCGATTACATATGTATGTGTTTAACATGAAATAGTAACAAAATTAATTCTGCAAAACACACACACTGTCAAAATAAAGTTATGGATAATAATTAATTCTTTAGATCTATTTACATATATTATATTTACAACAATATTTTATGTCATGTGTATTTTTACATTAATTGTTAACTAATTTTCAAATATGTTCCATGTATTATGAATAATATCAAATATAATTCATCCTTGTTTGGTTCTTTATTATATTTCAAGTTGTCCAGAACTTAAAACTTCCTTTTTTTTTAAATTATGTAAAACTACTTATTCCATTGCCGCGTTTAACTCCTCATCGACAATTATTAGGAACTTACTCGATCAATATCTTTGTCTATTTGTTTGTCTTCTAGTCCGATTTTGCACTGATTATCAGTCTGAACATTCGGGTTAGTAAAACAGGTTTCTTGTATATCGCTTTTTTCAGCCTTTATTGCGTCATCACTTGGTGTCGATTTATCCTCAGGTTTTTCAGTTAAATTTTCTTCATTTTGATTAACATTTTCAGCATTTCTGATAACTTTAATTTTTGTTAAATTTTTTTTATTTTTTTCTTCTGATGATTTATAATTTTCTATTTTTTTCAAAATTTCTCCATTATCTATACTATCACTTTCCTTCAAATTGCTCTCATTCTCTTTAATTACTTCATCTTGTGGTTTTTTATCAAGATTAATATTATTGGTGTGTTTCTCGGGACTATTTTGTGAGCTGACATTTTCGAATTTCTCTTTTACGGTATTATCGTCTCGAAGCTGAGATCGCTTTTTCAAGTAAGTCACATTAAATATAAAATATATTATACCAGTCAATAAAGTTACCACAGCAAAAATCTGGTAGGTTGGTCTGTTACCAAAAGCTTTTATCAGATAACCACCGATTAAACTTCCGGTACCTTTGCCTAAATATCAAAATTAAACGAAGAATTTTCATTTTGTTATTGCCGAAAAATTACAATAATTAAGTAAACGTCAAACGTACCAACTCCGTAATTAACACCGCCAAGTAATCCCTGTATAGAGCTGTCGGTAGATATAGACGATAATTTTGCGGCATAAGTGACGGCTGCGGTGAAGCTGAGAGACGTCGAGACCGATTCTAGCGCCTCGAAGATTAAAATCAGCCAAACATTGTAAACCAAAGAATAACCTGTAGGAGGCGTTTCGTTAAATCCTCAAAACGCGCGTGTCCACATTTTATTCTGTCAATTATTTCGAATCGTCGCCGAGTGATCACAAAGTACTCACCGCAAAGTCTAATGGCGTAAAACACAAATCCTAGGAAAAGCACATTTGCGTGACCGATTTTCGATATGATCGGTTCAGAGAGCGCCAGCAATGGTATGCCGGCGATACTGCTTACTGTTATCGTGACACCCATAAATGATTTAGATCCTCCTAAATCTTGAATCAACCAGAAGAGAAACGCCTCGATGTATCCCCAAGCGGTGCCTGTTGAAATCTCTTTTCCGTTAAACATTGCCTTCCGTCGGAATTATTTATGAAAAACATTTTTGAAACAAAAGGAGAAACTTAGACTTTATTAAACATTTCGAGAACTTACCGAGAACAAAGCAAGCAAGAAAGAGCGCGGCGATTTCGATGTTTTTCAAAACAGTGAAGACGTCACGCACGACATTCTTGGCAGGTGGTTTGAATTCCAGATTGATCAGTAACATGAGAACAGCCGAGGCGAGCTTTAATGCCGTGTATAAGTAAAATGCTGGCCTAAAAGAATTCGTTAATACGTTAAAAATAGTCATAAGAATCGCGGAAATACACAGAAAAACAAAACATTTTTACTCAAAAACAAAATTAAAAAAAAAAAATAAAATTTTTATCATTATTGTTGTACATGAATAGCGAAACATGACAAATAATAAGATAATGGAGACTAATTGAAAAGTTTAAACGATGCAATATATCGTAAAAATATCAAAATATCACCTAAAATCGGTATATCCTTTATCTCTACTGGCGTAATCTATAAGAAGACCTGACAGGGGCGAGGAAATCATTCCTCCTAAGCTGCCATAAATTCTTTGAAGACCATAATCCGCGTCCTGTTCTCGTAATATCGCTATTACGGCACCTTCGAACATAGCAAAAGTTGTGCCACCGATAATACCTGAAACAAAGGGAGAAACATTTTATATCTTAATTTTTCAAGAGTGCTATTGGATATATAATAATCATAATTATAATGATTACAGATTGGCATCACAATTATTTCAAGAGAAAGTCAGAATTTTGAAACGTACTGATAAATACTCTAATGATGAGGTAAACCCAGAACGTCAGGCTTACATTAAGTTCGATTTCCGTATCCATGTTAGAACACATACTGTTGCGAGGTGCGGTGACGATGCACCTCTTGTTGCATTCATTCGTGCTCAAAACTCGCCTCGTCGACTCTAGATTCGCATTGTGATTATAGAGCAGCATATCTATCGCGATTCGGTTGTGCGTAGACTCTGGATTGTCACAAGTGAGCTTCTGGAAGTCTTCCGCCAAAGATATTTCATCCGCCGAGTATCTTTGCCGTTCCTCTCGCAAATCCTCCCCGTCTATTTCCAGACTTTTAATCTTTGATTTGTACGAATGATAATATATCGTTGAATTGACATCGTTCTAAAAAGAATCGATTTCACTTGACCTACTTGGCTTAAATGTGCTTCCATTTATTTTAGAAACCAAAGTGTGTTAATCTGCTTTTGTATAAAAGTTTAGAAATAGAAACTTAGAAAAGGTGTGATGATATTCTTGGAAATTTTAAAATAAAGAGACATTTCTGTAATGCTGTTACTCTTTTAACGCTTTCAGATATACAGACATTATTTTATTATGACGTATACTCATCCTTTTATACCTCCGGTTTAATTAAATGACCAAAAACGCATGATGTATAGTTTCTGTATAATCCGTGTGATATTTCGGAGTTTTCAATATCTTGAACGTGTCCGGACGATACACACGAGAATGAGAATAGCTGATCTGTTGGGAAAAAATAGTGTGTTTTCGAGATTTGCCGGATAGTCGTTTTAAAGAACTCATTATTCTTTAATTGTCGATGCTCTTTTATGTCTTCCTGCTGATCAACACTCTGTAATTATTATGATACGATAATATCGATCATTACATCATAGTATTATATTAGTGTCACAAAACAGTATAATATAAAATTGTATAGCAATGTGAATTTTATTATTTAAACTTTAGACTGTATGCAATCGTAGCATTTTTAGTACACTTTTCGTACAGCATTCCTTTTTAGATATCTTTAAATAAGCAGTGAGTAATATTACACGAAATACTTTTGCAAGATCAGTTCAGGAATAATTACAGTCCTTTTGTTACATTTTTTCCATTTTTAATGATATCTTCCATTGCGTTGACAATATTATATTTTATTTTTTTACACATTTTTTTTGCATGGTATATCGAAATAAATGGCATAAAAATGTTAATTGTTCCACAGATTTTATCGTGATAATATTTATAATAGTCGGTGGCAGTGCAAATAATCGTAGTACGTGCGGTTACATCAATTTTTTTTTGCATTTCTACGAACTTTGCGTCTCTCCAACAACATGTAATCACACACGTGGTAAATTGTATAAAAATATTGATGAGTATCTTTTAGAGAGAAATATTCGGATTTTGCATTTGAAAGACATATATAAATACTTATATTTATGTATGAGAGTTAAATAGAAAGTAATTCGTATGTAAAAGATATCAATGTAAAATTAATTAAAGGCCTTCATTTCGCGTTTTTATATTACGTATTGTGATTTTTGTTTCATAAGTTACGGAAACTTTTTTATCCGACCTTGTACATACTTAAATCAAAATGATCGCGGCACATCTATTAACATTAGTCACGAATGTACTTTGGATCAAATGACATAGCTATACATGCTTGCACTCATTACGAGGCTTTGGTATTCCCTTACACGTTGGCCAGCGATCGGTGTTTGCCTTGCTCACCGTTATTCAATATTACAGATCGTGTAAGAGATTCTCAATAAAGAAACAGTCTATTAACATGCGTTTTACGTACCGTTGACAAGTCACTCTGCGCCATGGCGTATTTGTACGAAACATTAACGCCAGTCTGAGAATTAAAGTATCTCACTATATAAAACTTCGATTTTGGAATCAAACTTTGATCTGTTTCGTTGTCCACCTGACACACGAATCTGTACAAAAAAAAATCACTGATGTTTAAGTTTCGTATTTCGTGATATTTTTAGGCAAGTGATAAGATCGATTCAAATATTGTATGTACGATTTGATAAAGGTATGTAAATTTTCTATTGTTAAAATGTCATTACCATGAAATTTGTAAACATTCGTGGAATTTTATTTCCTTGTTGAAGTACTTTAAAACTAATTGTAAGTGGAAATAAACAGGAAGACGGACAGTTCGTATATTTACGTGCGTATTGTTTGCTTACGTTTTTGTCGCAATTGCACAAGATTACTCGCGATAAAACAGTGTTAACAAGTGTTTTTCTTTTGATATGCCACGTTTGATAAATTAAAGGTATGACAGATTACAAACGTAACATCTTCTCGAAAACATTAAAATATCATAAAACAATTTATAAGCTGAGATTGATTTGTACTATTTGAAGAAGGGGACAAGATTACATAGATAATGTGTTATGTGACAACGATTTGCAATGTTATTCCATTCCTACAATAGAATGTTAGCTAATTCTAACGTAATTGCAACTTTTTCCTTACCCACAGCTTTCTACTTTCATAGCGATTTCCGATCCTAATTTTCTTTCGCACGGATGAGTCTGGCTCATTGTATAGAATAGCGAATTGCTTCTATCTTGACAATCGAGATCCATAATTATTCTCTCGGGAAAATGCACTGTCACTCTGCCGATTGGCACTAATAGGAGTAATAATGCCGCAAAACCACCGAACACGGAAAATACCGACAGCAAAATCTGTCGGAAAAACATTTACTAAAAATCTTATCAATCTCTTGTATTCTTCATAAGTATATGTGTGTGTGTATGTGTGTGTAAATAAAATGCATATAGATGCGCTAACACAATACACAATAGCATAATGTTACAAAGATAAGAAAAACATTCGAGTAGTCCTCATATAAGATAAGATCCGTGTTAAAGAAAGTTTTGTTCACTTATACGTTCATATTCAGTATTGCAAAAGCCAATTAAACTCACTCTGAAATTTCCTATTCGGTCGGCTAGCATGCCAGCGAGCGGCGGCATCACCATCGCCATGACGGGTGTAATGGCATTCATTATCGCAGTTTCTTCCACATTTATTCCCAATTCTCTCATATGTATAGTCAAGTACGGATACAATACGTAAAGTGCTGAAAAGTCATAAAATTACATGTAAGACAGAACGTATTATTGCGCTAAGAGCGTCCTGGCTTTTAATTTTCTTTTAATTGCTTGATTTAATGATTCAGTTAATTGCAGTGAAGACAAAGCGAAAAGTAACTGCTTAATCTAAGAAAAACTGCTGATTAAATTACTTACTGGATGCTTGAACAAAGAATAATAATTTCAACGGCATCAACTCTTTTTGCCAGAAGTCCTTGCTGATCCTGTTGTAAAAGCTCTTGAACATTATCATTTTGACGTATTTTGAGCGCTTTTGAGTCTGGATCGATTAATCGAGTATGAATGAGATACAATCTGTTGTGTGCCTTTCTTACACGCATCACCGTGCCATTCTCCGCGTTTGCTGTTAAAAAGATATTTCAATAACTTTTATAATCATGTCACAATAATGTTGCAACAATTTCTAATTCATTGTTTATAATAAAAATGCTTTTGTAAGTTTTTCGTGTGACCGGTTAATTTGGCCATTCGTTCCAGTACTATTTATATCGTACAATGATGATGACTATAACTTAAATACTATGTCGGCATGAACGTCACGTCTTTTACATAACGGTTTTGTAATATATTCCATCTTATGCACCATATGTGTTCATCAACTTCCGCTCGATGAAATGCACTTAAAACAAAAATTAAGAGATGAAGAAAAATTGATTAAAAAAAAAAGATTCATAAAATGCATTTGAAAGAAGTTTCAAGCTTCAAAATGCTTTTCTTAAAATTGAAAATTTGATGATTTTTCGAGGAGTTATTACGCTTTGAAAATCGTTTTTCAAGCAACTTTTCTTGTTGTTTTGAGTATAAATTCATGAAACGCGCACGTTTGTCGACTATTTATAATTGAATATTCGAAATGTTCACTCTCTGTGTTAAAATACACGGTTTCGTAATTTACTTCGTGACTTTTTGCGGAGAAAAATATATATAAATATGTATAAATATTATTTTAACATAATGTATAGATTGTACATAATTGATTGATATTATTTCTTCTCTATTAATTATTGATCCGTGTTAGTAGGATAGATTCGCATTACTTCATCTCCATACATCATGTATTACGAGATGGAAAACCATAATTAACATGAAATTGCCAGTGTTGAAAACGAAGATTGTTTCTATCTTAATTGCATAACTCGTCCAGCAGACCTTGTGGAAAAAAACGAATGTTATTGTTTCTTTAAGAATTTCAGTGGATCCTTTCCAATGCACTTTTAAATTACTTTTAAATTACTTTTAAAATATCGAGATTAAATTGATTAAATTATTCCTTGGAAAAATACATTCGATCATGAAACTTGTAGGATTCAAATAATATGGCGATAATAAATAATTCAAAGGCAATTCGAGCATTCGACATTTAACGAATTTAATGTACCAAAAAAATTGCGTAAGCATATTTGTAATTTAATAATCTAAAAATTTGCAATTCAACACAATCTAAAGATTTAAAATCTATTAAATGTTGAAAAAATTCTAAAAATTTAAAAATTTCTCTGAGATTAGTAAAAACTCGTGACATAAAACATTCTTCGGAGCCTGAATCACGGGAATTAACGATAAATTATAATAATCAAAGGAATAAGAAGCTAAATGGCCGTTGGTAGATGCTAATCTATTCAAAGAATAATTGTAAGAACAATGTTTCGATCTGTTATCTCTCTCTCAGATCTTCTTCAAATTCACAATAAATAAAATATTACCATTACAAATTATAACGCTTTTTCGGATCAATTAATTAACAGGTCGAAACGTTGTTTTTACAATTTGTCTTTGAATACACTAGCACGATCATCTGGCAATGGCCGTTTAGCTTTTTATTTATTAATTAATATATAAGACTCTAGTGATTGACAAAATCAAATAAAATCAGTAGGAACGTAAAGAGCCACAATGCTAGTTCTTCGTGCGAAAATTATAATATATTCGTTTAAAATTGTTTACATCAGTTGTACTGATTTTATTTGTTTTTATTTATTCCTTTGAATTTTATTTCATTATTTTAGCCTTGATATATTTTAATTTAAATCAAGAAAGTTACATTGGCAGATTATTTGAAGAATGAGTCACACTGAAGATGATCACGAAAAATGATCGACACGTTTGTACAGCTGGGTTGTTAATAATTTAATATATGAGCAATGTCAGCTAGCTCCGGCTCTAATAGCTTAATTTATTTTCACTATAATGAATAATATACAAAAGAGCCAAAATCAATAATTTTGTTTTTATTAATTAATTTTAAATCAATGACTATTCTACTTGGCTATGAGAACCGCTTGTTACGTTAGTGATGCTTAGCATGCGCGTCTTTCTTTCAAGGTTTGACACGCGCTGAAAGTTGTAGCTGTTCGTAAAAGATCATTTCGCGAATATATACAACTCTTTCATGTGTAAAATTCTTATCGAAGCTTCGGACGAGATACGTAAGAGTAAAAATTCCTTCGGTAGAATTATATAAGACTTTTCAGCATAATTGAGAATTCCTATTCATATAATGATTTTATAAAATAATTATAATAAGAACTCTTCATGAGTAATTACATAATGTATACATTGTTCAACCATAGAGTATGTCGCTTTATTATTATTTCAACGTTGCAATTTATGCGAACTGGTCTTATTGCGAAATTTATTTAATTGCAAAGAAAAATAATATTGCATGCTTAAAAAATCTTTCTGAAAAAATACATATTTTAATTAAATGTACATTAGAACGAAAGAAGCAGATTCTCATTTCCGTTTATTGACATATTTTGTCAATTGATGAATCATAATATGCAAATTATGTCAACGTATAATTACATGTAATATAAAAAACCTAGTAACTGATAGCAAAATTATAGAGTAGAGTAGAACAACGAAATATTTAGATAAAAATAATAAATCAATAAACATTTTTTTTTAGTGTTTCAAAGGTTTTTGTTAATAATCTAAGAAATATATTAAAAATATTATTACCATTAAGATTCTTATGTAAGGTCCTGTTCAGCTAGCTTTTATTTTTATCTTCTGGAGAAAGAATTTTTATTATTATATTATTAAATAATTGATTAATATAATACTGATAATATTTAAACGCTGTCACTGCACCAAGTTACATAAAACAGTTTTTTTTCTTAATAGCTTGTATTTATATAATTCTATATACAGGGTGATTCAAAATAACCTGATGTCCTTGCAATGCCATATTCTTGAACGAATTCTGAGACGATTTTTCCTTTTACAAAATTTTGTCCGAAGCTTAGTTTTCGAGTTATAATTGAAAATAGATAGCAACTTACGAGTTCGGTACAACGGGCAGGCAGGGACGCGCAACGTATAATGAGACTGTCAAGTGTTTACTATCGTCTCATGACACATTACACCGTCCCTGTCTGTCCGTTGTATCGGACTCGTAAGTAGCAAACTATTTTCAATTATAACTCGAAAACTAAGCTTCGGACAAAATTTTGTAAAAGAAAAAATCGTCTCAGAATTCGCTCAAGAATATGGCATTGCAAGGACATCAGGTTATTTTGAATCACCCTGTATATATAGTTGATATTTATTACGAATATTGTTAAACATATATTTTATTTGAGTTCCCAGCACTTTTGTACAACAGTTTCTTATTTAATGGTATTTTAGCACAAAGTTAAATTGGGTCAAGAGCAGTCGAAGTCAGGTAGCTATTATTTTTTAGTCCAGCGTAAAGTCTTGCTAATAAAAGGAACTTACAAATTATGTTATTAGTATTTCGCAACACGCACGATGTACCGATATATAGCGAATCCCTGACAATGGATACATGTACAATATTGTGAAAAATCCGAAATGTTTTATATTTGTTCTTGGAACATTCGAATATTGTATCGTCTTTCTATTTTATATCTTGCAATAACTTTCACGTTTATACATTATCATCGCGCTTGTAACAAGAAGCATTAAAATTTGATCATTTTTTAAATATAAAACTTACTGCCAAACAAATAAGAAGAGTTTGTTAAGCTGTTAATGACATTGCGCTCTTTAGAATTAATATTTAGAAAATATGAAACAAGTCTTAGATGAAAATAAAAGAGTGTTTATTTTTTAAATTAAAGTTTGAAGCATATAGTCAAAAGAACTGTTTCAAAGATGTAATTTCGAAAAGCAAAAAAAAAAAAGCAATAGAAATATGCACACCTTTTTAATTGAATGCCGGAACGAAACGTGGATCCTTAATAAATACCGATGGATCCGTACTGCGCGATGTCAAGCACAATACTGGCTTCTCGGCACAAACTGCCGACAAGCTGTGATAGAAGTGAGCGCATGTATTCCAACACGACCTGATCTAAGAAGCCGCAAAGGATCACCTGGTAAAGATAAATGAAGAGTGAATTTGTCACATAATTTACTTCGATAATTAACACCACATATTAATAAAAAGTGTATTTTTTCAAACGGCTCTTTGAGAATCTTCAACGGATATTTATTCATATAAAACATATTTTAGAAAACTTGAATCTTTTATTTTGAATTTCTGTTTCTAAGTGACCTATTACATTTTAACATAAATATTTGGAAGATGACTCTTCCAGTGAACATTCAGAAAGTGTAACAACACTCAGGAATCATTGAAAAAATCCATGATGTTCCCTGTCTGACTTCCATTTGTTTCCACGGATAAAAATATACCTTTCTGGAGACAGATTTTCATTAGATGAAGAAGTGAAAGGATGCAGTTGACGGACATTTTGCAAGCCTTGACAAATCAGAGTTTCATCACAGTATAAATGGCTTTGAAACATCGTTGATCCAAGTGCATATATATATAAAATAAAAATAATTTTAAAAAGATATAAAATATATATATATATATATATATATATATATATATATATATATAGTAGTATATATAGACAAAGTAATAATAATAATTATATATATATATTATATATATATATATATATATATATATGGGCATTAATGACAGCAATGGACTGATTTATTGATCAGACATTTATTGATGTAATTATACATCACATTTTAAAATTTTTTTAGACTTCTTGAAATAAATTTAATAAAAGAAATGTGCCATTAAATTCTTTTTAAACATACTATCTCAATTTACTCTGACAATACCAATCGGTATTCCATGCTAACAAGTGGTGGATCGAACAGGGTTGCATGTTATTAGAAACCACGGATCCAGAAGAGGTAAATTTTTTTTTGGTTAGCTATGGTAATGACGAGAGCACTTTACCATCAGTGGTCATCATTTCGTCACGTTGCAACTGCTGACCAAAAGCTGGCACTGCGCCGAGTGAGCTCTTGTGTCATCATGTGCTCCTGTTAACTTCCTGTTAATTTCTCGAAATCTCGGCTAAAATGGAGCGTTCCTAGCAACGTTCCTGGCAGCGTTTCCAGTGGGTAATTTGAATTTTTCTACATGCTTATTTTCGCTTCTGGGCTACTTTTGACAGTGTTAGGATGGTGAACAGTGTTGTAAAATACTTAAATAATTAAAAAACGCCTCTTTTAAAATTTTTGAATAGTTTTTTATTGCAAAATTTAAAATGTCAATTGTTAAAGAAATTAAAAAACAAATTTTTTAGGATATTTTTAGGACATAAAGATGTATTTTTTAAGATGTTTTTTTTTAGGAAGCTAGCCGAAGCGCGAAGCTCATATACGTGGCTTTCGCATGAGTACAGTATTTCTTCCTCGTGCTGCTTGCTGACTGCGTCTCAAATCTGGCGTCACCGCTGTTATGACATACAGTATGTTGGTTTGCGCGTTGAGTGACACAAACCTGTATCTAACTTATATATAATTCCGTTTGTAATTTTTGAAACAACAATCTATTTTTGGCGAAATGGACATCGGAGAATTGTTATCTTATAAAGTATGTATTAGAATTTTTGTAGAATAATTTAATTGCAATATATTCAAGCTATACATTTTAATTTAACCTCATTTTTATCATGTTTTTCGATTCATAATAATCTTTATGATCTCGATCCCCCGAGTTATATCTTTGTTTGTCGCAATTGATAAGAAAACTATCTGGTAATAATATTCACAGCCTCCAAATACACCAAAACGACCGGTGGCAGGAGAAGATGATGATGAGGATGAGTGGGAGAGTGCGAAAAAACCAAAGAGAGTAATAAAAACACCGTATCACCCACGTCAACGACAACCCAAGGAACCCGAAACATTATCATCAAGGGACAGCGAACCTGCAACACCTGTCAGAGTAGCTGCTGTACCTTCATCAACTAATGAAGTCGTAGAACCACAATTAACCGAAAAAGAGAAACAAGATATTTTAAAATATGTAGAAACGGAAGCTGCAGAAATTGAAGCACTGGATGAAGCAACACTTAAACGTATGATTCTTTTATTCGAGAAAAGAGCTCTCAGAAATCAGGAAATGAGAGTAAAGTTTCCAGATCAACCAGAGAAGTGTGTAAATATATGAAAGCTAATTAGACAGAAATCTTTAATTATTAAAATGTTTAATTATTTTTATATTTTGGTCTTTGGCAGATTTATGGAATCTGAGGTTGAATTACACGAAACGCTGCAAGAGCTTCATATTATAGCAACTAATCCAGATCTATATCAATTGATGGTAGACTTAGGCGCTGTACCTTCTTTGCTGGAATTATTATCTCACGAAAACACCGATGTAGCAGTCGGTGTGGTGGATCTTTTGCAAGAATTGACTGATGTAGATATATTACACGAAAGTCAAGAAGGTGCAGATACACTCATTGATGCTTTATTAGAACAACAAGTTTGCGCTCTTCTAGTACAAAATCTCGAAAGGCTTGACGAAGTAATCAAAGAAGAGAGTGATGGTGTTTTTAATACACTTGGTAATTATTTAACAAATGTAAAAATGTCATTTATTGGCCCTCACTTTAAAATGGTATAAAAAACCCGTCTCTTAAAATGCTATATAATTTTATCTAATCATACAATTATAATTTTTAGCAATTTTTGAAAATCTTCTGGAGTTCAGACCGGAATTATGCTCAGACGCAGGAAAACAAGGTCTGATGCAATGGTTATTGCGTCGAATCAAGGCAAAAACACCTTTTGATGCAAATAAACTTTACGCCAGTGAACTCTTGTCTATACTTTTGCAACATACGCCGGAGAATAGACTTCTTCTGGGTGATTTAGATGGAATTGACGTTTTGCTGCAACAATTAGCTGTATGTGTTTTTGTTTTTGCAAATTTTTGTATGCAATGCTACAGAATTATTTCAAAGTTTGATATTATTGCAGTATTACAAGAGACATGATCCACAGACCGCAGAGGAACAAGAGATGATGGAAAACTTATTTAACGTTTTGTGCTCAAGCTTGATGGCTACTGTAAATCGTGACAGATTTCTACGTGGCGAAGGCCTCCAACTTATGAACTTGATGTTACGAGAGAAAAAAATGTCACGAAATGGATCTCTCAAAGTAGGTTAAGATTAGACTGAGTTCTGTCTATTCTATTTGTAGAATATTACTCACATAATAATGTTTCTACAAATTACTGTGATTAATCACAGGTTTTGGATCATGCTATGAATGGTCCGGATGGAAAAGATAATTGCAGCAAATTTGTAGATATCCTTGGATTGCGGACTATATTTCCACTATTTATGAAAACCCCGACTAAAAATAGAAAAAAAATGCTTACTGCAGAAGAACATGAAGGTATTATTCATAAATTGTTGCCTATAATTTTGAGATGCATATTACACACAACAATAATATTATCACTAGATACCTTAGCAAACCTGAATTATTACAATAATAAAGAAATTATTTCACAGAACATGTGATTTCAATCATAGCAAGCATGTTGAGAAACTGTAAAGGACAACAGCGGCAAAGATTGCTCAGTAAATTTACAGAGAATGATTATGAGAAAGTGGATCGATTAATGGAATTACACTTTAAATATCTGGAAAAAGTGGAGGAAGTGGAAAAGAATGGAAAGGTAGGTATATAATGGAAAACATTTTATTGAAAAAAGAAGAAAAAAGCTTATTCACTCTTTTATTTATTTTTGTTACAAGGAAGATGAAGATGAGGAAGAGTCCTATTTAAGAAGATTAGATGGCGGATTATTTATTTTACAATTAATAGATTATGTACTTTTGGAAGCTTGTACCGGCTGTCCATCTGCAGTTAAACAGCGAGTGACGAGAATTTTGGCACAGAGAAGAGCATCTCTTAAAACAATTCGACACATTATGAGAGGTAAATTATGGTCATTGTATAGAACGATAGATTTGATCAAAACTATATCATTAAGAGTGATTATTTTCTGAATTTTCTATTTTCTGAAAACCAGAATACGCTGGTAATTTAGGTGATGCTGGTGATACAGAATGGAAGGAAGCAGAGCAACAGCATATCTTGCAATTGATCGACAAATTTTGATATGTACATTCTATATTGATGCTGAAACGTAGTCTTACAAATTATGGTAAGATTCAATGATCTTATATCATTAAGTAGTGTAATGGAATAAAAAAGAAAAGATGTATTAAAGATCTCAATAAAACTTGATTTGCTCGATTTTTACAAAAAATGCGCTACCGTTTACAGGATTAACAACAAATCAATTTAATACAAATGTAATATATTGATATCAAACAATCAATGTAACAATTGACGTAAAAACTCGACTATAATGGTTGAATGGTCGTCTTTAGAAAAAACAAATTTAATTGGTAATGGTATACATTACACACAATCATAGACAATTATTGTACTCAATATTTGCGCATTCGTTGTGTTCTTGAACGTAAATGTTCAAATATCGCTGTGCGCATTAAAATACTTTCATTTTGCGCATATCCTATTAAAAATAAGAATGGAGATTAAAAAGAAATATACAATATTTTAACATTGTTTAGTCAGAATTACAAAGAAATTAAATTAATTAAAGAATTTACAATATAAATATTCAACTATACGCAGTTAGTACACTTAATTACTAAATTTGATATGAAAAGATGTGTACAGTCTACTAATACATGGATTCGACAACAAAGATCCTAAATACGCATTTAGCAGTTCTTGGATAAGATTATGTTATTTGACCGGCCGACAACAGGATCCTTATTCTTATCCTTTTTATCTTTCAAAAATTATTTTACAAGTCTTCTTGCTCTTGATGGATGAGATAATATATGAATGGGAACAAAAGTAATTACAGAGCAATGAAAATCAAATATTAAAAAAACTGTCTCGCTGGACTGAAATATGGGAAGATAATCTTTCTACTTTTAAATGATTTAAAAAATGTAATTCTTATCCAGGAATTACTGTGTAGCAGACAATTTATGAATAACAGATAATATACAAAACAAAAGAGTATATATATTCGGAATTCCCCCCCTCAGAATAAATATAAGTTTCAAAATAGTCAGGAGAAACATAAAAACAATTTTACAAATAAATAAAATCAAGTAACAATCGATAGTTAATGTCTTGTACGTGCAACTTATCGCTATAACATCGCTTCACTTATAATAAATTCTTATTAGAAAATTATCGGTTATATAAGAATAAATTAATATTATTCATTTTAATTGCGACTTGGAAAAATGCGTGAAATTGACGATGAACAATGTGCGTATTAAATTGACTTATCTACGTTACACGATTTAACATAAACAAGTAACACATACACATAAATCTCGCTTACTATTAATTAATCAACAATGATCAATGTAGTATTATTTTCTTTTTCTTTAAAGCATATGTTACATAAAAAAAAACATCTTTGTTTTCTGAACAACAAAATATACACATTTGATGGCACATTTCATGAAAATAGAAAAATATGTCAAAGTGTCTAATTAACAATGTGTATGCTCTCAAAAATCGGTAAGTCGTAAACAGTATCAAATAACTTGCGCAAAAAAACAATAAAAAGGAAACTTGTCATACACATATGAATAAAACTTTATTCATTGTGTTTGTAGTTTACCCCATTTACCACCAAAACACATAATAAATACTACTTACACACGCCATTTTATTAGAAAAAATATTTCTAGTACCGCTTTTGTGTGTTTTTCGACACACACTCACACTCACAACACACACACACATACACACACCGATTTTGCTTTTGCATATGCATAAAAAAGATAAATTCCTATATTCTATAAGTATATTGTTCTATACAAATTGAGTGTTTGCACATAGTTTACTATATACAGGATGTCCTATTTTAAACGGCGAAAATTAAGTGAGAAACATATTTTAAATTAAACTTATCTATATCGAAAGAATCATCTTAGAATCAATATAATTTTGCTTTACGTAGAGATGCTTTCAACAATTTAAGATTTTCTTCAATTTTTAAAATAAAACTATATGGTGTTCTTCACATGATTCGATTTTTTCGTCACGTGTATCAAATTTTTTAAATAAAATTTTCGAAAAGTGAATACTTCACGAGATACTTCATATTTTATTTAGAAGTATATTTTAACATCATATAAAACATTAGAGTAAAATATTCTCTTTTCGATGACTTTACTACCTTTATGCATAAAAATACATAACTATTTTTTGTACACAGTTGCATCAATACATACACAACTGTTTTTTTTACTGCAACTATATTTTTTAGATCGATTCTTATTATTTTACCATATTATTTTAAAAGTGGAATAAGAACATCAAAAGTGAATCATCAATTAGTACATTAAGTCTGGGATATCCTGTATATAGCTAAGAAATGATCTATCTGTATCATGATTTTCGATGATCTTTCTATGATTGTTTATGATTTTTTGCTATGCTATATCTCTAATGTGTAGCATAGTATATTAAATATCATCAAATGCACGAAGATACTACAGCGTTTCATCAATAAATAAATATCTTAGATGTATTCTATCTTAGATGTGCTATAGATTATTCACCGATATGATCTGATTTATCCAGCCGATATATGAAGAGACTTTTACATAGACGCCTGGCACATTTTGGCGACCGCAGCCGAATCCCCAGGAGACCAATCCAGCCAATTCATAGAAGCCGTCGTCTTGGCATACCAAGGGACCTCCACCGTCGCCCTAGAGTATCAACGAAAGTAATTTAATCAATTTTTCATTGCATAAAACATCTTCGAAGAGAAACTTAACATCAAAAACCAATTGTCAAGCAATTATATTCTAATATTAATAAGTTTTGAATATATGACGCAATAAAAAATATTCAAAAATTCAATAAAACTATTCAAAAAAATATAGTACGTAAATGATTTCCAATCAGTTTAAATTGAGTGCTGTCAAAAGATAACTTTAAGGTTTCTTTAAAAATTGTCTATTCATAAAAATTAGAAGAAAAAAAATATCTTGAAAAATATTAGAAATATCATTAAAACGCAGATCATTTTGAATATTATATAAAAGTAAATATACCTGACAAGCGTCATTTCCCTGCTCGCCGCCGGCGCAAAAACTGCTAGCTGGTAGAATAAAGATCTTCTCCGTTACCGCGTTCACTTTTCGTATGCATTCAGCATCACTGACAATGGGTATCTCCGCTTCGCGTACTCGAAGAGGTATAGGACCAGCTGTAAAACATCGATATGCATGTTGTTCCATAATAATGGCATATATTGTGATAATACTTGCATGAATTTGTTGTTTCGTAAAAAAAAAGAATAATTTTTCGTAGTATTTATGCGCTAAATTCGAAAAACTAATAGTTACAGAAAAAAAGGAATTTTTGTAGTTGGTATTTTAACGTAATTTAATTAGCATAGTTAGTTGCAGATATTTTTTCATCAAGAATAGTATAATTATTTGAAAAAAATGTTTTGGTATACCATTAAAAATATTTAAAAATCACTGTTTTTGACATTTTCTCAAAATCCTGATGTGTTATTTTATAAGACAGAATTTAGATTTAGCGCGCCAAAACTATAGAAAATTAATTTTCTTTTCCAGATAACAAAAGAATGTATATTTTACAATATAATTGTTTCTAGCACAACACGGAGAAAATTTTATATAAAAATTTACTATGCACAGCAGTAGCCGCGGACCGTGAAGGAAGTATAAAAATTTTTACTACGTTTTTCGCACAATGGCCATAGCATTTAAACTTATCAATTCCTCTTATGATTCGCTGCCATGTCATAAAACTTTCTCCGTGCAAAACATATGCGACATGACAAGTATATGCACCTTCTCCCATGTATCCATAACCAGTAACTGTACATCTTTTGCCAGCGGTGTGACTGACACCTCGTGCCGGCAAGCAAACCAGGCAAACGCCATCCTTCAGCTCCGCCTGGCCGTGAAGCTTCAGTAAAGCAATATCGTTATCGAGCGTCTGACTATTGTGATTGTGATGTATGTACGTTGTCGCGACGCGTAAGGTTTGGGCGCCGGGGCTTCCGTATTTACGAGTCAGATCGTGATCGCCCACCCTCACGTAGATTGCGTCGCCGGATCTTACAATGCTGGGGACAAACGTTTCTTTGTACTTTTCTCAAGTCTCCAATTCACTGCTTGCAATGTGCGAGGTCTTACGTGCAACAAGTGTAATTAACTTACTTCGTGACGCAGTGTGCTGCAGTTAAAACCCACTGTGTCCCTATCAACGCGCCTCCACATAGATACTGATTGAGGGAATTTATCAGAGCGACCTGCCAGCACCATTCGTTGGCGTCCGCATCCTCACCTCCCACTACGCGTGCAATTCTCGTGGAACTTCGCGCCTGAATCGGACCGCGAGAGGTTCCCTTCACGCCACAAACATATTTATTGTACACTGGACTATTCGTGGTGGAGATGGCCGTTGTTGTTTCATCTATAAAATTGACGATTCTTTACTATAAACTAGTAATATCTATTTCTTTGAAAATCTTCAATTTTCATAGCTTTAGTCTTCTAATTATTAATATTTTTAAATTACTTACAGATTAATATACGAGGTTCTACAATAGTAAAAAAACCAACTATAAGCACAGAATGTCGAGGCGCAAAAATTTTATCACAAATCAATGCAGAATAATGCTGCAAAAATGTTTCAATTTTTTAACCCCCTTCAGTCTAGGATTGTAATCGGTATGTAATTGTAATCATGCATAAATATCGGCAACGACTCGCCAGAGTAACATAACTCAATTGTATACAAGAAGCTCGACCCAGCCAATCAAGGAAAGAGTTCACGGCGGATGCAATTTATAGTAAAATTTTTACGCCTTGACACCTGCGCTTTTTTGTAGTCTTTTTCTGTTGTTCCTTTTTGTTATCAATACTTACAGATTGATGTCGGAGTAGTGTAAGGTCGGGAAGTGACATAGAATGTGTCGTTCCTGTTGGTCAGAACCGGTTCTGTGGAATTCCCTCCGTGAAATTCTCTTATCAGAGACTTCGGTGCACAGCACTGATGTCCCTGCTTCTTGCATTTGAAGATGCTCGTCAGTTCAGCGTTTCCTACGAACGTACGCATTGCATTATCTGTGCTTGATTCTCGCTTTTAGAGCTTACTTACTGAAACAGGTGAACGATAAGTAAGATACGATGCAAGAACCGGGGCATTCCGGACGTGGATCGGGCGGCAATGAGACGGTTGTCGGCAATCGCGCAGTGGGCTTCGGTTTTGGTCGCGTCTAAATAATAAAAAAAATCAGTGTTACATCAAAGTGTATGATATTTTTGCGAAAAGATTTCTTGCAGATTGAACTGATAATCTAGGATCTTAATGAAATCTTTAATCTGCTGGCTGATAATTAATTACCTGCTGCGAACTCTTTGTATTATCACAACAGATATAACCAGATTGGCAAGACGATGTTTTTGCTATGATTGCATTCGGCCGCTCGCAAAAAGCTGCCATAATTGTCAATAAGCAAAAGCCGGGGCACGGCGATAATTTTGATTGCGGAGCCTTTGTAGCTGGTCGAATCGTCGTCGTCGTCTCCTAAGCAAAATAATGGAGCTTACACATTTTACGCTACTACAAATAACTTTAAGATAATTTAGAAGCACCCAAGGAACACATTGTAGTCAAAATGACATCATTTTGACATCAAAACTACATCAAAACTACATCAAAACTAGTAGTTTTGATGTCAAAATGATGTCATTTTGACTACAACGTGTTCCTTGAGCAATTGAGAGATTTGTGCATTGAATATTAAATTTCTTTACCACTTTTTGTGGCGGCGGCGGTGGTTCATTAATGCAACAAATGGTCAATACGGATCCCTCAGCGGGACAATCCGCGTCGCTGTCTATGTTATCACAAAAGAAAGCGGACAGATCGCTCTTGCATTGTCCTTTACACGGTTTCAGAGGCGCCGGGTTAGATCTCGTTGTCGTTGTAATTGACGGCAGCATTGTAGTTGTTACTGTCGTCGCAATTACAATCGTCGAGACGTTTGTTGACAACGATGTGTTGGGTCGCATAGTTGTCGACGGAGATGAGATCTTGTTAAAAGTTCCGTCGCCATTTTTCTCATCGTAACGAGACGAGTTTGTGCGGTCGATCACCAGCAGCTCAGGCGGGGGAAAATCTCCAAAGGCGTCCCTGGACACGCAACATTTGTAGCTCGGCTTGCAGAGAGTATCTATCATCAGCACAGCATCGCAATAATTGGCAATTCTTTCAGCCATGCATATGCCCGAACAAACTTTCGCTGAAAATAAGCGTTGTCTGTTTAATAATCGATTATCAATCGGACGCATGCAAGATTTGAACATTTCCGAAAGCATGATATAAATTAAAATAAATTTTACAACGTTACGTAACTAAAAGAGACACATTAATATTAAAATAGAAATATACTTTACGTACTGGACGATTTCTCGCTCGTTTCATTATAACTTTCCTGCAAAACAAAAAGAACATAAGTATAACGGCATAGCAATCACACGCAAGAAAAATATATGTCATTGATGTGTCAAAAGCTTTGATTTGAGTAGAAAAATTATCTTATTTCCCGTCAAAAATATTTTTATAATCCGAGTTACAACTCATCGCAGTGACAATGATACATCTTTTACCATCTAGCAATAATAGAGTTCTAAAACACATCTTTCACATATTAATCTAGATTATTTTCTCCAATGTCCAATTTGAACTTACAGGTGTAGTTTTTGTCAAAGTGGAGGAAGTCGATGTACTGAGCGTTGTGGCGGTTGTCGCAGGTGTCACCGTAGAAATCGTGGTGGTCTTGTCTGCTGTTGTAGATTCGATGGTGGTCGGTCCTTCGTCCTCGACGGCGTTTTCGGCGAACGAGCTGGTGCCGTTCACTGGATCCTGCAGACAGCATCGCATACTGGCTGTGGGGCACTGCACATCTTCCAAGACGTCGTCGCACATCAACGTCGCCAACGCGTGCACACACACCCCCGGACAATCAGCGATTTTCGCCGTGCTCGTTAGAGAGTTTAAGAAACCTGCGCACAATCACGCATAATACTTACAATTAACAACTCATTTTCAGTTATTGCTGATAATAAAAATAATATAATTTTAATTTGACTGAGATTAGTCGAGAAGAAACTTTTTAATCCATCCAGAAATGATGTAAACCCAAATTACAAATTGCGTGCAGCTTCAGAGAAAAGCATAAAAAAAACTGGAAAATTTTTATCGGATCTTCAGGATTTTTTTTAGTTTTTAGATATAGCTGTATATTGCTTGAGTGAAGCACCACTGAACGAGCACCATCAATGTCAATGAACAGCAGGAATTCCTGCATGCATAATTTAATTGATGAATACTTTATAAAGTGGTCCAAGATGACTAAATTTAATATTGATAATTATTCAGAAGGAAGATCACAACCGTAACGATTCAGGAATCCAGTTTTTGCACTTATACATTGAATTCGGTTTTTATTTTTACCAAATTCTGAAAATAATTTGTCATAAAAGAGAAGCGGAAAGCGTCATTTTTTGTTCACTTTCTCTGATTATTTCCTTTTATCGAGTTGAAACTGCGATTAACAGCTAACAAACCAATGCCAAATTGATTACAACAATATTATATTATAGCTAAATAATTATACAAAATGCGTCGATAAATGCGCTACATATAGATATAAGATTCCTTAACAAAAATAAGTTAAAATTTAGGAATAAATTTTTCTTCGTACGAGGCTTTGATTTCAGAAATAGAGATACAATATTTCCACATTTGCCTATGATTTTACATCGGCATCCAGATCAGAATAAAAATAATACCTTGTTTTAATTTGAATACTCCGATTTAACTCTCTATAAATTTATAGTATTAAATTGCACCCTCACCATTTTCAAAATCAATGTTTTATGAAAATTAAGTGTCGCAATTCGGCGTGAGCGCGGCTAAGAAATTTACACGAATAATACAACTCCCTTGGCTGGCTTCGCTTTGGTAGGCATAACGGACCAAACAAACATAACGGTAGTTAATGAGCAACTTGACTCGGACTATGTATATGTGACTGTCATATGCGTTTCGTCTAACGCGCGACTTGATTTCGGATAATAATGAATAATTGGACCCTCTAATTGTAACAATGCGACACTGGCTTTTATATCAAATGGCGGCGGTTGTAATTGAAAAAAAAAAGATCAAAGATGCCGATGCAAGTGAACATACTAATTATACGGTGACTATATATTTGGCCGAGTTAGCAGTTTAGTCACAATATAGATTCCTGTAGTAATAAGCCTTAAACGTTCCACGTTCTGCTTTTAAATATACTTTTTGCGTACAATAATATGGAAAATGCTTTTCATTGATTCAGTTATGCGCGGTTAATTACTTTGTCGTACGTGTTCATAAAAATAATGAAAATATTACAAAATATTGATGTTACAATTCAATAAGTATCGAGCTGTCAATGCTGTCATATGTCTAAAGGTACTCTCATTACCACGCGACGTACCGTGCCTGAGCGCGCGAATTTGGATCACTCTGATTGGTAAGCTTTAAATGCTTCTCATTTAAAAACTATGATTCTGTTCCAAATGATATCAGTGATGTCCTATTAACATATGATGCATTTAATGCAGAATGTATATAATCTAATGACTCTCATTTAATACAATTATAATGTTTAAATATTTTCTTCGATTGCAAAGCAATAAAATTGGTGTAATCAATTTTAAGATGCTAACTTTGTATACTAGAAATAGAATTATTTATCTTTCGCTTTCGCCCAATTATTAAAATACAAGATTTTCAAAATGACTCACAGCACAAAATAAAATAGCAAAAAATTCAAATTATTGGATTTTGTGTGCGTGTATTCTTATCACAAGAATAATCGACTTTTATAAAGTTTAATATTATTTTTGCGTTTATTCACTCTAAATGTATAATTATCAGTTTATAAGAAATTGTAATCTCGCCTGTTTATTTGCCTGCGATCGTTGTAAAAAAAAACTTGTCACGATGTTAAAAAGATGTCAAATTATAGAGTTTTTGACTGAACAATCTTAAATCGATCCGAGAACGATTAATCGTAATTTACCGTAAACTCATGTTTGACTCGTAATATTTTTCTTTTATTATTTATTAAGATATTAGTTTATTAAAAACTAACTAAATGATAAGTCTTATATTTGTTCCTCAATGTATTTCTCGTGTAATAAAACATCGCTCGAACATGATCTAAGTTTTCGCATTTCAGTGCATAATTTTTCATCTTTTTATCAATGAATGGCTATCCGGGTTACTTACTGCGTATTTTCAGTACATTGTACTGCGAAAAGCACGTTGCTCAGTCGAAAACGCCGATAGTTTTAAGTCATGATATATAAATATTTAGATATAATGCGCGCGTATGCTCCAAATTGCTCCGATCCGCAACTTTACATACAATTAGCTGTGTACAATATGTACCGATTTAAATACATGTAAAAAATATTCGTAATTCTTTCGAAGATATTATACTGTTCTCCAAATAAATAATAACAAAAGCAATTCAAGAAGTAAAGAAAAATTGGAAAACATAATACCGTTATAAATTTTAAATAGCACAACCGGAAATATACATTATGTCAATTCCGCTACTCGCGATCAATTTTTAATTAATTGGATATGAGCAATTTTGTGTGGTACTATTTAATATACCCGAATACATTTAACGGCATATCAAATAATAGTTTTTAATCCGACATTTTGATAAAAAAAATACTGATCTTAATTCAAGCGTGAGCTCCGTCACTTTCTTACGAATTTCATATAAAGCATTTTTCTTTACAAAAACTCGCGCGAGAATAATATTTAACGATATTCTTATTTTTCAGATCCCCAATAATCGATATCCGAAATATGATTCTTACCTGATAGGAAAGTGCTAGCCAAGGAATCATCATCCTGCCCCCCGACTGATCCAGCGAGCAGAAGTAGAAGGACAATGCCCCCAGGGGCGGCTTTCAGTATCATCTTTGGTCTCCCTGTCGTCCTACTTTCTGTTTCTTCGATTAAGAATATTTTGCTAAGGAAAAAAAAATTTTTTAATATTTTTTAATCGATGCACTATGGTCCCACGCGCGATTTCGACCGTGTATATCAAATTGCCCCCCTTCACCGCGAGAGTTCAGCAATATTCGAAATTTTGTATCATGCAGATCCACATCATCTACTTTGGCTTGTTTCATTGAAACTGGCCGGGAGATCAGGGCCTACTTGTAGGCAATGTTGTAGACGGGCCGGATTTTTCGCGCATGCGCAGTCAAAACGATATCAGTAAAGTACTTAGTGCAAGTAAAAAAGTATGCCGATAATCGGTCCAGATAAAATAGTCTAACAATTTTCACAATTTTGTAAAATATCACCTGTGACATTTGCAACGTTCGATTTCATTATTTTATTATACAAATGTTAATATTAACTTTCTTATGAGCGTTTCGATCTCTTGTTGCTTGTTGAGCACGCCAAGAATTTACGCGCCCACTATATTTTCTACATCGTACGTCATTGTTGGACCGTCACTTCCGCTGCGCATGCGCAAAAAACTTAGCCCCTCTACACTGCTTGTGGGTCAAAGTGTGCGGATCTTCCACCTTCGTATGAAGGTATCCGAACAAAAAAAGAGGAAATAAATATAAAACACAGTTGATCAACTTTGTAAATACTAGAGGGGATAAAATTGTCGACGGATGATGCTAGTTGAAACTTTTTGTTTTTTACAATACATTATGATGGACAAAATTAGTAATTTAAATTCTCGCTATAAGATAAATAATGCTTACAAGATTCAGCCGATATTAATAGTTAAGGGCCTTTTTAACGTAATGTTCTGCCACTTTGATGAATCCATTCATGATTCAAACTTGTTTTAAATTAAATAATATTAAAAATATAACCAGGCAACCGGTTTCTACAATCTTTAATACTTACTCGTCGTCTTTTCTTCGATGATCCGATCGTCTAAGTCTTGTGCTTACGTGTGCAGTATACTTTTAAAGAAAAACTCTCATTAGCAAAATTTTGGATGGTCTGGGATCTTGCGATTGAACATCGAGCAGTTCCGATCCTTCATTTTCCGCTCCAAACTATTTGAATAACTCAACATACGAAATGTTCGAATCTTTTGTCTGTGCCCTAGTCTCGTTCGGTATTTGTTACTTTTTCTGATTCCTATACTCTCTTCCCGGATCTTGTTCTTATTTTCTATTTTCCTCCAGATTTATGCTCTTCTTCCTCTTTCCTTTACTGTCCCGTTCTCCTTTCTAGCCTCTCTTCCGTCGTTCTCCTTTTTGTTTCTACACATGCTTGTACCAGTGAATAAATATATGTACACGCTTGCCACATACAAATGTGTGCGCATGTACATGACACGCGCGTATGCGACTAGCGGTACTTTATCCGTGAAACATGAGATACCCCACAATATTTGCCTTTTAGAATTGGTCGTTCTTTGTACAAAATGCGTATTTTCATACGCGACTGTAGCATAAATTTCTAATGGAATTTTGTCTGAATGTAATGTTAAACAAATGTACTGTAAAGTTTTATGTTACAAATTAATTTGTATCTATATATTACGTTTTAAAGCGCTCGTTATTTACGAGTGCTATTGCGATTATCTCACGTTATGGAAAAAAAAAGGATAAAAGTGAAGGAAGTTGTTAGAAATTTCTTCACAAAGTGTTAGAAGGGATAAATACATAAATCTCAAAAAAATAATATTTCTATACAAAATATTTAATAATTTATAATATAAAAATGTAGAACTAATAGAAATTATATGGAACTAATTTTTTTAATTATACCCAATCTTATGAAAAGTAGTTATAGTAATAATATTTCATTGAAACACTTAGGACAGTCCCAGATGAGCCGGATTAACTAAAGTGAATTTCTCTATGCATTCAATTAACCACATGAGTGGCAGGCTCTTGATATGCGGCATTTTGTATTTAATAAGAGGTTCATTTTTACCTGGCATGTATATCACGTAATGTGTGCATTTGTACAAAAGATTAGACGTGTCATTTGCGACGTGGAAAGGTATTACTTGCGACATGTGTTTCAAGTCTTCCGGATCTGGTTTTCTGGTAAGCACTGTACCTTCTCCTTCTTTCACAAGCCTTATCAGATCATCTTTCGTTAATCGTATATCGCCAATCTGATAAGTTACATTTGCTTGTAAAGCAAAATAGAAGAAACAATTATTGAAGAGACGTGGATCGCAGCACTCTTTATTCTGTCTCGCTTTCTTTGGGATGCCATGAGTTGGAACACCGTTTACTTCGAATAATTCAAAATCCATGTCAGATATATCATCCATATCTTCCGCCACGTGAATCCCTTTAAACAAATTCCCCAAGTTTCTCATCTATGTATCTATTATATATAGGAATGTGTATATGCATGCATGTATGTATTGTTCAAATTTTTAAATATATTCATATATACTTAGTTCAAATATACTTAAAAATTTATACACACATACATGTATGCATGCATATTACGTGCACGCATGTTGTGTAGCAATATCCGTTTGTGTACAGATATTTAATTTTAAAATTCTTAACCCTTTTGCTGCGGACGATGAATATATTTATCGTCAGAAAGTAATTTCTCAGTTGCGGATGACGAATATATTTAGCGTAAAAAATTATGGATGCCGCATACCTTCAACCAGAGAAAACGTATAGGAATCCAAACAAAGGCTCTGTTTCTCATTGTTGCCATATAATAACATATTTTTAATTTTTTAAAAACCAGAAAATTTTAATCACTGAACTCTTCTATTAACAAAAGAAGGGTTGCCTTGCTTTAGGCAGTCTTATGCAAATATTGTCCCGCACACAGCGAGGGCTTTTTGGCGCGTTGAAGTGCGCCGCAACAAAAGAGTTAAGAAGCAATAAATAAATAAACAAATCACTTCAAGCGCAAAGGATCATTAAAAATACATAATAATATTTCATCTTACATTCACTATTAAGAAGCCAACTTCCATTAACGATCGCAAACAAAACGTCAAGTGTCAATTTTGTAATGTTTAGCTCATTTGCTTCTACTACGACGTGTGTAACAGATGGCCTAAAATATAAAACTTGATTACATAATGTGCGTGAAAATAATAGAATAAAAGATGCAAAAGTTGTACCTGTATGTGGTCAAAATTTTGAATTTATGTTTTGCGGCTATGAGACCAAGCAATTTCTGATTTTCATGTTTCAAATTTGATGTGAGAATTACAAATTTGTCACGTTTTGCACATAGCGATGATTTATCTAACGATTGATTAAGGTCAGATACTTTCTCAGATATCGGTTGTGGATTATTCATCAGAAGCTGTCGTATCTCATCTGACTTACAATAATCTCTGTATAATCATTATCAAATTAAAGTATAAGAAATTAAATTATATAAACTATATTATTTCTTGTAGTTATCATCCACATACATACATGGGTTTTCTTCCATTTTGATCGCACAGATTTTTGTCAGCATTATGATGTAACAATAACTTAACTTCCTCAATTCTATTGCACTTAACAGCTTCGTGTAAAGGTCTTCTACATTTATAACCTGATATGTCAGGCAACGCTCCACAATTCAGTAGTAACTTACATATTTCAGTATAACCAAAACTGACCATTTCTTGCTGATATTGTGCAATGCAATAAAATAATTTCAATTTTTCAAGATAACAAAATTGTTGTAATAAAAAAAGGAAAGAATAATTGAGTTGTGTTTCTCACCAATGGTGTCCAACCAGTATAATCTTTTGTATTAGGATTTGCACCAGCTAGTAAAAGATGTTTAACTTCTTCAGAATTTTTCTGTAAAATATCACATTAAAATCATACTGTAAAATCTTCTTGGAGATAAATTATTGATTCACAATTTACATAATATCTAAAATATGATAATTTAAATACAATAAGTTGTAATATTATTTTAATTTTATGTAGTGGAAGAAATTATATTAATATTTAATACCCATACTTTTAAACAAGCAACATGTAACAGTGTTTCTCCTTTGAAATTTGGTTTATTTATGTTTTTCTTGCGTATATTAGATTGCTTTCTTGGTGTAATAACTACCGTAGATACTGTGTTATCTAACGATATGTTAGATATACTTGCAGCATTGTTCCACGTATCTCTAATATAATAATATAATTTTATATTAACATATACAATTAGCAATTACAGATACTGTAGTAATAGATATTGTTGATTATTATATAGAATTAGTGTTATATATTTTATTGTTTAAAAAATTTGATCAAACCTTTTTTTTATTATTTCTGCAATATTATCACAATTCTGAATGAGATTGGACACTAAATAATCAGGATTCATTTCTCTTGGCTGTACTGGTATATCACACATAATGCATTTTGTTGCATTTTTGATACAATTGTGACAGAAGAAATGTCCACAATTTGTAAGTCTTACAGGAGATATTGGTTTAGATTGGCTGTGTAAAAAGATATTGATATTAATTACATAATCAGTAATACATAAGCAAGATAAATATATTGGAAATAAAAAAAATTTTAAAGTAATCATTGTTAGAAATATAATTTAAACCTATCAAAATAACTTTCTACAATCTTTATTATAGTTTAATATTCTTATCACAATAGGAATTTTATAAACGATTCTACTTACCATTTTCCACAAGCTAGAATGCTTGCAAAATCTTGCAGTGCGTTAGCAGTATTTGTCCAGTATTTAGCCATTAAAAAAAAGTAATTTTTTACTTGTCTTTATAGCAATGTAAAAACGTGACTGTCAATGTTGACAACGATGCGTACTGATGCGTACCGGCAAGCAGTGCTCTCAGATGGGCCCGGCTGGGCGCGCATGCGTGTTCTCTACCATTTCTGCACTAGAGGTTTGATGGCGTCGCTATGCTCCTACTTGCTTCAATACGCTCCGATCTATAGTATACATGACGTAATACTATAAATTGAAGCATGTAGGAACATATTGGGGCATTGCGAGAGAAATCTCTAGTATATAAATGGTAAAGAACTGATATACTGAGTCGTAAAAACGACCTAAGAAAGACATTTTTAGGACGTTCTAAAAATGTCCTAAAAAGACGTTGTTTTTAGTTTCTTTAACAATTGGTATTTTGAATTTTGCAATAAAAAACTATTCAAAAATTTTGAAAAAGACATTTTAATTAAATATTTAAGTATTACGAGCATCCTAACACTATCAAAAGCAGCCCAGAAGCGAAAATAAGCATATAGAAAAATTCAAATTACCTGCCGGAACGACCAAAAACGTTCCATTTTAGCCGGAATTTCAAGAAACGGAGCCTCGATTCTTGATTTCATACGAAAAGTTTTTGCATGCGAAAGTGACTCTACACGCGCGCGCGATTACTAATTGATGTATACTTTTAGATTTAAAAATATACATCAATCAGGGATCGCGCAGCATCATTTTCACGTGTGCAAATTCTCGCATTGATTCAAAAATCAAAGCTCAGGAGTTAATAGGAGCACATGATGACAAAAGAGCTCACTCGGAGCAATGCCACCTTTTGGTCAGCTGTTGCAACATGACGAAATAATGGTAATTGTGCCGATGGTAAGTGCTCTCATCACTGCAATAGCTGAGCAAAAAATGGCACTACTCTCGACAGCATGAGCTCCTATTCATCATGTGTTCCTGTTAGCAATTTTGTAAAATCCGGAATAAAATGGAGCATGTTGGGCCTTTCCAACCTAAACTAACCAGTGCACATGCGTAAACATTACATCTACAGGTGATCCACAGGTTGTCCTCTGTTGTATGTACATACATATATACTGTGATTATGCTATTACTCTATTTTGTTATTGTAAATTTTGACTTGCTTTTGAAATTGTTCGAGGCACTTCCTTAAATATGATATCGTTATATGAAACAGGTTAAGTTTTTTTTCTACTTACTAATCAGCATATTTTTCAATGTAAATAATAATTTATAATTTGTTTGATTTTTAGGAGATCCACTTTTAAAATCTTTAATAATCTGAATCATACATAATATTAATTATTGACAACAATATATTGCGTTAGCGTACACAAGTTGCTTCAAGATGGCTACAGATTATAGTGACAAATATGTGTTTGAAGCTGAATGGTATGACGAAATTGCCTGCATAATGAAAAAATTTTATCTGTACTATTATCTATCTGACAATACTGTCGAATTGGTATGTATTGAGCTAATGCAAATTGATATATTGATTGACAACAAAGAATGTTTGTATAATTTATATATGTTTCAGTTTGATTTAAAAACAAAAAAGACTTTCTTAAGAAGAACAACATGCAAAGGCATTGAAGCTAAAGATTTTTATATCCACGCTGTAATAACAATATTTGCAAGATGTATAAAAATTACAGGTTACGCAAATACATATACTAAAACCAAATTAGAGACGCAAATGCAAAAGTAATATAATATAAACAATTTATTTTATATATAATTACTGATATAAAATTGCTGGATTGACATAACTTTATTTTTCCAGAGTATTTGTACTTATAAAACCAGATGTTATTGATAAAATGGGTGAAATATTAAAAGTCATTACAAGTCATGACTTTCATATTAAGAATATAAAAATGATACAATTAACTTCAAATGAAGTTACAAAATATTATTCTACAAAAAATATAATTGATGAAATGTAAGTTTTAAATTCTGAATATTAATATCAATACAAGTTATGAATTTTTTTAACTATATACATGTGACCACATATATAAAGATGTAAAGAGTTACAAATCTTATTAGGTCTGTTATAAATTATCTTATCTCCGGGCCTGTTGTTGCTTTGGAGTTATTAGGAGAAAATGCTATAGCGAGATGGCAAGAATTAGCAGGTCCAGAAGATAGTAAGCATGCTTGTTTAGTGGCAACATCTTCTTTAAGAGCTTGCTATGGAAAAGATGAGATACATAATGCTGTATATGGATCTGAAAACACTGAAATAGCAATGCAAGTATGAATTTAAATATCTATTTATATTATTTTAATATTTTTTATTATTAATTATTTTAAATCAGTTTAATCTTCTACTGTTTAGGAGTTGCAATATTTCTTTCCCGACTTAAGTAGTCAAAATAAAGAACCAAAGAACACTGCAACTTTAAAAAATTGCACTTGTTGCATTATCAAACCACATGCTGTACAAGCAAGACTTGTTGGTAAATTGAATATTTTTGAAAAGTATATTTTTATGAAATATTATTTAATAATAGAATTTTTATCTCATATTTTAAAGCATCATTAACAAAATTTGATATAATTTATTCTTCACAATCAATTTTAAATTACAATATAGGCGCCATTATCGATGATGTTCAAAAAGCAGGCTATATAATTACTGCAATACAACAATTTCATATGAATCCTGTTAATTCTGCAGAATTTCTAGAAATTTATAAAGGCGTTCTTCCCGAATATATGGTATATTTCCAACCAGTTTAAATTTTTTTATACAAACAAGTAATTATTTTCGAAAGGAGTATTTCATTAATGTTTATGCTTGCTATAGGGAATGGTAAATGAATTGCAATCCGGTCCATGTATTGTTATGGAAATAAGCCATAAAGACAAAGATGCGAACATTGTTGCTAATTTCAGGAATTTATGCGGTCCAATGGATCCGGTAAGTACTACTTTATATATGCATTGTTTAATATTATTAACATATTTATCCAATATAGGATATTGCGCGGCAAATTAGACCAAATACGCTTAGAGCCAAGTATGGAAAAACAAAAATACAGAATGGCGTACATTGTTCTGATTTATCCGAAGATGGCATATTAGAGGTAACAAAAATTCTAATAACATTTTTAATGGCGTATATTGTAATCTTACATGTGGAAACTTTTCAGGTGGAATATTTCTTCAAAATACTCAGTGGAGTCTGAACGATTGAATTTAGAATTTAATAATTACTAAACTTAAAATATTTAAATTTAGAATAGTTTTACACTTTTATATAACAAAATAAATGTTTTTTTAATAAAACATTTTAGCCTGTAATGTGGTTTATGATGTTAGCCACTTTACCAAGTCGACCACTCTTCCCTCTTCTACATTTTAAGGCATGCAATCCTAGGTTATTTTTTATAAATATATATATATTCAAAGCCATTTATACTATGATAAAACTCTGATTTGTCAAAACTTGGAAAAATGGAAGTCAGACAGGGAACATCATGGATTTTTTCAGTGATTCCTAGTATTGTTACACTTTTTGAATGTTCACTGCAAGAGTTATCTTCCAGATATTTACAATTAAATGCAATAGTTCACTTAGAAACAGAAATTCAAAATTAAAGACTCAAGTCTTCTAAAATATGTTTTATATGAAAATATTCATTGAAGATTCTCAAATAGCTGTTTACCCAAAAAATACATTTTTTATTAATATATAGTGTCAATTATCGAAGTAAATTATGTGGCAAATTCACATAACTTTTATAATACAATTATAGGCTTATGTTCCATTTTAATAATAAACACATAAACGAAAGATAACGACAATTCAAATTAACATTTATTATCTATATAATTACATGTTTTCATATATAATTCATAAGAATCAATTGACTATATATGATTATTTCTTTAAATATATTGTAACTGAATCGCTCCGATATATTCTTTCTTTTATATACAAGTACTAACTTTTTGTGTGGGCTTAAGAAGCATACAGCGTGTAAATAGTATTGTCATCAATTTCTGCTAATAAAGATTCGTGTTTAATTAAAATATTCTACATTAGTCTATTCTGCATTTTACTGCAATATTGCAACTGAAAATACAATATATGGAATATGTTCTATAACATATGAAATTACGCTATACAAGGAATTTTTTTTTTTATATACAGAAGTAATATACATTATAATCAACATGAAAAATTATATTTGTTTTAACAACATTAAATGTTTTCAGTGAATGCATATCTTTATGTTATGTTTAAGATATAATATATTCACAAGAGACCTATTTTGTACAGTTTGTAACAGTGTCGACTCAAATAGGCGAACTTAATCTGCAAATAGAATGAGTAGCAAAAAGATAATACAGTTAGTCTATTATAATCAAAAACAAATATCATTTTTGTTTATATTTTATGACATAAAAGATAATATCATTTTTGAACGTTGCTCCAAAAAATAAAGAAGCTTTAACATTTCTTTATAATTATATATTTTCAATGAATTTCTATTACGATTAGATATATTTGCAATCTACTAAAATGTTTGACTGTTAATTATAGCACATATAACTGTAGGATATATTTTAATGATACGGTTTATAACATATATTAAAATTCTTCAATCTTCATGATCTTAATGTAACAATAAACTTTCTATATATAAGATAATGCGTAGCGTAATCCGCCTGTTGTGCATTAGGCATGATTTTAATTAATTTCATTAATTATTAAATATTTGAAACGATAAAATACAAAACAGAATCCTTACATTTTACGATCCTTGTTTCTACATATTTACATGTTTCTCTTTTACAGTTCGCTTATTATTTCATATTTGTCACGTGATCACACGACTATGTTGACATGTGTAGAACGAAAATTTTGCACATTATATCATTGTGTACACACCGCTTTCATTTTCTGCGAACATGATCAAATGATCACATGATAAATATAAAATAGGGAGAAAGCACAACACGAGCAATACCCACAAAATAAGAAAATAAGAATCGCAAAAATAGAAATTCTTGTATGTACTATGAGAATACATGACAGAAAAATTTCTTTTAGTATCAATAGTAATAGTAGATATTCCTCTTCATAAATTAATAAAGACATTCATTTTTATTAAATATTCACATGACACATTTAATATGAATGTTCTTTATAGATATAATAAGGTCTACTTCTCTTTGTATAACACTTGTGTTTTTACATATTGATAAAAAGATTGGTATATATTTTATCTCTTTATACAGATTAAACGGGTATATAAGCATTGTACCAATTCTATTTAAAAATAATGAATTTCTATGTTAATTTCTATATTGCGTTAGTATGTAAAATACATTACGCCATTTCCAAGTACCAAAAAGCAAGTTAATGGAATCAAATAAATTACCATCACAGAGATACTTGGCGAATCAAATTCACGACTATAAGTCAATATGAAAATCAAAATTGTAATCTATTATTATATTTAATTTCATTTTATTTAATACTTGAGGGTAACATGTGTACGGAAAAATGCATAAGTTGTTATGCACAATTCTATGTAATATTGTAGTATAATATTCCTTTTCCCATTTTTATTCACTCAAAAGATTTGTAAAAAAGGGCTATGTGCGCCACAATCTGTTTCAATTGTAATAAAATATAATTTATAGTTACAATTTTTAAAAAGCTAAGAAAAAAATCGAAAAAAAATTTCGGAAAGTATTGTCCTCTTTCTTTATAAATTAATATAAGAAACTTGTACGCACCTGCCATTAGGTTCCTGATGCAATAGATTTATGTCATCCAGACAAATAAAAAGTGTAATATTCAGGAGAAAAAAAGGTGGTTCTAATGATTAGACCTTATTATCAACCATATCCACGTTGATCTTATAATAAACATACGGGAAATAATCGCTTTGACCAAAACCTAGTCCTGGTATATCGACAGCCTATTAAGATTAAAATATCTTTGTAAATAAATTTGTCTTATATAAATATAGAAAAATATATTAAAGTTGACACAGTCGCTTATCAAAATAATAACATAATTTAATTAAATTTCAAAGTTATGATTAAATATTAATGCAATGTCAAGAATATAGTGCAATCAAATGTGTAGCAATATTTCAACTTACATCCTGATTATGTTGTGCAGTCGTTGATGCCGTAGCAGATGAATCTAAATGAGCGTAAAGCTGATTTAAAACGTCACGTAATCGTCTCGAACATTTCTTATGGGGATGCAACAGTATTGCTTGAAAATTAACCGGCAAACCATATCTACAAATCATTTACATCATATTACAAAGTGCTTTATAGTATTGTGCTATATATTTACACAAAAAATATTTATTATACACTACCTTAGAACAGATTCAACAAACACACGTAGAGCTTTAACATGAATCCAAGCGCAAAAGCATTCACTAAAATTGACTTTCAACCAGCGAACAAGTGGTCCAAATTGCTTCTTTTTATCAGTTACTAACTTGGTGATTTCATTTTTTCCTGCAATAGAATATAATTAAAATAAATCAGACTTTATAACAGATATATATTTATTTTATAAAAATACTTCTTATACTTATAGTGTTTTTCAAATTTTGAGTGCTTCAATCAAGTATGAAATATTTCGTATTTTTCTTCGTATCCATTTTTCCATATTATATTAATTTTAAATTACTATTCCATATATAAATTGCAAAAGGTCTCAACAAACCCGCTGCTAATTCTTCTTCATTGTACGTAAAATCTCGTACAATAAACTTTTTCTCACGAGCGTGCAATTTAAATTCATCCATCACTTTTTTAAACAAAGTGACCGTAAATAATCCGTATTCCGAGTCCTGAGTAATAAGTTGAGTACTGCGTGGTACGATCATATCCGTCAATTTTTCATAACAACCGTACCATTCCTGAAAGTTGGATCTAAAATTTTAAATCATAAGTGTGTCAATTTTTTACATCAGCTATTCAGTTCTCACATAAAAATTTTAACAAGTTGGGCATATTACTAAAAACATGTAGATATGTATATTTACTTACTTCGGTACAATTACAAGTAAAGTAGTTAAATATTCGCTGTCCAAGATAAAATGTTCTTTTTTCACTAAATCTGCTAAATTACGCGTTAATAAACTTCCCCTGTTGAGAATGTTGCAAATTAAATATGATTTGAGGTATTGATTTATTGATTATATTTCTGATAACGTGTAACACAAAAAAAGAAACTTACGTCTGTTTCTTTTCAAGATTTTGTAAGCTGCCTTTCAAATTATTGTATATCGTCGATTTAGTTTTCAAATCAGCATCAATTTGCCCCACTTGTTTACTAATAATATCCGCAATATTTCTTAAAGACTGTTTGATGGGATATTTAGCCATGTCCCATTGGAAGCGAGTTATATATGATGGCAAATCACCTAGTAAATTTTAAATATTAATTTAATTGTTTTAAAAACAAAAATTTTGATATACAACTTCACAGAGTTTTATATGATATTACATTTTATTTTATACTTATGCATATTTACACACACACATATACACACGCACGCACTCATAATTTGGCTTTTTGCTACTACACTATAAAAATACTAAGTCAGAAATTATCGCAATGTGAGAATTATGTTTTACTTGAAACAATTGCGGATAATTTCTGACCTTCGTATATTGACCACATTTTTCTGATAGTTTCATATAATGGTTTCCTGGGTCTGATAAAAAAAAAAGATAAAAAAAAGAAAGAAATCTTTTACATCATTTTTACTTGGATAAAAAATATTGAAAAATAATACCAATAAAAAAAATTAATGTATTCGATAAAGTACAATCTCATCTTTTAAACAATATTTTGTTGGAAGTCGTACGATAATTAATTACAAGATTATGAGCGTTTAAGGATTTATCCTGTAACCCTCGATAACTTGATAAAAAAATCGCACACCTTTTTAACTACTCAAATTAAAGGAAAAACTTCAAGCTTTCAGATGCTTGTAACAAAATTTTTTTAGATTCACACATAAAATTTGTCTATTTTATCGGACTCTTTTTATTGTTAATTATATTGATTGGAAAAAAACTCGGCAAAGAGCATTCAAAAGTACATAGATTTAGAGTTTTTAAATGCTTTTTTTCATATTCAAAATTTGTTACAAAGTTCCAATTATTTTAAATTTGCTTTTTTCTATCGAGAAATAAATTATCCCTTAATTCTTTCGAGAAGTATGTCACTTATACATACATGCAGTTCTTAACAATATTTGGAAAACTGTATTAAATATAATTTGTGCATTGATGCATTCATCTAAAAACAGATAGAATCTTCATACATAGGAATCTGTATGTATTTATATGTATATATCAACATTATACATAATATTATTAAGTATAATTTTTGTTTACTTACATATTTATGAATGTTTTATTTTACATACATGCTTAATGAATCAAAACAAATTTTAACAAGCGTTTGTGTATTTAGAAAAAAGGCTATACTTCATAAAAAAAGAAAAAGATATATTAAACATGATAACATGTAAATCACAGAATTAAGAAAAATCTATATTGTAGTAGTTAACATTAATATATCTTTTTCTGCAAATTTCTTTTCAGCCATAAACTCGCATCACTAATACATATATGATCAGCCATCAGTAAATCAATGTGCAATAATGCAACGTTATAAAATCAATATAGCAGAAATAAGAAAGCAATATTTGTAATGATTATATATACAAAATGATAATATTGTATAGTCTTATTTTTTTAAGTATATATAATATAAGATTCTTCTATTTTTATATTATATATAAGAGTATATTATATATATATAAGTTACGTACGAAAAGTATCAAGCATTTGTTTCTGATGAAAACTTCTATTTCAATAATCATGCAAAATTCTATTAATTATAAACTCATTCAACTAATGTTTGTTAGTTTCTACTAATACTATTTGTGATATCTGTGCTATTGTTTATAATATTAATGTTTTATATGTATTATTATGTGTACAATGTAATCCTTTTTTTGTTAAAATAATACTAATCTTTCAAAGGAAATTATAAGCATCAATGTTAGGACAACAAAGATATCATCTTGAACAAAACAATTAACATAAGATAAAAATGAGTAGTTTCTGTGTACACTTATTTTTAGTCTCAAATTGTATTCTTCTCATCATTTTTTTTTTGTATATAATATTTCATTTTCGAAATTAAATACGTAATTTATTTTACAAATGTATAAAATAATATCAAATATAAATGACAATAAAGATATATAGCATGATAAATGTTTGGAGCGTGATAGATTTAGCCAAATGGAGTAAATTTTATTAAGCAATCTATGTCTGCCAATATCGCGCTCTAGTATTCAACTACAATTTTATAGTTAACTTGGGAAATAGGCAGGCGATAAAACGTCATAGTTTCGGAATCGATCTCACTGTGTGCATTTTCCAACCTTTTTTAACTTTAATTTTCTATATTTTTAATTATTTTAATATGTACATAAAAAAATGCATACATATTATATTACATATTAAGTAATATGTACGCATATTTTTAATATATTTTTCCAAATAAAGTAAATAAAATAAGTAAAATTAATGAAACATTTTTGCAAAAATATTATTTAAAAATTAAAATTTTTTTAAAACTATCATATATATTTATTTATATAAATATTTATCGTGTCACAAGCTGAATTAACTAAATAAATGAATAAAATTTAAATTATAAGTATTCATAGTTTTGAACATCTCTAATTTTCAGAAGTGGTCCCGTCACTAAGATTTACTTTTTCAAAATTACTTTGATTTTTTAAATTAAATGTTAAAACAAGGCATATATATGCACCATGTTTATATAATTAGAATCATAATAAATATAGCTGCTTTATTTCTTCTCTGTTTGTCCCTCTTTCAAGTTTTTCTCATTTTATAAAACACAACAGTATTCAACTGTAATAATCTCTCTTTAAAAAATTTTTTTCTGTATGTAAAAAAAAACACGATATGATTAAACAATCAAGATGCACGGTGCACAAGATTGATGAGCTATATTGAAGAAGTAGAAAAGGAGTAAAAGGCTCGAATCGACCGGCAGTGGGAAAATGAGTACCTGAATTTAACAAACTGCCATTACGATCTTGGTCTTGGTCGTCATTTAGTCGTTATTGTCGTTACAGTCTTCATCTCCAATCGATTTGCGAGCAGATCGATCTAGACCGTTCTCGGTGATTGTTCGCGAATGCTTTCCGAGTTCTCATTCACTGTTACAGTTCGATGAGAAAGAGGAAAAAGTCGAACTCACAGGAGAGGGACTGGTGCAGCGTCAAGGATGTAGAAGCAACGCATCGATGAGCATAACAGAGCAACAATATATTGACGGAAGATAATTGTTGGATTGAGATTTTTACATGATAGATGCCCTGAAGATAGCTTCTTTTCGAACGCGGAGAAACGACGATGGTGGTGTTTATGAGAATTATGATAATGACAATAATGATTATGATCATGATAATGATCGTGGCAATGATGACGTTGATGAGGATGCTGACCTAAACAGGCGGCCGGTTCTGGTTCGGACTTGTCCAATCCCCTCCATTGTCTGTGATGCTCCATTGTAGTCTTGTGTGATGGTGTTACAGGTGTGTTTGGCGGAGTCATACCCCCTTCGGGGCTCGAGTTCTCCCCATCCATTGATGTCTGACCTATCCATTACAGCCCAATCCCAATCTCCGCGCGATTTTTTTTCTTATTGTCTTGATCAACTATTATTGTCTCCTACGCAAATGCCTAACGACAATGCTGACGAAACTGAACGAAAACAACTCAAGGAAAAAAAGGCAACAATTGCAATGGCAAAAATCCCTAAATTGAAATTCGAATTAACGCCACACGCGCTCTATTCATCAAATATAGGCCCAGATGCGACTTTCATTTGCTTTCAAACCTCAAGAAATAACTAGCAAGTAAAAGATTTGCATTGAATGCTGAGATCATCATCGTGATGAACGGCTATTTGGAGAACAATCCGAATATAAAAAGGGTACAGTCGCATTGAAACATCGTTTCATCATTATCATCGAAAAAAGTGCCATTGAGTTTAAAAGAAATTCTATTAAAAGATAAAAATAATTACGTGAGTTCGAAAGATCGTGTTTTCCCTTGTTAGACCGAGAATTTTCTCACGTAATCCTGTTCGAATGCTCATGAAATACCGATATTTATTCAAATAAGTATGAAACTTCAAAACGCCATTAATTGTTGTAAATAATGGTTGGACAGAAAAAATTAGTTCTGTGATTTTTCAAATGTACTGTGTACAATGTCTCGTACTTTCTCATCAATAAATCTTTTAATTGTAAGTATTCCGAAAACAATGACTAAGTTGAAGCGATCAAAGAATATTCGAATACAATAAATAATAATCGCAGATAAATATATACCGAAAAGTAAGAAAATAATAATTGCGACTCGAAATAATAGGCTGAGCATCATAAACAGATAATAATGATAGTAGTGAAAGGATTAATGATAAGGAAATCAAGAAAAATGAAATTTTATAATGACTGATTACAGCTTGGCGACCACAGTAACCCAAGCAACTCCTTGCACTCTGCAGATTTTATCTAATACGTATGTGGTCTGCAAAATTTGAGATCGATATACTGTCAATATATTGTTTTGTATGTCCTTTATACATAATGTTATGTTTTTGTACACTCGACTTTTTCCTTTATATTTTAGCACAAGTCTTTATATGGGGTGCATATACATACGAGCTTTTATTAATATACTATAAAATAATAAGGATAAGGGAAAACAGGGTTAATGTGGTCAAAATCAACAAAATAAGGCCAAGCAACATCAAATTCAGAAATAATTTGTAGTAGATAATAAACAGAAACAATCGAACACAAATAAGCATTCTACAAATATATCAACTACATACTATTATATAATGCATATCATTGATATGTGTGATCTAAATATGATTATATGTGATTCAATATATTATAATATTTGCTAAAAAGATAATCTTAATCTTTTTTTAGCAATTGTAATAATTGATATCAATATTGTACAAGAAAAATATATATATAACATATTAGATTGTATGCAAATAAAATTGCTGTTTTTATAAATCACAATAAAAATATTGAATTTTCAAAGTAAGTTAAATAAGTTATATTTAATCAAAATATGCATCATCAACAGTTTCTTCTAATGAGACATTAAATAATATATTCTATTTTTATTAAACTTGTCGTTTTTTAATTCTATAAATTATTAAAATCTTCGAATCATTGCTTTTTGACTAAGGAATATTTTCTTTATTTTTAAATCATCATCGAATAACTCTTATACTAACAAAATCCTTCTGTCTAAAGGCAGAACCAATATTTCTATCCATGTCAATTGCTTGTATATACAAACAAAATTATTAAAATTTCATTCTATTAAATCATATTATTACTGAATATAGGAGAAGAATATGAGAAGAAGGTAGATTATACTTCTCAAGAATTCAACTTATTACCTACGACAACTCAAGTGAAACCTATTAAGTTAATTATAATTGATAAATATTAGAAATTATTGACAAAGACAATTTGAGAGTTTTTTTTGTGTATATTTCGTGTTGTGTATGGTATTCATCATGCATCATTAGAGTATCACGAGAAAAGAATGCGTAAACAATTGATCAATGCTTGTTCGCAGAGATCCAAAATAACTTTCGTAGCAATCTAAATATGATTATATGTGATACAATAGCAATAATACTATACTATTTCTATAATCAACTGTTTCGTTAAATCAGAAACATTGCGCAATGCACATTTCGTCAAACAGTAATTCGAATAAAATATTCTGTTGCAAGTTTGCATTTTTTTAGTCTACTCACATACTTATTCTCAATTCCGCTATCATAATAAATTATGAAAATTTAACAATCAGAATAAAAATGCAACATCTTGTAATATCTATAAATATGTAATATCGTTAAAATTCTCGTATGTAAAATTTGTTGGATTGAGCAGTACTTGAGTAGAATATAAAGTATCTGAGAAGAATACAAAAGTAGCTAGATAGAAATAGATAAACATAGATAATATCATTTCCATATCCATAGATAGGCACTTACTCTCTTACTGTCATTGACAGTATTGTTTAAAATAAAAAAATTTTATATAATAAAACAAATGTTTTTCTACTCACTGTTGTTGGCCATCAAGTTTTCGTGCAGCTTATCTCTTTGGTCTTCCAGAACCTCTCCCAGATACGTTGCCACTTTACGCGTCACTTGCTCCACATATGCATCAAGCTTACCAAGATCATCTGATAAGCCAACTAATTGATCCAATGTTCCGACCTTCAAGTCGGGAATATGAAATTTGTAGTTCACCGATAGAGAATGTTGCTTGGATGTCAAATTATTCATAGTTTCCCACGTCTGCTGACAGGTTTTGTCGCCTGGTGCCGATATCAACCAGTATTCTGTCATCTTGAATAATAGATTTTGCAAACTAAACTTCTAGTAGATATCTGAAACAACAATAATTCATTTTAAGTAATCTAATCTTTACAAAAGTCGTAAGTTATACAAGTTACAAAAAAGTAGTTTTAAAAATTGTGCATAATAAATGCTCATAAATGTTTGAAATATAAAAACAGCGTGTGCTGCGTTATAGGCCTTGAAGTATCACCAAACAAAATCAAAAGTGCAAAATAAAAGTAAAAATAAAAGCTTAGAAGCCTTTGCTGCATATAATATAGTTTAAAATCTTTATTATTTCACAAATTCTTTAAATTTTGGTCCAACTTTGTGACCATCTTTAATGTTTAATTAATGTAAAAAATCAGATCACATTAATCTTAGTCTACCTTATTACGCAAACATTGATATAATTTTTGATTAATATCAAAAATACAAGGGTTGACTTTCTTCATACAACCACCTGCTTGCATTGTACTTGTTACTCTTTGCTGGAAGTAGTCAGATGTAAGTCTGCTTGCAAGTACCGCTTGTGCGTTTAAAATTCCAATTTGAGGAATAACAAAACACAATTGTCAAATACAATATTGTGGGTGATTCAAACAAATTTATAAATCGCAAGATATGTGCGAAATGAAGAAGGGGGTGTGGCGCGACGAGCCTTGCTTAATGTTATATAATTAGGCGCGTTTTCCACGTGACCATAGTATACGAATGGCGCGCTAAACGGCCTGCTCTATACCACCGATCGATATAGACCAAAAAAAAACCCATAACAAAACCCGCGACGCAACATGCAAAAAGAGCCGTGCTCTTGGATGGATTCTTCGAAGTTTTATATTGGTAAAATAGGTACTGTTGCGAGATAGTTCAATGGCGTCGACAAGCATCGGGCCATTCTCGGGATCAATAACAGCAACGCGACATTAATATAGAAAAATGTTTAATAAAAGTAGCGATGTTTAAAAATCGACATGCAAAAAAACCCTACTAAAGAAATTCAACAAAATTCACATCGGATGTCTAAACCGATCAAACGGTGATTAATGATACAAGTTAACATGACACTTCACGAGCTATCGATAGTGAACTAGATGTAATGTAACGTACCAACGGAGACTCGCCAAGTTTTATTGTTATCGTCGTCGTTGTTTTCTGGAATGTGATGCGTTCGGGTGCTAAGTCAGCTTTCTATGGAAATTCAAAGGATTTCGCTAGCTGGACAACACTGTTCATCGACGACAAAGCCAACAAAAATCATCGTGACTTCTCACGTGATGACAATTGTGTGCTGCTACCTCGCGACTCGTTCGACAACTAAACTGTAAATTAAACACTTATCAGCTGACTCAAGAACCTGATTATAAAGGGTGTGTTCCGAAATGTGCTGTCAATACTGTAAGCACATTTCGGATTCTATTTGGGACATTTTGTATTTTAAAATTATTTTTAGTAGCTGAGCATTGATCATGTAATTTTTCCCTAGCAGTGGAAACGTAAAAAATGAAAATTTTCACGAGAATTCGACAATTCTATTCTATACTCCTTGTTATCTAGAGTTTCTCAGTTTCCCCGCATGAGGTCCCCAAAATCAGTTCGAACAGTTTAAACTTGGACCGTCATTCTAATACACCCTTAATTTCTATAGCATCTATGGTCTTATCAGCTGTTCTTACATAATCAGAGTGGAATTGTTCTTCATTAGTAATAGAATTTGATATTGTAAAAAGATACAGGATAATAAGTAAAATAAATAATATGGCAAATAAAGTTAAGGTAAGAATTATTCTTATTAACTATTAAAATTATTCTTATTAACTATTAATTTTTAAAAATGCATTGATATTGAATCCTAGAAAGACTTTGTAGTCTTCAAAATTGAGTAACTTACATTATTATTGGATAAACTTCTGAAAAGCTATCACCTCCGATTTGGTTGTTTTTCAGCCTAAATACTTATTTTATCTAATAAATAATATTCCCAAATGGATTTTTGGCGCAAATGTCCCCTTTGCTCCCCAGCCTCTCTCAAAGGTAAAACTGTTTTTGTTAATTATTTTAGAAAGTATTCATTGTACGGAAAAAGTTGTCAAACAAAAAATGAAGCTCATAAAAAGCTCTACAAATAAGATCCTTTACATATTTTACCTACATAGGGTTTGAATTGAATCTCGCTTTGCGTAGAAATTCGTAAACCCATGTGGAACCTCGCTTCGCGTGGAAAGTGTATGCGTGGCTGCAGTGGGTGCCGCCCCTCCTACGGGGCTTTTACAAGTTTTTTGATAATAACGACTAAAATATTGGAGTTAGGTAAAATATGTATAGGACCTTATTTGTAGAGCTTTTTATGAGCTTCATTTTTTGTTTGACAACTTTTTCCGTACAATGAATACTTTCTGAAATAATTAACAAAAAGTTTTACCTTTGAGAGGGGCTGGGGGCGAAGGAAGTATTTACGCCAAAAATCCATTTGGGAATATAATTTACTAGATAAAATAAGTATTTAGGCTGAATATCAGTCAAATCGGAGGTGATAGCTTTTCGGAAGTTCACCCTTATTATTAATAAACGTTGTATTTGGTAATAAAAAAAATTTTGTACAAAATGTTTCATAATATAAAAATTTTATTAATATATTTTTATATATTAGGTGGGAATAATAAGTGGCTCAGGTCTAGGTGATTCTTTGCACAAAATATTCAATTGTAGCAACACCACTTGTTGTGAAAATGCAAAAAATGAATTTGGATATCCGTCTAGTGATCTTTATCATGGATCCATCAATGGAATAAGCATAGTATTAATATCAAGGTAACTATAAATTTCCTATAAATTTCTTGGTTCATGATTTATATTTATTTTGAAATTATGCAACTGTCATCTGAATTGAATTATTAATATGTGCATTTTGGCACTTATTAGTCCTTTTTTTTGCCTACAAAGATTTTATATCAAAGAGGCTTTTTATTTTTTCTATTTATTATACTTTATAGTTTATATTAATTGATTAATATTAATGGTTTACATTAATTGAATAATATTGATTGATTTTATTTTCCTCTCTTAATTTAACATAGACACGGAATAGGGCATAAAATAAGTCCTACTGCAGTTAATTATCGTGCTAATATAGAAGCATTGCGGCTTGTTGGATGTACCCACCTATTGGCATCAACTGCATGTGGATCATTGACAGAATCAATTGGCAGAGGACAATTAGTTATACCTGATAGCTTTTTAGACAGGACCAATGCTAGAAAAAGAACATTCTATGATGGGACATCTGATAAGTATAGTGGCAAGTATACATATTTTTTATAATTAAGAATAAAACATATATTACTTTTAAAATTCATTTTTCCAGGAGTATGTCATATGCCAATGGAACCTGCATTTGATCCTCGAACGTCAGACATCTTGTTCCAAGCAGCACAGAAATTGGGACATAATATAAAGAAGGGTGGGACAATAGTTACTATTGAAGGACCAAGATTCTCCTCTAAAGCAGAGAGTAATGCTCTACGTCTTTGGGGTGGACATTTAGTTAACATGACTACCTGTCCAGAGGTATATATGTCACAATGAACTTTATTAATATATTAGATTTATCTCATATAAAATTGTTTTGCAAATCAAAATGAAAATGGTATATTTTCAAAATAATAAGTTTTATTTAATTAATTTAATTAATTAAAAGGTGCAGCATTAGCATTGATACTTTTCTTTAAACGAGGATACTTTTACTTACCCAAAAAAATAAACCAGAACAAAAACAACTTAATAAACAAAGAAAATTGAAGAGAATGATACCATTATAGGGTCTAAATACCATAGCATAACCGGAAATACACTTTATATTAACTTTACTAATCACAATTAGTTTTAATTGGTTGATTCTGTAATTTTATATAGTATAACTTAGTAATAATATAATTATAATGTTTATCTGTATTTTGTCCTAAATTAGGTATACTTAGCGAAAGAAGCAGGTCTTTTATATGCATCTGTAGCAATGGCGACTGATTATGACTGTTGGAGAGATTGCGAAAATAATGTTAATGCAGCTGATGTTATAGCTATATTTAAACAAAATGTTAACAAAATAACAGACGTATTACTGGAGGCAGTGAAAATGATTGGTTCTACAAATTGGGAGCAAGATATACGTGAATTGAAGGTAACATTTATTGTTGAATATGACGTATAAATTTATAGCAATATTTATAGATTATCTTTTAATAATAAAAAATAATAATTAAAAAAATACTTTCAGGATATAATCGAGAGCAGTAATGTATCCGCGAAAAACTAAAGTTTTTACTTGCAAAATAGAATGAAGAAATCATGTATATGCATGCGTAATATTTTTATATCATTTACAGAAGAAATTTTATACAAAGAATTTTATGTGAAAAATTTATTTCACATTTAAACAATATAATCTTGAAATTAAATCTATAAAAAATTGTATTCACAATTATTATATATGCTTACATATTTTTATTATACTTTACCTGTTACATTCCAGATTATTTCATTTATATGCTTTGATGTACCCTTTAATGTAGGCTTTATTGTTTGTTTCAACCTTTTAATACATTGATTACCACACTGAAATCTTATTGTAATCTGATATTTTCTCTTCCCCCAATGCCCTCCAGTCACCAAACCGATATATCAAGTTTTCTATATCAAGTTTTTGCCCATCTCATTTTTTTATAATCTCAAAAAGACAAAAAAAATAGAATCGTTAATGACACTGTCAGCAGTGAAAGCAATAGATAACGATCGTATATCGTTACTATTAATTAAATATTCTTGTAAGAACTTAATAACATTCTTCTACAATAGTTGAGTAAAAGCATCACCAATAAGTGGATGACACAACCCCTGCGGAAATTTACGTGTTACTCAGATATGAATGATGCGGTAGTCACATGTTGACATATGGTATGCAAATTCTTTGTCATTGCACTGAAGATGAAGAATTACAGGATTAAATTATTTTATTTGTTATGTTTACAATAAACGTATATTAAACATAATAAATAAGACATTTTTCTAGAAAAATATACGTCTCATATCCATTAATTTATAAGCGTGAATAAGGGGGAATGCTTATCTTGAGATAAGAACTGTCATCTCGGCAAAAACGAAGGAGCATAAAAGAGAGACAAGTGTAATCTGTCCTTATTCAACTAATCTTTTCGCAGTTGCGGTTGCGCGAGCAATGCATTGGCTTTGTTGTGGGCATTCGCTTCTGTACACCCTTAATATTCGTAAATATTTGCTTTGAAGAATTTTAGCAGTGAATATTGCACATTAAGGATGGAATCGAATGAAATTGAAGCATCTTCGAAATCGGGAACAAACATTCGAAATGATAAGAATGCTATCATCGACTACGACGAAGACAGAGTAAGGTTAGAATTAATAAGTGTGTGTTATGGTTGAATTTATTAACATATATTAAAGGATTAAAATTAAAGGATTATTAAATTTTTGCAGAAAAATTGTCAATCTTTGAATTTATAACTTTGCAAAAAAAATTATACAACAATTTTCCTGGAAATAAACATACACAGCAGAGAGGATTTGGATTAAATTAATTAAATAATTTCGTCGGCGGCACACTTGACATTTTCGGAAAAAACTGTATAAAATGCATGCTTTCATAAAATATACAATAAAACGGTGGAAAAAAATCACAGATCAATTTTTAATAGGCTGTTTTAAAGCGTAGGCTTTAATCTTTAAATTTAAGTCGTGAAAAAAAATTGTAACAACTCCATGGAGTTGTTTAAATTTGCAATTCTCGAGGTGTAAATCATTTTTGAATTTCCCATCTTGCTAGTGCAAAAGCATTTGCGAGGAAAATTTAGCTGAAGGTAGATATTTCGCCCTTTAAAACAGCCTAAAAAAAATTGTACGATTTTTTCACAAGTCAAATTTTTCAATACAAATTACTTATCGGATACCTAACACTGCTTACATTCTATTTATTAACAGGAATTTGAAATTTGTCTGCTACATTTTTTTCAGCTTTCTGTGTACATACATACACACGCATATATAATGATTTATCTGCAATAATATATTATGTATCAATAGTATATATATATATATATATATTAAGACATTCAATTTTGTACTCATATATGGTTTTGATTTACATTTTAGTTGCATGAGATGACAGCATCTTATTCTGAGATATCATTTGATTCGCAATCCTCACCACCTATCTCGGAACTGAGGTCGCTCATTGACTCCCCGGATATCGACAGTGGAAAATTCCTGGATGATAATTTGGACAAAATAGGTGGAACCAGCCACAGACCGGATCAATTAGATTTGAAAAGTAGGAGTGGGAGTCCAATAGAGGATGATAATCTAGATTTGCCAAATTACCACAAAGCCATGGGTTATTTGCAATTGGAAGGAAGAGTGATGCAAGATGGAGATATGGTATTATTTGTGACAGAAGATCTAGAGAACAAAATCAAATTGTCCAGTCCAGTGACGAAAAAAGGAGATACTCCATCGTTTCCAGGATCTCGAAGTTCGACTCCATGTTTGTATAGGCAAGCTTTGACTCCGCAGTTGCCGTCTCTCGATCATAATGTATTAAATGAATTAGAAATGGAAGCTAGGAAAGTTGCAACTTCCGTGGATGCATTAACTGAAAATTTAGCCGCAATTTTACAAAACGTGAGTTATCGGTTATTTCAAGTCTTCTCATCGTAGTACATGTTATATGTTTTGATTCGTTTATTATTGTTTTCAGGCATCGGCTCTTACTGTTGGTTGTTTAGAAACATATAGAGATGCAGTGTGCAAGACGTGTGACGCTGTTGATCATAATATAAAGTCGATGTATCAATTAATGGCTAAGTGTGAAGAATTGTCTAAATCAATGAGGCCAATTTATAAATTAGCAGAACAAATGTAAGTGTTGTAGTATGTAGTTCTTACTACATAAACTAAATGAAATTATGAGATATTCTGAACCAATTTCACTCGCTATAGATTATCATTAGCACTTTTATTAAATATTTTGCATAAAGGCAGTAAAATTTTTGTTTATAAAGTTAATCAAGCTTAATTAAAGTAATTATTTTAGTAATCAAGTTTTAAACACTCAGCAACGGTGTTTTAGCTTTTGTTTTTATTTTTATTTTGATATTAAATTGTAATTCGTTAAGGTCTACAACACAACACATTTTGTTTTCATGACATATGTATATTAACTTTTTGGATATTACACGTCACTATAGTGACTTCACTCGTAAGCGACGAAACACCAGTATAATAGCTTTTTTTATCTCACATTCAAAATCACTTAATTTCTTATCACTGCGAGACAGGAATGTCTGCACATGTTTTTATCTGTTGCATGTGTTGTAATTAAAACGCGTTTTGGGTCAGAGCTGTGCATATAATAATACTCTACGTTCAATTTAGCCGTATCGAAAAGGTTAAAAACCACATCTTTGGTTGATTTTTAGCAAAGAGATGAAAAGGATGCTGGAGCTGTTTGAAAGCGCATTGAATCTATAGAATACGATAGAGGAAGAAGTTGCTGCACGATGCATCTTAAAGTGTTACACATTTTTAGATTTAGAATGGCAATGCAATTGTCTGATTTGTGAGATAGCAAACAATATTATGTTGATTTATGTTGAAATATTATTTAATATTTATTATTAAAGAAAATAAAACAATGTTTTTTTCTTGAAGCAGTTTGGTTTATTTTTGATACCTTTTTATTATTATTAATGTCTGAAATATATAACTGAAAGGTATGTATAATAACTTTAATAGATACGCATATCTAATAACAGTTGATTAATAATTAACTAAGAATGCTAATTATATTAAAGAAATAACTTTACAATATAATGGTTTTAGTTTTTGCATGTCGACAATTTTATTAGTTCTTACAATTATTTCATACAATACGTAAATTCGTACCTTGGAAATATAAGTGTTAAAGAGTATTATTATAGATTTGGTTATAATTGTTATTTTGAAAGAAACAATCATATAGTGTAATTTTCATAGAATGAATTGATCTTGCATTAGTGTGTACATGCGTCTCTGATCTAAACGTCATTCGCGCGCGTTTCACAGAATAGAATGCGTGCGAGCAAGCATGCAAGACGGTATGTAAACATCAAACGACGGGCCAAGTAGAAGGAAAAACAAACTAAAAGAAGAAAAAAAGAGAAAAAATCGCTTGACGGATCACAGACTACTAATTAAAAAACTCTGCACCGCGACGCTCCGGTGCGAAACGTTTTTCCCTTTCGCGAGGCAGCCGCGTAAGAAATCTTTTGCCATTCCCCTTTCATTTCCCCATCGGTCTATCTTTTTTTACTACCCTCTTACGTGCGCTGCATATCTCTCTTATTCAAAAGCAAATGAATCACGGGCTTCTCTCTCTCTTTTTAGAAAACTTTATATGCAATCCCTCTTTCTTTCTCTCTCTCTCCCGCTCTATCCCCTTCTCTCTCTCTCTCCTTCTCATCTCACACCTATTCGTTCTCTCCCTTTTTTTTTCTCTTATCTCTATATTGCCAAACAATCACGTATAATGCGTTATCCTTTGAAAATTGCATCACTGGATTTATGACTTTTTTTAAAACTATCTTATTATCGATATTAACTATTGCGTATATATCGCGTTAATTTGTGTAAGATATTCATATGATAAATTAATGAGTGAAGATATTTTGCTTATGATTTGTCAAATTTGGATTTCCAATAGATGCGTAAAACATTTCAGGATTATCTACACTGCAAGGGAGAGAAAGAGAAAGGCATAAGAGAGAAAGAGAGAAACGGCGGTTATACTGATTGTGACTCACACAATTTGTGAGTACAGGGTGCATTGTGCAGACTAGCAACGGAGAACGGCGAGAATAAGTCCACGGTCTCTTGTATTTTCCTTCTTTCTCTTCCCTAGCGTCCTTCACATCTTCGTCTTGTCTCTTTGTCGCTCTTTGTGAGCTACGAATCTTCTGTCCTTCGGTCTTTCTTCCATACATACATCGGACATTGGCGTCTCGCAACCACCGTGGCTGCTGCACGCGCGCGCGTTTCCATCACATCTTTTTCAACCCATACGTCCCGTCCTTCTCCTGTAGCGCGTCACGGTGCATTTCTCGCGGCTTTACCTTGTTAAAACTGCGGATGCGCTGGCAGATAGAAATAGATAGAAAACCACGTGTTGCAGTTTTTCATATCGCTTCTCTTGTACGAGATCTCCGTTTCCTCTGTCCGGTAAAACATAATGGAATTTTTTATTTTCCTGGTTAAGAACTAGACGGATCTAATGAAAATCCGACAAGTCCTTAGTCCGTCGATTTTTCATGTTTTTTGCATCATCATAGAGTGGCTTTTTGACGATTATTTTTATGTTAAATCCGCGAGGAATTTGGAGTTTTTATTTCGCGAACGTAATTAATGATTTATTTGATTCACACGTACATACGCGCGCGCGTTTGTCGATATCCATATAAATATACAAAAATCTGTGAATGAACATGTTATTTTATAGAAAGAATACTAATTATTTTTAGTCAAGCTTTTAGTCAATCTTTAACAACAAAATCTGATTTATCAGTCTTTTTTTTCTTCCAATTGCTTTAAAATAAATACTGCACAAAATTCGCTACAAGCCATCGTTGTAACAAATAACAATTGTAGGATATAGCATTTAAAGTCTCTCTCTCT